CCAGATTTACTGTAGAATTCCTCAGATATTAAAAGGTACTTATATCCAATGCAATATAGCCAATACAATAGAATTATGTCAATTTTCAAAAATTCATTAAAAATCATCCTTAGTAGTTGAGGTTTCAACCCTTTTTCTAGTCAGTGGGTGTGTGGGCAGACAACTCTGGCTTGTCACCCAGTTGGATTTCCTGGTATTTGTAAGATGTCACTATCTACAAATCAGGACACATTAACTATGATATTTAAAAAATGACATGATGACATAGTTCTTGGTCAGTTTACCAAGCATTTGTCAGTTTTGTTCTTTATAGTTCTGTTCATCATATCATTGTTTGTGAGTCCTAGATTATTTGATGATATGTTTACATTATGTATTCTTTTGTTTTCAGTTCCATATTGCTTTTAAGTGTAGGTCTTTTTCAGCGTTCCACAAGTGGATGCAAGACTTGTGAAAACACTCTAGTGTTAAAGACAGTCTTGTCTTCACGTATGTTTATGGTTTTGTTTGTGTCAAGCTCATGTGTCTTAGGTCTGTGTTTTAGTTTGGTGGCCTCTTGTCTCTTTCTTGTGTTGAGTCTTACGTCCACTGTCTTCTTATTCCCAATGTATCCCTGCTGTGTTACACAGCTGTCTCCAATTCCCCTAATCGCCACCCTATTTATACATTTTGCCAATCTCCCGGTCTGAAGTACTCGATTCTATTCTATTCTATTTATACAGGGAGTGCAGAATTATTAGGCAAGTTGTATTTTTGAGGAATAACTTTATTATTGAACAACAACCATGTTCTCAATGAACCCAAAAAACTCATTAATATCAAAGCTGAATGCTTTTGGAAGTAGTTTTTAGTTTGTTTTTAGTTTTAGCTATTTTAGGGGGATATCTGTGTGTGCAGGTGACTATTACTGTGCATAATTATTAGGCAACTTAACAAAAAACAAATATATACCCATTTCAATGATTTATTTTTACCAGTGAAACCAATATAACATCTCCACATTCACAAATATACATTTCTGACATTCAAAAACAAAACAAAAACAAATCAGCGACCAATATAGCCACCTTTCTTTGCAAGGACACTCAAAAGCCTGCCATCCATGGATTCTGTCAGTGTTTTGATCTGTTCACCATCAACATTGCATGCAGCAGCAACCACAGCCTCCCAGACACTGTTCAGAGAGGTGTACTGTTTTCCCTCCTTGTAAATCTCACATTTGATGATGGACCACAGGTTCTCAATGGGGTTCAGCTCAGGTGAACAATGTGGCCATGTCATTAGTTTTACTTCTTTTATACCCTTTCTTGCCAGCCACGCTGTGGAGTACTTGGACGCGTGTGATGGAGCATTGTCCTGCATGGAAATCATGTTTTTCTTGAAGGATGCAGACTTCTTCCTGTACCACTGCTTGAAGAAGGTGTCTTCCAGAAACTGGCAGTAGGACTGGGAGTTGAGCTTGACTCCATCCTCAACCCGAAAAGGCCCCACAAGCTCATCTTTGATGATACCAGCCCAAACCAGTACTCCACCTCCACCTTGCTGGTGTCTGAGTCGGACTGGAGCTCTCTGCCCTTTACCAATCCAGCCACGGGCCCATCCATCTGGCCCATCAAGACTCACTCTCATTTCATCAGTCCATAAAACCTTAGAAAAACCAGTCTTGAGATATTTCTTGGCCCAGTCTTGACGTTTCAGCTTGTGTGTCTTGTTCAGTGGTGGTCGTCTTTCAGCCTTTCTTACCTTGGCCATGTCTCTGAGTATTGCACACCTTGTGCTTTTGGGCACTCCAGTGATGTTGCAGCTCTGAAATATGGCCAAACTGGTGGCAAGTGGCATCTTGGCAGCTGCACGCTTGACTTTTCTCAGTTCATGGGCAGTTATTTTGCGCCTTGGTTTTTCCACACGCTTCTTGCGACCCTGTTTACTATTTTGAATGAAACGCTTGATTGTTCAATGATCACGCTTCAGAAGCTTTGCAATTTTGAGACTGCTGCATCCCTCTGCAAGATATCTCACTATTTTTGACTTTTCTAAGCCTGTCAAGTCCTTCTTTTGACCCGTTTTGCCAGCCTAGGCTTATTGCAGCACAAATAAGGGAAGATTCAGGGGCACCTGATCCACTATAACTGTATTATTTGTCAAAACTGAGGGTGTTAATGCTAATCTCAAAAGCAGAGATGGGTGTTTGTCTTCTGAATTAATTTAGAATAGAATAGAATTCAACTTTATTGTCATTGCACATGTCACAGGTACAAGGCAAGAAAATGCAGTTTGCATCCATCCAGAAGTGCTTTAGCCATGATATAGATATATTAGAATATATATTAGCAATAATATAGGTATGTAAGTATATTACAGAAATGGGTCTATTATGGTATGTTACAATGTACATGGTATGAAGGTATGTTATGAATATGCTATAACTATAAGTATAGTTACAGGCTGTAGTGAGTACAAGCTATGTACAGGCTATGAACAGGATATAAATATAAAAAACTATACAGAATATGAAATAAAAAAAACTATACAGAATATGAGATATACAGCTATACAGAAATGTGAACTATGCAGGTTATAAACAGTTGTAGAATTAAAAATGATCGTATTGTACAGAATGATGTGAGCTGCATCCACAGAAGAGAGGTCTAAGAGATGAAGACTCTGATTACCGTTCAACCTTAAAATTCTATAGGAACCACAAGTACACCTAATATTCCAAAATTAAAATCTGGATTTCAGAGCGAGTCAGTGAAGAAAAGCAAATATGCTGTCTCTTTATAGTCACTGTCATGACTCTCTCAGCAGCACTTTTGATCCATCAATATTAAACAATTATTGATGCAGCAGATTGAGATGAAACCTGGCCCAGAGGTACAGTAGGTGTCCCAGAGAAGGAATCTGTTGAAAGTTGGACCTCAACTACTCAGGATGATTTTTAATGAATTTTTAAAAATTGACATAATTCTATTGTATTGACTGTATTGAATTGAATATAAGTGCCCTTTAATTTCTGACAAATTCTACAGTAAATCTGGATGAAACTTGGCACACAGATACAGTAGGTGTCCCAGAGAAGGGATGTGTTGAAAGTTGGACATCAACTACTCAGGATGATTTTTAATGAATTTTTATACAAAGCGAAAAGGCGCTACCGTAAAGACTGGTGTAAAAGCGCAAGGAAATTTATGCTGCGGATAGGAGGCGGCTGGCTTGACCGCGGCTCACAAATGACGGCTCACTTTACCGCGGTAAGATGCTGTCATAGCCCGTCAATGACTTTGATTAGCTGCGTACATACGTATGCGAATCGCATCCTTGGCTGGAGCAGCCAGTCACCCGTCACTCACTGACTCGCACTGCAAAATAGTACAGAATGAATTGTTATGTGTTCATTTTATTGTCGATTCAGTGCAGATTTTCTGTGCGTGGAGACTGTGTCAGCCGTGCGCAACTGAGCGCGTGGGCAACGTAAAGGGAGCAGTGCCTGGAGACATCTTTTGTGGCATCTAGATGATATCAGAAGTGGTGTGGATTTTATTCTTTTAACAGTTGCTAACTTGGCCCATGTTTATTCTGATATTAGCTTTGATTAGCATTTTCTGTTAACCTAGAAGTCATTTGGATGATGTCCATCAGCATGAATGTTCTCATCTGCCAAGAAATCTGCTCCAAACGCAAGTGCTGCCTTCCTCTACCTGTACCTGAGTTGTTTGTTGACCTTCTTTGTTAAATCTGTGAAATGCTGAAACTACAAATAAACTAGTGCACTTTTTTGTTCCTCGCATTCCTCTATCTTTGAGTCAAATGTTTAGTGCTGTTTGTACTTAGTTCTGGAGCTGTCAGTAAGAAACTAACATGGTGACTCATTACGGGTCAGCGAACTTTATAGACATTTACACTTAGGAGTGTACTCACTTTTGTTGCCAGCGATTTAGGCAATAATGGCTGTGTGTTGAGTTATTTAGAGGGGACAGCAAATTTACAATGTTGTACAAGCTGTACACTGACTACTTTACATTGTATCAAAGTGTCATATCTTCAATTGTCCCATGAAAAGATATAACAAAATATTTTAAAAAATGTGAGGGGTGTTCTCACTTTTGTGAGATACTGTATATATAATGTTTATCTGGTTAAATTCAGTATAGTTCCTACAACAGTTTTCATTATAAAATATGTTCATCTACAACCCTTAATATGTTTGTGTGTGTGTGTGTGTGTGGCACCAGAGGGAGTGTTCGCCCAGGGCACCAAAGGGGCTAGGACCATCTCTGCCCCCACAGATCGAACTACAGTCATGCTTCTGGTTTTCACTGTAACTCACTGCCACAAGGTGGAACCAAGTACCAACAAACTGTAAAGAAAAGAAAGACTCACCCCACTGGTGCAATGGCGAACTCTAGTGGAAATTACTTATTTGAGAAAACAATGATTAGAGCTGTTAGGCTTGATTTCATACAACACACTCAAACTGAGGCGATTGCACCACTTTGTGAATATTTTATTTGAATCATAATAAAAATGGGTATTTTTTTTACTCTAGTAGAGCTTCAGAGAATAAATGCCAAACACACTGAAGTTAAACATGTTGGACCAGAACCCTTTAACTGGGCTTTTTCACATATTTGACACCCATTTGTTTGTATCATAATGTAAAGTCACAACTGTAGTAGCTGGCAGCAGGGGCTTTACTCATTTTGGCAAATGAGATAAACAATAAAAATACTGTACAGGAAGGTGGAGTCTGAATCCACAAGTGTACAAAGCTGTATAAAAGATCAATTAAACTTTTATTTAACACATGTTATTATTAATATTATATTAATATCATTCTTAAACATCATCGTTACATTCGGCGCCAGTGAAATGTTGATGCCCCTGAAGGTGACATTTATCCACCGTGTTCATACAACCATTTCCTCCCCTAACCTAACATTCACACACACTTCAGTCGATGTATCAGGGCAAACTAGGGGTCATGCCCGAGGATGCTCTGACATGCAAAAGAAACCAGAGATCAAACCACAGACAAGTTCATTAGCAGGCGACCCGCTCTACCTCCTGAACCACGGCTAAATGCCGAGATTTCAAGATAGGTAAGAAGGTCGGGATATTTATATAAAACATACCTTTAAAATAAAGAATATGGAGGATGCTGTTTTGAAAATCTATATTTTTTTGATGGTGGGAAATTACAAATCAACATGAAATTAAAAATGATTAAGTCAAAAAACAGGAAAAATTTAAAAGGATATATACATTGCTTTTAATGATTATGCATGCATGAATTTTTAAGAACTGAAACTGTACATGTAAGAGTAACATGTGTGGTGAGGGAGGAGCAGCTAGCAGGTCCAGTGGGAGTGTAGCATTGAAGTCCAGTCAGGCAGGTAGGACACCGGGCTTTTATTTGGCATTAACAGTAAGAAGTCGATAGTGGAAAGTTCTCCACGGCTCTAGACAATCCGGCCATACATGTCCCGGGGTCAGGTAGATGTCTGCACCCGCCCGTTACAAGGTCTTTCTGATATCAGGTGAGAAGAGAGCAGCATGCTCTTCTGCACTGGCTGCAGACAGTCCAGTGTAAGGGTCTCCCCTGCTACCACAATAGTGTAAAGACACCCCCTAGCGGTGCAGTGCCATAATGACAGTTGTTACACAGTGCCAAAACTGTAATGTGGGTTTGTTTGTTTTTTAATATGAACAACTTAAATCTTTGGTTTTAAATTCCACTTTCTCATTTTTGAAAATGAAAAAGTAAAATAAGAAAAAGGAGGGAACAACAAAAAAAGTAGCATCTGTACACATAACTGCGATGCATTTTTTTGAACATTTGTGTGTTTCTTTTTCGTTTAGAGTTAACCTCATTTTACCTGAACTCCCTTTACATCGCATTGGTATCTTTGTATGTGACAGAGAGACATATTTCTGATAACAAATGTCATACTCATGCATGCTCATTAAAAAACAAAAAAAAAAGCTCAACAAAAACAGCACAGCAGTACGAGAAGACTGGAGAGACAGCTGTGATCTTATTAGTCCACCGGCTCAGGGAGGTCCTGGTAGCTGTGGACCTGTGGATCGTACTGACTAATCTCAAATTGTTCACGGTTGAGCTCAGCGTATTCTACCGAACCCTGCAGACACACAAGCAAAGACAATAAAGATTCTGATTATTAAATACACAACACAAAGCAGTATTTGATCGTGGCTGCAAATAAGATATGATACTTTCAAATCTGATTTTATGTTTTATGCTTATGTGGATTTTATGCATCATAACAGATGCCAAAAGCAAAAACTGCAAATTGTCTACCAAATATTCTGACCTGAGCAAACCAAATCTGCTATCCAGAACACACAACAATGAGAAATTAGCCACTTTTAGACAGTGATGTCACATCCTCAGTTTATTCTTCAAATTCCCCAGTTTAACCGCCTTGAGCACCATTTAAGGACAAATAGCGCGGCCATCAGTGGTATGTTTAGAGCTCAGTGGGAGACAGTATGTTGGCTGAGATGGGATTGAAGGTAATTTGACTGGACCGCAGCGCCTGATCTGACTGCCTGATAGGGAAGGAAGCCCCGGCCCAAATGCTTTTGTTCTCGTCTGGAAACTTTGACAGCCGTTTCCCTCTCTCTGGATTATCGGCCTGCAGAGGGTCACCGAGAGCAGAAGGATACATTACATGAGTTACTATATAAAACTGTGGTGACTATTTTACCCACTGGCAGAAAAATACAAGTGTGCAATAAAATGAAGATAAACTTATACTGCTTCTCATCTTGTGTCACTTCCAGAAGAAGATAAAAGCATGAATCATTCATTAATGCATAAAAATATACAGCACCAGTACTAATCATCACTCCACAGGTGCTTATGCATGATTCAACTGACGAGCTGTACCCGCCATTATCATGAACTCATACACTCAGTGTGCAATACTGAGGCTTTTAACACTTGAATGTAACAAGTGAAGTGAATACATTCAATGCATTTATAACTCATAATACCTCATCAAATTTAGATGCAATCTTAAGAAGATTACGGATGCATTAATCCGTGTGTGATACTGAGGAAGTGAAGAGGTTAAAACTCCAGCAGCACTTTTATAGAAGTATTTAATTGTTTGACTGAAGTGCTTCAGGGCCGTCATAAAAATAGAAAAGAACAAGTCATATACGTCCTCTGCCATATCTAAGGATGGGCTGGGCATCTACAGCAGTCATGTGGCTTCAGGCCATGGAAAGGGGTCCAATAGAAAACCTGGGTGGCACCATTTTGTTCCGTAAATCGTTGAAGTGCAACTGAAGCGTGCTGTTGAAGTTTTGCACCACTTGAAGTTGATAGGTCTGCTTCCAAAGGCTCCCAAAGGCCACCCAGACTCAGTGGCAGATCCATGTATGACATAGCAAATCTATTTAAAATGATTTTGCCTCGTGATGATTCTGGTGAAGGCGACAAGCTAAAACACCTCAGCTCATACACATGACAAGTCTCCAGACTTCATCATCTCATCTGTGCACCTTGGAAGCAGGTGCCAGAAACTTCTATGTTTTTATATTCCTGAGCGTATAAAGTACAGTAAACACAATGGATGTTTCTGGAAATGACGTGATGTACAAGACTGAAGGAACTCCTGTTATCAAATTAAACATGGACTCTGCTTTTGAAAACACTAAAAAAACACGAGATTACTGTTACATGTCTTGTATTTGTCTTGCTATGATAACTGGGACATGCTCCAGCCTATCACAACCTTGATAAGGATAAGAGGAAGAGAATCAATGGATGGGTGGATGTCATGTATTTGTATACTTAATATAAGGGCGTATAAACAGGTCACAGGCAGTAATAAAAAGTGAAACATGTGCTCTCTTGCCAACAATCCCACCAAAGACGTCTGAAGACGAGTGTGACTGTGCAGATAATTACTCACATAGTCGGGGGGATCAGCAGCACCTGCAGGAAATAGTATCAGTGGTTAAATGTGCATTGGTTGGGTGTGTACACTGCTCAGTCACTGGCTGACCTCAGCGTCATTCATTAGTCATTTGGCAGTTATGTTGACCTGGGTGACCTTACTGACTCATTCGTTCTTCCTCTGCAAAAGCCTTTGTTTCAGCCTATAAGTTCAGTCTCAGTCATCCAAATCGATATCTACCACATTCTCTCTTTTAAAGATTCTTCTCTCATCGTCTTTTATCAGTGCTGGACAGGAAACATTAGGACTCCGATGGACTTCTTGATAGAGACATGCAGCGTCTGGCTGCTGTTCTAATAACAGGAAGTCCCTGCCAGTAGTAACAGGATATGGTCATGGTTGTGTAGCTGGAAGGGGTAAGCTGTCTTTCTATGAGTAATGGAAGTTTTTAATCTTCAAATGATATTTGGTTAGATCTGAAGTGTCTCTGATAAAATCAGACTGCAGGTTTTAAAGCTGCGTTATCTCATTATTTGTCACTCAGAAGCAGCACAACCAGATAATAAGCTTATATGATTAAACAATCAATAGGCTGATAACCAAAGCCTAATTATATAGACTCAGAACAACACTGGCTTTCATTGGGAGGTTTCCATACTACAGAGGACCAGAACTGCAGGTCTTTACAATACTGATATTTTTCGTTTTTAATTTGTATGTATGTTTAATGAATGTCTGGATTTATTTATCCCACAATTTCCACATATATTTATTCACATTTTTGTGTTTTTGTAACAATTTTTTGTATTTTCCCCAAATTTTGTGGAAAACCCTAACAACAAAAGCAAGCAGAACAAAGAAAGAGCAGACTGTCAACTGATATCGGCTGAAGAGTAAAATTATTGTTTGTGTCAGTAGAGTCTGAGAGCAACAATAAAACAGTGAACATATTATTCATAATACAGCACAGGCCTAATTTAAATGTTTAAAATTTTTTGATGGCTCCATTTTTTAAAGGCAACTAAAATATTGTAAATATCTCAAATTAATTAACTCTTACATTAATTATTATTTACGGTGGATATTCTGGCATATCATTCTTTAGTATGTGCTTATTATTCTTTATGTACCTATTATTTATTTGATGTTGGCAGTTTTAGCCCTCCATATCACAAACTCTTAAGGAAGACATCAGACTGCTGAGCAGCACCATTGTGAAACTAACTTTCTGAATAGTTTCTCACAGATTAAGTTAAGCAGTGTGAGAGAGGTTCATCTGTGGATGGTGAGATGGTGAAAATAAAAAACAAATAAATTGCTGTTCAAATTTTAGCCTACTGCCTGATAACATTTAGAGAAAAACACATATTAGTGGGATAAAATGCCTTTTCATTTTATTAAGAATACATCGACTGTCTCACAGCAAGAGTCCTTTCTAACAAAAAACTGAAGTGACAAAAACTCATTTTCCATGACAGATGGTTCTGCTGTTTTTCATCTGAGAATGAACAAATCCATCAAATTTGAATAAACATCTACTTAATTATAAATAATTATAGGGGCAAATTAAACATAATTTTTTTTAATGAAATAGGTTTTTCCAGTTTTCCATATTCACTTTCAAAAGCAGCTTATCTGAGCTGGTTAGGAAACCAAAACAATGAGCTGAAAGATGCTAAAACAGTTTCAAAAGCTGAAGCAAATTGAAAAGTTTGGTAAAAAAATAAAAATAAATCCCTTTGTAGTTATATAAACAAATCTAAAGTTAAAATGTAAAATCATAATTACAAAAATAAATAACGAGAGCTGCTTCAAAGATCAAACTCACCATTTGGAGAGTTTTGGAGCTCACTGTAAACTGTGTCTGTGCCTTTTCTCAGTGGAACTGTTAAAGTCAAAAGAAACACATTAGTCTGCCTGAGCATCAAAAGACAAACTTTAGCAGATACTGTCTCTGTGATCTATAAATAGGCAGGTTATGTCACACTCCAACTGCCATCTCAGGTCCGATGGGACCTTGAGCACAAGACCACGAGGAAGAAGAAGAAGCAGAAATCACTCTGGCGTTTAGTTAAACCCTTCCTGTTTATAAGGTCTGCAATGACTGTGGAAATCCCAGCAGTTATCTCTGCATTTACAGCAACCTGGAGATGTATTAATTATGGGTAATTAGACCCCTCCTAGTACGCGTTGGTTGCTCTTATCAACTATAAAGGAAGTGCATAAAGCGGTGAAAATGACTTTTTTCAGGAGGTTTGGGGAAACTGCGAAGAAAGGAACAAGGACAGACCAACAAAAGGTTTAAAAAACATTTTGTGTAAAGCTGCATATTATTATATATTAAGCCATTTATTTATTATTTACTTATTTTCTCTATTTGTTATTGTATTTATTTCACCCCTCTTTTCCCTCTTCATTCACATCGCACACAATAGCTTCCTAATATTCCTGACGACCGGCCTTGTTTCTATAAGTATTGTATGCCTGTGTCCTAATGTGTCTTCTCGCACAGTTGTTTCATTTTTTAAAATAAATACTGGATTATTTCCCTTCTGTGTTCGTGCACTGCTGACCTCTGGCAGGATCTGTTGACCGGGCGTGCACCACCTCCGTGTACTCCACGTTAGGCTCGTTGGACACCTCGCTGATCTCATCATCGCTTTCTGCACCAATAAAAAAATCTTTAACACACTGAACTCATATGATTGTTGGGTTTTTCTCTGTATCTATGAAGCGCCTTGAGGCGACTTTTGTTGTGATTTGGTGCTATATAAATAAAATTGAATTGAATTGAATTGAACTATTTCACTTTCATCTTGCAATGCTATAGCTATGAAGCCAGGCTGGAAAAAAAGCTGTGGTATAAATCTGGAGGATGGCTACACAATTCCAGCTACTCCCAACTACACCAGGAAAACCTACTTTGTAAGGCTTAAATTCCTTTGAGAGGTACATTTTTAGTAGAAGGATCATCTGACCACGTGACCTTCTTCTTCTTTTTTTTCTAGAATAAATTCTGCACTTTAGAGCAGGGGTCTCGAACTCCAGGCCTCGAGGGCCGGTGTCCTGTAGGGTTTACATGTGTCCTTGATCCAAAACAGCTGATTCAAATGGCTAAATTACCTCCTCAACATGTCTTGAAGTTCTCCAGAGGCCTGGTAATGAACTAATTATTTGATCCAGGTGTGTTGACCCAGGGCACGATCTAAAACCTGCAGGACAGGCCTGGAGTTCGAGACCCCTGCTTTGGAGAAACCATGCAAAGTATAATGGTGTGGGTTTAAATTTGGATTTTTATTTTTTTAATTCGTGTTATTGTTTCAGGCCTCATAGCTTCAGAAGAATGTGGGATATCCACATAAAATGTTCAGGGCTGAAAAACAGATGTAAGCTCTGTTCAGAGCTGCAACCAAATCATTTTCACACCATGTGTCACAATCCGTCTTTTTTATAAACTTCATAATGGACAGCTGTCATAAAGTGAGACAAAAAGGGTAAATCCAGGACAGCTCATTAAATTTGCTGAAGTTATTTTAAAAAAGAATAAGCTGTTTCTGAGGGGGTCAGGTGGGAACTTTCTCTCTAAATTTAACTCATTTTAAATGAAATCATGTCAGAGCATTAAACAGTGATGATGTTCGTATCTCATCTCACCTGTTTCAGGTTTCCGTTTACTCCACACGCTGACTTCAGCTCTGTCCACCTTCACTGTAAAGCAGACAGGCAGATTGATTGACTGCTTAATTGATTACAGGTTATTAGTCATCCGCCAAAATTAAAGTAACAAAAAATGTGCACCAGTAAGAATAAAAAAACATACCTTAATAGGTAACTAGTAGTAAACGCTTACATTACATAACCACAGGTGTGGTTCATTACTTTTTGATCTCCTTGTTGCTGTTGGGTGTGCGGCTGGTAGCCTCACACACAGAGTTACCAGCCTCCCCATCTAAGTCTTGTCAAGAATGAGAATAAATGCATTTCCCCAAATCTCCCTTCATGTTTTCACATGGGCAGAAGAAATAATGAGATAAACTTTTGGCGGCACACTCCCTCAGCTCGGCCCACCGGGGGAGATTGAAACCGTAACAAAAGCAGCAGATTTTAGATTCTCATCTGGAGCACACAGAAATCTTTTACTGCTTCGTAAACAATAGGTTGTTAATTCAGCAGCGGCTGAAAAGCAAAAACAACTTCCCAGTTGGTAAACCAAAGCTTGTGTGATTAATTTCCTCCACCTACTGCACTCATTCAAACTTGCCTGGGCTGAAACAAAATAAGCTCCAACCCTCCTCACCAACACTGGTTTTTATCAGCAACGATCCCCGTGAGCGTGCTCTGCTCCAACATAGGAAGTCTCTTGCAGACTCCATTGTTTCAGTTTTTCAAGGAAGTCTCTGTTGCACACATTCTTTCTCAGATATTAATGTTGATTTTTTTTTTTGCCTTGGGTATAGGATAACCAAACACTATGCATGTATGATAATAATAAATATTATTCTTGGACATTTTTACACAAATGTATCCTCAGATGAGCAGGAAAAAAGAAGTATAACGAATAAAGGGCACCAACACACCTCTAAATTAAACCATTATATTTATTCTACAAGTCTCTCTTCCAGTCAGAAAAGGGATCAACCAAAAGTATATACACACGTTTCCTGTGAGTATAATAAAGCGTATTTACAAATCAGCCCGATTTTAAAAATGCATTTGAGACAAGTAGAGCAAAGTAGAGTTGTAGTCGTGCAACTGCAGACAGACACAGTGAGCAAAGAAACAAACAGCCAGACACGATAATGTTTGGTATAAATTCAGAGGCCATTTAGGTGGCAGGAGGAGGGGAGAGGGAGCAGTGAGTGTAGTTTTTTAGCCTCCTTTGTAGTGAGAAAATATCTGTCTATAATGTCCTAAAAAATTAGCATTATTAACAGGATTACTTTTGCTCGTATTCATCCTGAAATGTCTTTCTGTGAACTTCCTTTTCCTTCAGAGTAAGTAAACATTGCATCAATGTCCCTCCGCCCACTGCTGGGGCATCTCTACACTGTGGCTGGGATACTGTAGCTGCTCCTGTTGCTGATGTCAGCAGGTACCGACGCCACGCTATGTCGCGTCCCATTGGTCACTCTCCCCTCCTTGCCATCAAAGAAAGACACTGCGTCTGGAAGAAGATGATAACGGGCGCGCTGAGCAGTTTGCAACAAGTGTGACAATCAGTGCCCTGCCATGTGACTTCACTATCACCCAGCATGCACCTAAGGCTGTTTACTTCCTGCAGCAAAATCCTACATTTCCTGCCTCTGCTTAGACACAAACATTTCCAACTAAAATACTAAAAACAGTGACAGCAAAGACAGACAACACACTCAAACATGTGAACATGAACAGAAGGGCAACACAGACTGTACCACAAACAAAAGGTAACCAGGTCTCCTTTGCAGGAGCCATGCATGCATAGTAGAACATGGATCATTGGGGGGTGTGGGTTACATGCTGCAGGCTACGATTGTGCGAGTGAGGGGAAGGATTATTGGATGGTAGCATAATGACTAATGAGGCCAGTTAGTGACACACAGGAGAAAAGTAAAACCAATCTACCTGTGGCTGCATTATAAACGTCTGTGTCGTGGGTTAGATTCACTGTTAAAGGGTCATCTGATTTAGGGCTCGAAGGCTTTCTGAGAAATGGTGGAAATAAAGTTAGCTCAGGCAGCAGTGAATTCAAAAAGAAATCAAACAAAATCCACTAATCACCATAGCAACATACATAAAAACAAAACTATAGAGGTGGTTCTGCATGTTGTGGTCATTTGTTCTCTAGCTTACAGCCTGCTTCTTGCCTGCACACGTTTTCTTTATAAAAATCAACCATGCCTGAATAAGCAGATTTAATAAGAGTAATTGAAAAAAATTGACTTTTTGGAAAACTGGCTAAAACAAAAACCCAAAACAAAGCGCAGGATATGTGCTGTGATTGTTTAAGCTCGTAGTTTCATTCATTTTCTACCAGGGTTTATAGTATTGGTGTTTTTTAATTAACAGTTAGTGTATTTGTGATTTCTTTTAAACATAGACCAGAATAATAAAGCACGTGCTGTATTAGATGTTTGTATGATGGCTTATTACAGCCGATGTAGGTAGGGTACTATTCAGAGATAAGGATATTCTTGGACATTAAAGGCGATCTATTACACTCTTCCTCATTATCCTCATCAATATCATTATTGATGTTCATGTGAAACATAGCCAGATTTTCAAATAGTAAGGTCAGTCTCTGTCCAGGTAATTTTCAGATTCAATGCTGTGGGTGTGAGCACAGAAGCCACACCCACCTGCTGTTTAAATCTTCTATTTTCGAGGAGCAGCCAATCAGAAGACGGTTGAATTTAAGAAGGAGGAGTTGAAGAAGCTTGCTTCAGACAAACAAAAGATCTCCTTTAAACTTTGTAACACATGATCTTTTTGTTATTTTAACCACACTAATATGCACAACAACCAGTATAGTTCTTTAGAGACACCAAACACTACTACAGGACCCGAGCCATGAGCGAATAAAACTAACATCTGCAATATCTGTGACATTCAGAGGAAGCAAGTATTCATGATAACTCACACCGACAGTTCAGCAGCTGCTTCTCTTCTATCTACAATAAGAGAGGACAAGTGAGGGGAGCAGAGGGAAAAAGGCGAAGGACGGTTGGTTGTCATACATAGACAACAGAGGCCTGAGTTGCTGGAGGATTGTAAGTCTCTCTACCTCTCTTAGATTTGATGTTCAGCATGCTCGCCACCAAGAGCAGAACTAACAGCAGCAGCAGCAGCAGACAGGCCACGACAATCAACCCTTTTTTCCACGGTGCCATGAATACTGTAGAGAGACACAGATGGGAGGTGAAGTCAGTAACACAAAAGAACATAAAAGGGAAAAAACAGCAGCTTATGAAGGAGAAGAAGGTACTAAGATGGGGTTAAAGGTAGATGAATACAATGATCATTGTTTTTGTTTGTTTGTTTGGAAACCTTCCACGTTTAAACCGTTCCTCTTTCTAAGCATTACAGGAGATGGAAATGTGCGTTTGCAGGACAGTCAGTGTGTGCAGTCTGAAATATCCATCTGCAGATCTGGAGACATCTTTGTCAGCTTTTACTATCATCAAGTCAAAATTCAGAATACATGCCCCAAAATGTTTTTTATAATGTATTCAGTTACATTACTCAATGAGAGTAGCGTATTCTGAATACTTTGGATTACTTAATATATTATCAAGCTTTTTACATCTACATTAATGTACTATTGCTGTGTGATTTATTACTTTTACCAATACCAACTAGATCTTGAAATCTTAATATAGATGTGTAACAGTAGGTGGACATTAGGTAAGGCTGCACTTTTTGCAGCGATCCCGTGTAGAAAACTATTCCGCGCATATATAAATCAGGTCCGCGGCTCCGAACCACAGTAAAGGGACCTCTGGCTAATGCTTCATGTTCCATGTCGGGCTCGTAACCAAAAACTAGCTTTACTTTGTTGTCTGGGTCAACTTTGCTAGCGAGAGACAGAGAGAGGCGAAGAAAAGCTGCTCCAACAGAACTTATTGTTTCGGAGGAAAACACGAACACAGTGTACAGTTAAGTCTTGATAACTCACTTACAACTGGACTGCACTGCCCATGAGGCTACATTCTTTAGGGCTATGCCTGTAACACTCTGCCTATTGCCTTCATATTAAATAATTGTTTGAGCAATAATTTAAGAAAATATTTCATTACATCATTATACGGGCCGCAAGTAGAGGTGACATGGGCCCCGAGATTGGACTCAGGCACTCTGTTATTGCGTGTTTTGTTTCCACCGGCGTGGAATTACCAAAAATAGAGAGGAGACAGCCTAACATATGAAACAGGAAAAGACCGCCGTGTAATCCCTTTATTTCAACAAAGTAACTGTATTCTGAATACCACCTTTTAAATGGTAAATAAAGTTACTCATATTTTGTATTTTAAATATGTAACGCCGGTACATGTATTCCGTTACTCCCCAACACTGTCTGGGACAGAACATGTGCTAAACTAACTGGCTAAAGTCATAGTGAATCCATCCACCTTAGCTGCCTTTCTGTCCTACTGGCTACTTGTGGTATTGCAATGCAAAATAAATTTCCTGCAGGACTGAAGACTTGGTTAGACTGAAGAAAAGGTCGTGGTTTGGGGCTGTTTCTGACATTGAAATAAAATACTGTACGACCAATAAGAGCAGGGTGATGCCTGCTGAGCTCAGTCTCACCTTGTACATTTACGTTCTCACTTCTGACCTTGTTGGCGCCGTTGGAAGCCTCACAGTAGTACTCGTCACTGTCATTTTTGGAGACTGGTTTTATCTCCAAGTTTGAGTAGGTCTCTGTGGTGGTGTTGGTTTGCAACGGTACTACACTGCCGGTTCGGTACCACTTAAAGGTGACTGGCCCTGTGCCATTAACACTACATATGAAATTGAGTTCTTCTCCCTCTGAGATTTTTAGTGAAGAAGGGATGACGGCCAGAGTCATTTGGCTCAAAGGCACTGGGAGAACAAAACATGGAAGCAAAGAGGTGAGATTAGGCAGCATTGTAAAGTTTTACTTTGGCTTTAAAACAAGAACTTAAGCTTACAGTGTTTACAGTGGTTTTTGTGCAGATTAAACAGGAAGGACACCGTTTCTTGTTGTAAATGTAACTAAAAGTTTGAACAGGATGCAAGTTCAAACTGTGTGTGTACTGATTTGAAGAGATACACACTATCTCTTCAAATACACACACAATAGAGTTAGGGTTGGGTGGTCCTTTCATGTTATACCGCTTAATGCCAAAAGGTGTTGCAGTGAGTAAATGCGAGCTTCAATTAACCAGACAAATCATTAACAATAAGTTCTTATTTACAATGTCACCCCGAGCAAAGCTTCTCGAGAAAATAGAGGTGGAATTAACGATAAACGTTCAAAGTTAAAAATCGAATGAATCCAAAAACATCTTAATGTGCCCACTTTTAAAACACTGCCACCTGGTGGTCAAAGTGATATTTTACAGAGGACAAAATTCCCTTTAAAGACAGAGCCAGGCTAGCTCTTTCTGTTGGTTTCCACCCTTTATCCCAAATGTTCTACATATATTCTCATCTCTCATCTTTTATTTAAAAAAAAATGTAAAGAAACGAACAAAAAAAATCAGTTAGGCTTAAATATTTACCGATGACATTCACGCTGAGGTGTTGACTGGAGCCAGTTTTGTTGGAATGGAGACTATTCTTCGCCTCACACCTGTACTGTCTTTCACCAGGCTCATTGATGACATCCACAAAGACAGCTTGTCGATTTTGCTCTCGGATGACTTTTGTGCCCACTTGGACGTTATCCTTAAACAGGGTGTAGTTTATCGGCAGGCTGCCATTCGACTGACACAAGATGGTGAAGCTCTTTTTCAGGATCACCTTGTCCTCAATTGAAATCTTTAGAGCAGAGACATGAACTACAGAGGAGAAACAGAGCACAGACTTTATGAACTGAAAAAGTAAAACAAAAGTTGCTGCTGAAGGCTTAAATAGTGGCTATTTGTGTCATAGTGTAGAAACATAAATTATTCACAATTTAATGAAAGTCTCCTTGCTGATTAAAAGGTGATTTTTAATTTTGTGAACCTGAATGGTTGTTTGTGTTTTTGTGTTAGCCCTTTGTTGGACTAGCAGCCTGTTTGATAACTGGGCCCAACTCCAGCTATCAAACTGGATACGACGATGTTGTAATAATACTAAGAAAGGAAGAATTTTTTTTATCAGCTTTTATTAAGAGCTATGACTGCAATAAAACAATATTTTTAAATGACTGTTTTCGGTTCATTTTCATGTCTCAGAATGGGTTTGCCGATTTACACACTGGTAGTTTTTATTGCTTAAAATCTAAATTGAATTTTAGTTACTGTCAGTGTGGTTAAATTTGTAAAAACAGCAAAATAAGGAGATTTTGATGCATCCGGTTATTCACAGTGAAATAAATACAAAATCGTGAGCCAGCCGCCTCCACTAACTGCCATGGTTAGCTGAAGACAAACAGCTGGATTACAATCAATCACAGTAAACTCTGATTCATTTTTGATTTTTTTTTTTTTAAATGATACACAGCAAACGTTTCCTGACAATTTCTACATTTCAGATTTCTCAGATTTTTTTCCCCCTGAAGTATATTTTATATTTTATTTTCAAGTCAGGTTTCATAGCCAAGATTCTTGGTTCTAGTTTCCAGTGTTACCATTATTATTATTCCATTATTATCCTTTGGCATTATTGCCTTGATGGAGTAATGTGAAAACAGAGAAAACAGTTCTCCTGGGTGATGGTGGCGAGTCACAGGTTTGCCAGCTTGGAGAACGCAGCTCATGTCCTGTTCGGGAGTTTTATGTTGAGAACTTACTTAGGTTCAGGCATTAGGTTTAACAAAAGGCTTGGTTTAGTACCTCACACATTGAAAAACAAGGCTTTCTCTGTGCATTTAAATGGTCCTTAACATTGTCCTTAAGTGATGATTTAGGAGTAACTGATCTGTCTAAACTACGAGTGTCAGGCAGCGATTTGACAAAAGTATCTGATGCCATGGGAATAAGCGTAGTCTATTAAATTGGCGATGCACTTTATTATTTTTATTTGTTCATTTATTTAAGCAGCTAGTAGCTTTTGTTTTGTTTTTTTACTGAAATTTGATTTCTCTTAATTCAGGTGATAACTGATAACTGTAATACAAGAGCTGGGCCAGCACCAATGTAGAAGGAGTCCTATCATGACTTGTATGTAAAATGGACTTGACTGCACTGACATAACAATTTAGTCTGATGAACCATTAGACCACATTTACCAGGACTCACACATTGTCTCTGCACACATCACGCAAAGCTACTTGAAGACGAGGGACAACCTGCTATACTGCCTGTGCCACATGGACACATCAGTGCATTTAGAGATGAAGCTATTTATTGACACATTTATGCACTGAAGGACCAGAAGGGCATCAGTGTGCACTATACCCTGGACCCAAACAGAGATAAAGAAAACTCACCTTTAGGACGAATCATCAGGGTTTTGCTATCTTTCTTGATGCCTTTGGCTTCAGCTGAGCAGGTGTAGTTGAAATCATTCTGCAGGGCCTTCACATTAAATACTCCAGGTTTACCAGAGCTTGGTAAGTTTTTAGATGGATAAAGAGTGTACTCCAAATCCTCCCTGTTGATTCTTTGAGAGGCAAAACGATCACTGTTGCAGGTCAATGTCATAATTTGCCCTTGAAAGACTTCAGTGGGAGACATGGTGAGACTGGGCACTGAGAAGAGCTCTGTGGATAGGTTTACAAAACACACCAAGTCAGCATCTAGATGGATACATTTTTGCAAACATTAATGCAGTAACACAAAAAATGCTTAAACTATTTTAAAAGACCATTAGTGTGCTAAAGTGCATATTATTATTACTGAAATAGCAAATGGCTACAAAGTTGCATTAATTGCACAGCCAAAGCACTAACATTAGGGCTTCATTAGGGGGTGGGGATAGCTCAGTAGGTAAGGTGGTGGCCCCATGATCGGATGGTGGGGGGTTTGAAACTCTACCCTGAGGTACCCCTGAGTAAGGTACTGCAGGGAGCAGTGTGTAGGGACGGTAATACAAGCACACTCAGTGAATGAATGAATTACTCATTCACTGAGTGAATGGGTTAAATGCAGATCAATAAAGTATACTTCATTATTCAAAATATTGAGTCCATGAACCAGTGGTCCTACAGCCATCCAAAAAATAAGCTTCAGATAACTGTTTACAGAGGTCATCTTTCCTGTGTCCACTTACCAACCACTAAAATCTTCTTCTCAGAGTATTTCTCCACATTTCTCACTACCACTCTGCAGTCAAATGTAAGCGCTTCAGAGGCCTTTGGTACTGCAACCATGTTGTGGTTTATTGTAGAGTTGCCAGTCCTGAGAAGCTTGGTGCCCTGGCTCAGGAATAGCTTGTAACCTTCAGAGCTGGAGTGAACATTTTTTGCACTACACGAGATGTTGAGGTGGTCTCCTTCATAGATTGTGGAGTCAGGGAAAATCTTCAGTTCTGGTGTAATAGAAAGCTCTGTGGAGACAAAATAAATGAAGCACTGAGGTGAGACCAGTGCTTTCAAAAAGCAGCACAGTTTCAAAATGCTACTGACCTTTGACTGAAACAGTGACGTTGTTGCTTTTTGTTGAAGGGAAGGTGTCCTCTGCTGTGCGGATCTTGTAGGAGCAGTGAATTTTGTGGATGTCAGCACCGCTTAACCTGAAAGTGGTCTTTGCTTGGTTGGAGAGTCCTTCCACCCTGCTTATCTGTTCATCATTATCGAAGAAGAAGAAGATGAAGGACCCTATTTCACCCGGAGCTATACAGGTGGCTTGTACCTCCTCCCCTTCATTAACAACGTTCGTATTAAGATGGAGAACTGGCTGCGAGAGTCCTGGAAACATAAACAGACAGATCTCCCACATGTACTTGGTATTGCATTCAAACACATCCACAGTGTCACACGAAGGTTAAAAAGATTTTTGATCATAATCTGATCTTGTTTTGTGCTTTTCTCTCTCTGCTCTCCTTTCTTCTCTTTTCCAGCCAATCGCAGCAGATGGCTGCCCGTCCCTGGCTGCGATTCTGCTGGAGATCTCTACCTGTTAAGAGAATTCTTCCACCTCAGTCTGGCCAATTTTGAGGATTTCTTCTCCAAGATTTTGGGTGCTTTCCCTTGGTGGGTGTACTGATTAGGTAACTTCTCCGGTGTCAAATTTGAGGTTAGTCTCTTTATGGAGATACTTTTGCTGTATTGTGACCAATAATATAACAGAGATGTCAGAACTGGACAGAATTACCCCAGCAGTGATGTCACTAACAATGTCATAACTTGTGCTTTTGGACTGTTCTGCACCTGACAATTATTGTAAGCTGTTGTGCAGGACTGCTGGTACGGTCCACCAGATGGAAAGGCACGAGTGGGTCAGTTTTTAAAGCTTTAAGTACCAGCATAAATGGACATCACATTTCTTGTAAACAATGACCAATAGGTCCCCAATAACTGCGGCTTCAGGCTTCTGCTCTCCACACTAAAAGCGCATATATATAATTTAAGATGATGTCAGGGCTGTTGGCGCATAGTTCTGAGCTTGATGTGAACTTCCCACAGCTGACCAGTGTGTAGGGAGAATATTGCAAGCATGTCAGTCATGTGTCATAAAACAGAAAGAAAATGCAAAATGTGTAAAAACTAATTTTTCTTTCATAAATTCATAAGTACATCCTCATGAATTCAAAAACTCTATCATAATCTGATAATACTGCAGCTTTGCATGAAAACAAACCCACCTTGTACGTTGAGTCTTTGCGCTTTGCTCAACTTGGTGTCGCCTTGGATGTCTAGCTTGCACTGATACAAGCCTGTGCTGAAGACTCTGGCATTGTGCAGCTGGTACACGAAGTCCTCAGAGGAGCCAATGGTCTTGGTGTACACTATCTTGTCATTCTTCAATATGGTGTACTCACGAATCAGCCCCTTGCCAGTACTCGTGCTCACTGTGGCATGGCATCTCAGAGTCACATTGGTCCCCGCAGTCACATCGTTCCTGGGCTCAATGATTAGCTCGACACTTTGAATTTTGAATTCTATGAAATGAGATTTAACAAAATCAGTTAGAACTCATTTATCCAACCATATATCCTCAGCCTTAAACTTTTAACCTCGAACCATTTTTATATTAATTTTACTCCTTTGAGAGTTCAGCCATGTTGAAGTGTACAGTGCAGTCCACTCTTCTTATTTTCTGTCACATATATATTGTGATGTAAGTTCATATTAAACACCAGAGTTCCAGATAATGAGCTTAGAGTATGAGCCAAAACTCAGGCTTCAGACAGTTTGTTCTACTATAAATAACTCTGAATTGAATTGACTTTAATTTAATTTGAAAGTAAATTCTACATATTACTTTATGAAGAACCTTATGTTACAGTTCACTACTATTTAGTTTTACAATATTTATGTTTTTCCTCAATGTATCTATCCCGAGCACATCATAGTATAGATATGCTTGGTGGATTTCTTGCTTTGCGTTACACAGTTATATGCTGTTATGTTTGTTTTGACTCAGGAGTGAGAGATTGTTAGTGTTTAGAACTCCCCGTGAAAACAAAACGTTTGATTATGTATTTGTTTTTTAGAAAAGGAGCAATTTTTTCTAAAAGGAGCTGAAATTTACAGGAGCTGTTAAGGAGAAATATTAAGCTTTAACCAAAGATACTCAGCTTGCTTTGCCATTTTTGCAAAAATGAGAGAAGTACAGCTAATAAACAGCAATTATGATCATATAGAAGAAACAGTAAAAGGTCCAGAATTTATCGTTCTTTGAAAATATTTTGAAAATCCTGAATTAGCATTGATATGAACAATATCAACTCAGGATTCCTCCTTATATAACAGATAAATTAACATTGACTTTGGGGGAATAATGACAGGTCTGTGTTAGTAACATGTCACATTTTAATCACAACACAACTGACTAATGATGAAGAAAATGGTTGGCTGTCTCTTATGAGGAAAAACAATCCTCTCCCCAGGGCTTCTGTGCAGTAGGTGCTTGATTTCTCACAAATGGGTTCATATTAAACTGAAACAATTCAGGTGGAGGGTGAAGCTCCAGAAACATTTGTAGCACATGTATTTCAGCTAATGGCCTTCATCAGGGTTACGATTATACTTAGGTGTCCCTGAAGGCACCATGGCAACACTTGGCTGAGGTAGCCAGAACATTTAGTCCACTTGTTCCAGGGAAGAAAAAGGAAATGAGTCTATTTGTCTTCTTGGTTGATTTAATCTATCATGATTCACAAGTTCACCGTTCATCACTGCGTCCTTTACTTTCATGCCACAGCCTAAGAACCGAGCAGTGACAGGTTGGGGGCTCGTCCGGGATGAGCTGCAAAAAAATCAAACTCTGCTTCTGGTTTCATTTGCTTTAAATTTTACAAACAAGAATGACAAACCTTTAAGCCTCTTTGTCCAGCTTCTGAGTCACAGTTCAATCACTTCCTATTTAAAATGGCACTCCCTGGAGGTCATTTTGCTGATATATTTTCAACAACTACAACAAAAACATCTTTAACAGCTGTCACAGTATCGAGTTTTGTGCTCAGGAAGCTGATGTTTTTCTGTGGAATGCCATCATACTGGTAGCTATGTCCTGGCTGGATGTGAGACTCATACAAGAGACAATGCAAAATACAAACAATTCATATTGTATGAGTGTAAAATTCTTGGGTGAAAAAACAAAGGTAGGTGACTCCTCCTCCCCCATTTTTTACTCACAAAACTGATAAGAATCACTTTGTAAACACTACAGGATCATACGTGTGCATTTTTGTATTTGCTCCTTTATTTCTGTCCTTGTGAAACACTCATTTTCTTTGTTTTGTTTAGTTTTGTGTGTGTAATCAGTTTTCTTTTAGTGATGCTTTTTAATTCTCAGCCCCTTTTTTCTGGTTTAATTACATCTGCCATCGTTTACACAGCAGCATGGGAAAGCTTTGATAATCACCGGAGTTAGTCCCAAAGCCATGACTCAGTCATGTTTCACAGGTAAAAACTAATGAGTCATTCTCAGGACACAGGTGTTCATGTTCGCAAATCTTTAGGGACAACACTTTGCATCCTAGTCTCATCTGCAACCAGAGAGGAAAAGACTTTTAAATTAACAACTGTGGTTTTTTTCTGCAGGTAATGAGAAACAAAAAGCATCTGCACAGGTATGTTGAAGTCTCCCCACTAGATCACCATATGGTCAAGTATTAGAGACAACAGGCTGCTGCTGTGACTCAGAGTGTGTTGTTTAGAGGAAGTAAACAAACCCTGAGAAGGCAGGAAAAGCACTTTGTTAGACAAACAGCTACTCGGGGGACCTTTCACCATTTCAGGGTGTGATGAATCTGGAGCATGCCCAGCATCATTCAACAGGACTGGCAGAGCTGGTGATGAGAAAAAAGCATGCATGCAGGGCAGAGATCTGCTGCTGGTGCTCCATACAGATAGTGAGTCACAATACTGACATGTTGAGTTGGATATAACATCCTGCAGTACTAATTTTTCTTATATTTTACTACATAGAAAATAAAGAAATACTGTATGTTTTAATCCACAAAATATCTAAAAATTTTAATTCAGTTTTATTTAAATAGTCTGGTTTAAAACAACAGTTTTCGCTTCTATGATGTCGTACCTGTTCAAACAGTGGGAAGGAAGAACCTAAAATGAAGATATAACACATTTTGGGGTCAGCTTCAAAGAAAGGCAGGTGGGAGATCTGAGATCAAATGTGACATAATTGGATCCAAACTATAATGTGATATTTAAAACACCGGTATCATTTCCTAAATGTTGCCAATGGAAACAAAGGCAACAACATTTTAAGCAAAGTTTTAAAGATAAAGGACTTTTAATGAAAGGTTATTTGACCTTAAAGAGGAGGAATCAGGTCCAGCTGAGGATAAGAGGCGATATTTAGAATATAAATATAATTTAAATATAATATTATATTTAGAATCCCCATATATCGTATATGTTGTCAATACAAATAATCTCTCTGTATAGCATTATTATCACTTTGACCTAAAGATCAGTCTATTGCCTTTAAAAGAGAGGTCAGAGGTCAAATGTGACATGATATTTTAAATCTGTATATGGTACTTTCTACATGTTGATAATACATACCACACTTTTAAGAATCACAGTTTCTAAGTTATATGGCTTTTGGGCGCAGGACAACATGAGTAAAAGGATAAAAGAATAATTGAGTAATCAAAGTATTTAAATATGAGTACTGAAAAATATTAGAAGAGGAGAGCAAAAAAAATGAACCCTTTAGCTGATTTATTTTGTATAAAACATAAAAACATAATGTGCCGTATGGCAAGCAGTACATTTGAAAATGGACTGAATGGCTTTGTGAATATTGAGGCGAAATTATCATTGCAGAAACAATAAAAGACATAAAATCCAAAATGATGTAAAAACAGTTTTTCTCCCTTTGTGTGTAGGAAAACAGATACACACAGCCAGAAGCTCCTAAATGAGCTTTTTTCACTGGAAAGTGCAAAATACTATGTACATGTAAATCTGGAGATGAAAAGACTGAGATGTATTTAAAAAAAACTGCACATTATAAGATGTATTTATTATTGTGTTTATTGTGTATTATGTATTTATTAGTACTGTATGTATTTATTTCCTACAATGTGTCTCGCCTGTACACCCAGCTGTGTGTGAAATTTGCTAAAAATGTACTTTAAATAAAAAAAAAACCCTTTTATGTCTTTATCTATCTATTCATTTAAGAGTGTAGTGTGTCTTGGCTATTGTCTTGTTAAATTATTTACCTCTCCTGATCTTTAACCTCCTAGGACCTGGCGTCCACATATGTGGACATCACATTTTGGGTTCTCCAGACCAAATTACTAAATTTTGCTCTACGCGGGCCTGATATCCACTCACGAGGACATTATGCTGCCTCTGTTTCATCAAAATTTAAAACGAATATCCTCATACGTGACTCTCATTTTTCTTAGGAACAAAAATCGGGTAAAAAAAAAAAAAAAAAATCTGGTGATTCTTTGTTTTTACATTCATTGGGTCCCAATGTGACCAAATATCAAAGAGAAATTAAAAATGCATGTGGTGGAAGAGTTCGGGTCTTAGGAGGTTAAAACACTTTCATCAGACACAATCTGGAAAGAAGCGAATAAAACTGGTTATTTGTGTGTTTCTACTCGTACTGAGGACTTTAACACTATAAGACACTTGAATCTACACACTCTAGGTGGTTCTTATCGACCACACGAACACTCACATCAATGGATTCATCAGGCGCGATTTGAGGTTCAGCTTTTTTGCCCAGAACATTTCCACAAACACACCTAAGAAATGACCCAAAATGCCCAACAACTGCAAAAGCTACACCTGATTCAGAAAAATACATCAAACACATCCACAAAGCCACTTAAACCTGGGTTTTACTTCCAGTTTGGACCTGCTGATAACACACGCCTTGTGTCAGACGTGAATCTGCACAGCTGATCCAAAGTGACTCATGCCTTCCATCACAAACCAACTTCAGAGTACAGGGAGGTGTGTGACAACGCTCGCCAACATGTTCCCAACGCTTTGTGTCGCAACTTTTCCACCATGGCAGAGACCAGAAATCTCTGATAACAACTCAGACTGTTTCCACAGTCTTAGTGGAAGATAGATGATTGACGCCAACCCAGTAAATGGAAAGTCAACAATAAGCTCAATGAAAACAGGCTCTTTCTGAGAGCCTGTTCAGCTCTTGTGTTTCCTGCAGATCAAGTCTAAGCATGGATTTAAATCTCTCATTTAGCTTAAATGGTACTCACCTTGCTGTGTGTTCACCACGGTTGCTGAGTATAGGTCTTGGAAGAAATAAAGAATTGAAACCACAAAGTTAGAGACAATCATCAACTGTATCCTCAAATAAAAAAGTTTCTATATAAAATTAAAAGTGAGTATTCTCACAGATGGACAGGAGGGTGAGGATGAGCCGTTGTGGGAGGCCCATGCTGTCTTAGGAACGCTGCTGGCTGTCCTGGAGGTTAACAAGCTTGTGACAAAGCTGGCTGCTGGTGTGGTCGTGTGGCTGGTCAGGATCTGGGAGGCGGGAGCGGGACATTAACGTGGTGCTTTAGCTCAGCCGCTCATTGGTAAGGCAGTGACGACGGTTATCACACCAAGCAGTCATCGGCTTGGCTTAATTTGACAGGAAGTGAGTGTTGTTTCCTCAGGATGTTCAAACCGCCCCGGCCTTTGCTGTTGTGGAATGTTCTCCTATGGCCTCCTCTGTGTCTCTGTGTGTGAAATAGTAGCCACAATAATGCTGAATAGCATGGGGTGCAGAAGTGAGGCCTTTGACCTCTGACCTGGCCATGCAGGTAGGGAGAAGAAGACGAGTACAACATTCTTTGCATAGAGAAGCCGTTTCCTGATGGGAAGATGCTTGGCTCAGCTGCTGAAAACAGTTTTCCCTGACATAAATCTGAGCACAGCTCTTACAGGACACATGGAGATGGAAATATTCCCACTACTTTGTTTGGTCTGTGATGTGGTAAAATAATTCCAGAGCAAAATCAACCACAAAGTATTCAATTCTAAATGAACAGATTATAATTGAAGTAAAAGACCTAAAAATATACCTGTGTTTAATTTTAGTTTACTATTAGCTTATTTAAAATTACATAAAACTGTAAAGTGCTTTCCAAAGTTGAAAATCATATGGACAATTAGCTATAAAGGTGAATTAAGTTCTCAGGTAAATAAAACGCTATAAAAACAATAGTAAGGTCAAACTGAACCATGGGAGCGTTTAATATTTAGAGAAAAAAAACTGGCAAATTAATATTGAAGAAATTATCCAAAATTAAAATACGTTTTCAAGAATTAAAAACTTCCGAAAAACATTGTTTCGTCTTCTGTTAAGGAACCACATCAGCCTCATCACAGGACAGACCCCACCCGTAAACAAAGACTAAATGATTCCAGAGGCATTCGAGTGACGTCTGGAGGGACTTGACACAAAAACGTCTGAACGGGTCCAGCTCACTCACGTGTCTCTTCTGAGCCAACATTAGGAGGATTTCCTCAGTGAATCTTGATTTGATGAGGTCACCCACTGTAGTGAGGTCGGTCCAGACTTGCAAAGTGAAGGCTTTGTCTTCATTTTCAGGGTTAAAAAATTATTACTATAATGAATTAAAGTTATAGACAACACAGTGATGATAAAACATACTATAAAGAACAAAAAGAAAATGCAGCTGTGAAACAACCACAGGCCTCAAACCTACTTATCTGCAGTAACCTACCACATGCTTTTACTGCAGCAGTTCTCTGGTTAGTTGAAATGGGAACGGTCAGATTTCATGGTGCTTTTCTATCATCTAACTAAAGAAATGCCAACTTCTATGAGTATGTGCCTTTAAGAAAACCTGTTTTATATTGTTGGAACATTTTTCAGTTTGGAGCTGAACCTGCAGCTGGAAATATTCAGTCTTTTTAAACTATAAACAAGCACGTCACTAGAAATGACATTAAAACAGAATGAAACTTTACAGGCACGCTTTAATCATTTTATTAAAGACACAGCTGTTATTGTTACCATCACCACAAAACATGGTATTTTTAGACTTATATCTATCTGCACAATTAAATTATGCAGTAATGGGTCTAAATTCATTTACAAATAATTAATGAAACTTTGAATAAACAGACTACGAAACAAGAGAAAGAAGGGCGGGGTGTAAATGATTATTAAAAATTCATCCTTATTTAATGTTATCCTGAATTATTTATTTGAAAATTCATTTTTTCTAAATAGAGTATGAAATTGGATTTTTATTAATTAAAACATTATGTAATTTATGCCCAAGTTGACTGATCTTTTCATAGCTCCCTTTTTAATTTGAAAGTTTTATTTATGGGCTTATAATGCTCTTAACTGCTCTGTATAATAAAATTATTTGGGATTTACTGCATTTATTTTTAAATACATCAAATTAATTAATTTTTGCTTTAATTGTAGAATTCATCTTTATAAAAACGTACACTTTGTGGTCCTAACAGATCATGCCACACGAATGACCAAACCCAGTAAAGTAGGACAGAACGATTAATTCCATCCAGTGTTTTTCCAGCAGCTGTAGCATTTGGGTGATTTTGAACTCTCTGATTCAGCTGCTGAATTTGCTAAAAGCAGCTAACAGGATGTTGTGGGTAACGAGAGGTTAGCTGAGAGCCAAAAGTCCATCAGGGACTTTTCTTAAAGGATCTTGAGTGCCCATGGAGCTTTTTGAAATTTCAAAGGTTCCTCCCATCACCCCCAACCAGTCACAGCAGATGGCTCCTCCCTGATCCAGAGGTTTCTTCCTGTTAAAAGGGAGTTTTTCGTTGCCACTGTCGCCACAGGTCTTGCTCATAGGGGGGGTCACCTGATTGTTGGCGTTGTCTCTGCATTTTTGTTACAATTTTTTTTTTAACAATAAAAAGCATATTGAGCCAACTGTTGTTGTGATTTGGCGGTATTTAAATACAATTGTATAGAAAAGAGACTAAACATCCATCTCGGTGTGACGGATGTGATGAGCAAGACGTTTGGCCCATAGTGACAAAATAAAATGAACACCATGTTGTGTTCAATAAGACTTAAAATGAGACTGAACTTCAGTTAAATGTTTAATGAGGTCAAAAATAACATGTGCCAAGTGTCCCATTTTCTCACTTATATAATTAGATAGAATTTGTATATATTATATAGGTCTATACAATTTACTATATAATTAGTCCTCTTTCTGAAACCAGAGGTGTCGCCTCCTGCTGGCCAGTAGAATGTATGCAAGCTGTTAGTTTGTGGTGCAACTTTATAGAAATGCAATTCAACCGGTTTATGGTTTTTTAGAAGTCAAATTTACACAAACTTTGAAACAAGCTCAGGTGTTAAACATATGGTGATGCACTAAGTTGAGACAAAAGTTGTTTAAATGAATGAAATCTCAGAAACTCCAAGAAAACTAACAAAGCCCACATTAACATGAAACCTTGCCCTCCCCTAATCCGGTTTTATTTTGGTTTCAGTTTGAACCACTAGGAGATCTCGTCAGCTTTGAGTAGTACATATATCGTTTTCTTACATATTTGTTTGAAACAGCTGAACCGATGCAGCTTCAGGATATGAGACAATGCGTGTGTGGTGCATTGAGGCTTCCACGTGGTGCCGGGACTTCCCAACAAACCTAAAACAAAATATAACTCTAATAAACTAAGCAGTGGAGTTTTAAGATCTCTCTTTAATTTAGAAAAGCAAAGCAGATGTTCTTTTTTTTCATAAAGTTTTCTTTGACTTTACAAAATTAATATAAATTCACACGAAACTAGAAATTAAAATAAGACAACAGACGCTTGTTTGTGAACAATTATTTATAATTTAGAAATTCATCCATAAAGGATATTCTCCTGTTTGTAGTGTGTTTCAGTAGAAACAGCTCAGCAACATCTGGAGGCTTCTTTGAATACACATTGAAGAAACAGACAAAACCCGGTGTTGTATTTGGTTTATTTCACTGATTTCATCTCCTGCTTTATGAACCACAGTCAGCAAAGCAGTCTGAAGTCACAGACACAAACCTGATTGTTTCACTTTTCCTTTCCTACTAAAGACTTTTTGTCCAGCTCTAAAATCTTAAAACTCAAAGCAGGATACTCAGAGATGAATGTGAGTGTGAGCTGAGGGCTTGGACCAGCTCAGTGAGCGTGTGAGGGTGGAGACTGACGTGGTGACCGGACTGCATGTTGTGTGGTATGTTTGGTGTTTCCAGTTCACTTTCAGTCTACAAATCCACTCCGTCTGTGGGGGAAAAGTAGAGCTCGGGAGGCGCGATGCAGATGGGAGGTGTGGCAGGAAAAGAGAGGGGGGAGCAGCCTTTGAATGCTAAAGCTCCCCCACCCACCCCCCAAGGCCAAGGCGAACAAAGAAGAATTAAAAACATAGAAAAATACAAGAAAAGAACGAAAAAAAAAAGATTAAAAAGGCAAAGCTGCCTCAGAGGAGAGGCACGACGATGGTGATAATGCACAAAAAAAAAAAAAAAAAAAAAAAGCTTTAGGAAAGAGCACCACATTGACGTCAGTTTTCATGATCTCTTGCTTGTGACTGACCTCACCTGCCTATCATGCTGCAGGGGGAGGAGGGGGCTAACGGGGGCTCGTGAAATACCTGAGCGAAATCTAGGGGGCTGACTAAAACCTGATGCAGCGAGCAACAACAGGTGAGTCGGCGCTCTCTAAGCATGCGGCGCACTTTCGCTCCGTTACACATAATCAATCCAAAGAAGTCTGCAATAAAAGCAAAATAAGAGCTGAAATGAAACCCTGCAGCGGGGGTTCATAAAAAAAAAAAAAAAAAAAAAAGGATCTGAATGAAGACAAAGCTGCGCCTGATTGGTTTAAATTAACAAGAAGCTTTACTTCTATTTGTATTTTCCAGAAGCCATAAAAATGAAAGCAGCTTTTTGAGGGCTTGTTTGACCCTCAGGTAAATCATAAAAACCGCCATCTTTACTGTGACAGCAGGTAAAGATGGCACAGCCATACGATGAAGTCTAAAGGAAACTCGCTGTCGTGAATGGAAATGTGTGCGTTTGTATTGCTGTACTGTGGCAGCCGAACACCCCCTCCAAATGGAAGTGTGTTTTTCTGTGGGAAACAGGAAGAGCTTGAGGCTGGATCGATCACGAGCAGTCTTATTGCTTTGCAGAGGCAGGTAGGTAGCTGCCGCGGTCTCTAGGTAGGACCAGGTACTTGGCTAGCTCTCCTCTCACTGTGCTAGATACAAGGGCATGCGTCATCCTAGTAACAAAGCAGGTTTAGCTAAAACAAACAAAACAAAAAGCACACCCCTCCGAGCCACAGCGAAGGGGACTGCATGGAAATGATGATTTTGTTTGGCACGCTGGGGCGAAGGAAGCGAGGAGGAGAACTGCAGAATGGGAGCAGGTGTCTTTTTGGGCAAGTCCAAGGCTATGAGAGCCCGCTGTGGGCAGGGCACATCTGTGCTATAATTCCTTCTAACACTCACAAAAACAAACTCGTCACGTCTGCCGGCTTGACGTTTTCAGGGAACAGTAATCACAATCCACCTTTCCGGGGTCCGTCCTTCCAAGCCCTTCCAAGCGTCTTGGCGGCAGGTGCTGCGAAGTCACGAAACTCCGCATCCTCGGCCAGTTTACGCACACGCACCGGGGTTCGGTGGCGTGGCGAGTTCATGTTTCCTGCACCGGTTAATGTGTTTGAACAGTGTGTGCGTGCTGTCCTCTCTCGCCACATCTGGATTGGGTCAGAGTTTGTTCAGGTAGTGATGCTCGCTGTGTGGCGAGGAGAGGCCCCCGGTGATCGACAGGTACCATTTTCTTTTCTTTTTTAAAATAGAACCTCTCTTCTTCTGTAGATGCTATTTAAATATACACACTCAGCACAGCCAAGTCTACAATCATTAGCTTCATAATAAGAATATGAATAAACAATGATAATATAATATATATAGAGAGTCGTCTGTAGCATGAGTTTTCGTCAGCAGCCATCACTAGAACATTCAGGGTGGTAATTGCATATGTACACGAAAAACAAAAAAGAACGTCATTTACATCCCGGTGCTTGAGGCTCAGGGTCACAATTCATGTGTGATGATGGGGAGGAGAGGTGATGGATGCTGGTGTGTTATCTGAGCCTCTTCTCTGCCGAGTAGATGGACATGTAGTAGTCGTTGCTGCCTACCGCCAAGTGAGGCTGCAGGGAGACGGAGAGAAAAGACAGGGGAGGTTACTTGGTAACTTCTTTTAACCAGAAGTTGGTAACCAACCTAGAGAGTCAGTGTTGTCCAGTTTCGGACATTAGCATTCATTCGCCGTCATGTTTCTGACTAACTGCGAGCCCAATATTCACCTCCCACCGCTCCAGAGAAGAATACCTGACTCTGTGTACACCAGCTAACTTTGCCCGAGTGCTCTTTGATGTGGAGGTTTGTCACTAAAGGAGGTAACAACTGTGACTGGAGGCAAATTTAATGAGCTCCGAGTAAGAAAACCAAAGAAATGAGCTAAACAAATGAAATTTCTCTTTGGGTTCAATGTGACAAGGAACATCTTTCACAATTTGCATAATTGTTTGATATAAAATTGATGAGTGCAGTTTTAAAGTGAAGACTGAATTGCAGATTAAATGCTGTGGCTAAGTACCTCTAAAGGAAAGCTCACTCGAACATTTCCACTTTGGGATGCATTGTTTTTTTAAATTTCACTAAATTAGAGATATTCAGTTTTTTAATAACATTTATGTGTCAGGTATAGGTGTTAGCTTAACACAACAACAAAGACGATACAGATACACAGTTGAGCTCTAGTTTTACCCAGTGAGGATGGAAGGCTAAACAGCTGATGGCACCAATCCTTTGTCCCATGAAACCGTCATAGTACTTAATGTTGCTGATCACGTCGCCGTTTGCATTGTAGACCGCTATGAACTGGTTCATCGATCCACTGGAAGGTCGACAGTGAAACACAGAAGAGTCACACACGTGCATTTAGGTATTTACTTGAGGAAAAAGCATCTGATTCTCTGGGTTTGACCCAACGTCAAGCAAACCAACTCACCAGGCGAACAGGTTGGCCTGTGGGTGGATGTCTAGAGCCGTTAAGCCTTTCACCGTCTGTAGCACATTGATGGACTCCGGCATCCGTGGCTCAAAGAACCGCACATCTCCGTTAACACTGACGGGATAACCAGAGTCAGCACAGGCAAGAAAACATTCAAGTTAGTGTCTGTGAGTCTGAGCAGGTGAAAGAGGATACCTGACGCTGATGATGTGCCCGTCTGTCTCCTTCTGTAGATGAGCTTTTACCACCCAGGCTCCGTGCTCCCTGTAGGTCATCACACGACTGCGGAGACACAACAAGCGTCAGTTAACTACGCTACAAGTGACATCAAGTCAAAACAAACCATTTAAAAAATATGTCTTTTGGTACATTAAGTGGTATTTTCACCACCAACAGGAGAGCCTCTAGTGTCTGATCATCCATGGGTGCAGTGAGGCCGAAAATATCTGCTACTCACTGTGTTTTGATTGACTGACTCACTGCTTTGGGCTAACTGGGTGTGAAAAAGCCCTGAAGAATTAAATGATTGCAGCAGAAGCGAGAATAAAAACACGTGTCTATCACACGAAGGAGCTTTTCTTGAAGCCTCATCCAGCAACACTTTAAACGCCGTTACAGTCGTTAAATTTCTTTCTTTCCTTAATTAAAAGCAAATCAAGTAATGTGACTAAACGATCTGGCTGTACAGTAAAGCTGGGTGCACATTCAGTAGAAAGGCTCTGATCTGACCGCTGATTTAACTGGGTGGTGACTTTCTTCTTGGGTAACCAGTGTGGTATTAAAAAAAACAAAACAAAACTGAAGATAAATCCTGCTGCTCTACATGTAACGAGGATGACACACCACTGGGTGGCAGAGTGGCATCAAGGTGGGGAGAAAAAACAGTCTTTCTGATTTTATTTTGTATGACCATCTTCTTGGGGCTGAGCGGCGCTCGAATTACCGGATAAGTAAAGAAACACTTTACAGTCGGAGCACAGATGTGCCAGAACGAGCGCCTGATCTGTCTAAGGCCGAATTTTAAGGACTCTTTTCTCCAAGCACTGAAAAAAGAAGCTTCTCTATACAAAATTTTCCTAAGACCGAGTCCAACCATCAGCTCTGGGCTGATCAACATGGGGAGGCAACAGTTGCTGAAAGATGTAACTCCCAGCCTGAAGGGGAACTATTAAATTAGCTTCATTTAAAGATTTATGGGCCACTTCATGTTTTAACTGCCTTGTTTTCCCCCTCAGGGGCTGAAATTAAAATAATGTTTAACCAAGCTGGGGGCACGGGGTCCATTAAAGGATGAGGCAACCCCAAAGGGAGATTTATGGCACACTACATACAATAAATATAGATTAGAGAAGTGAATAATGCACGAGTCTGGAGTAGGAGAAACTGCCATGTATGTTCTTCAGTGAAATTAAATAACGTTGAGACAGTAAAATAAAACCGTACTGAGAAATCATAAATTTGAAAGTGATTTAATGGGATTAGAAAGTGATGATGGGAGGCTACCATTCATTGGGGCCCATCCTCCGATCGAAGACCCGCACAGACCCGTCACCCAGACCGGCAACGATCAGCGAACGCTGGGAGTCGCAGGAGAGGCTGGTCACACAGCTGTCCGCTCCTGTTGGGATGTCCTGGCGCACGAACACACGCACACAAGAACACACACAAATCCTCTTGTTAAGGTCCGTAAAGGTAACGCTCATTTCACATTAAACCTCCTTTAAAATCATCAATCATGTGCTCTGTTGGCTCATTTGAAGCTGGGCGCAGCATCAATATGCAGCCATAGGCGAGACTGGGGCCATTTGTACTTGTATTAAGTCCATCCATCATGACAATGATTAGCACACCGAGGTCCATTAGATGTGTAAAAACAAGGAGAAAAGAAAGAAACCACACTAATGGTACCGGCTCTGCCTCACACTTCCATTACTTTGCCCAAACAAACAGCAGCAGCAGCAGCAGCAGAGAGCTCCGTGAACACATTAAGTTTTAATGTGAAACGCCTCAAAAACAGGGTTGTTTTCATGTTTTAGCACCAAGAAAGTAATCCGAGTTGTTCCTGATGAATATTACAGCTTAAATCTAAAATTCCACCAAAATGCTTCCACACAGCGGCCTCGTTTGGGAAAAGTTGAAAGCTAGACTCAAAATCCTGCTAAAGGATCATTTTGTATTGTCAACGAATCGTGAAAGGACCAAAGTGTGATTTTTGGATACACAGAAGATCTGATGTAAAGTGTTGACGTTTAGATCACAACAACTGCGCTCTGTAGAGGTCGCCACAGCGAATCATCTGCTTCCATCTCACCCTGTCCCTCTGCATGTCCTCCTTCACTACATCCCTGAACCTCCTCTGCTGTCTCCCTCTTTTCCTTTGATGTTTAGATTTATGACAAATGGCAATAAAAGTCTCGTTAAGATTGAAATTCTACTTAGAAACATGAAACCTGCAAGTCTCATATTTTCTGAAACTACTTTCCAGAGACATGAAGGAATAAACTAAATCAGATGGTCACGACAATGATTTAGGAACTAGAAGGAGGGCAGAGAGTCACACTTGACTGACACAGACCAACAGATGCTCCATTTGCCCTCAGCTCTTTTACCCGATTTTATAAAACTAATGAAGAGAAACACAAAGCAGTGAGGTGTGCCGAGTACCTGGACCTTCATTTCTCTGTCAGTGTCCCAGATCCTGACGACTCGGACGTCTCCAGACGTCATGAGGAACCCCGTCTCCTGCTCCCAGTCCACGACCATACCTGCTCCTACAAACACAGGACGACACAGCGACACTTACAACAAGCACAAATGGGACTGTGCGCTCGATACGAAGCACACACCAGGATTATTTATTGTTTTCAAAACAACAGAAGGTGGCTTTTAATCACAATTACACGAACAGCATAAGAATAATTTGCACACAATCTGCGAGCTGCAGTTTGAATTTGATGTTTTTTTTTAATTTCATTTAAAAAGGGACCTTTACAAACACCTATAAACACAGCTGCTAAACACACAGAACATGTGCTGATCCCAGTAATACACAGCCCACGCAATCTGTCGGAGGTTTCAGGAGGCTCACGCTGACACATGTACCAAGTCAAATGAAAGATTAGTGCGGCAGGCTCCTGCACCAGTGCGTCACTAATAAATACAACAGAAAGGAACAATCAAAGAATGAGCAAAAACCCTGCTGTCTGCAGAGTGTAAAGGTGCAGAAGAAATGTTTTTGCAGTAAAACTCGGACCATTAAAACCAAGTCATTCCCGAGTGTACAAAGGCGCACTTCATGCAGACTGAAGCATTGTTTAGCATTTTGCATCCTCCCTGTCAGGACGACCACTGGGAGATGCAAACACTGACCCTGGAACTGCGCCTGTCAGCAGATTCCGGCTTTGATGAGTCAAATGGCACTCGAGCGAAAAAGTGAGGAAGGAAGAAGCTGAAGACAGCAGGACTCTTCGTGTGCTGGCAGTCACAGCAGGAATCAAGTGAACAGTGCAGCACAAGCTGTGCTGCACTGTTCACTGGTCAACTGGTCAATTATGGTCTCTAGTTTTGACACTATTAATTTGAACAGTTCAACAAGCTGAACAGCAAATAAATGCCTCCTCCTTTTCTTTACTGCTGTTAGTCAGTTTAAATCCTTTGACCCAAGTTTGAATGGGAGTGTGAGGATGAATGGGGCGACGGACTGGTGACATGACCAGAGTGTACCCACTGTTTTGCTCTGTGACAGCTGGGATAAGCTCCAGCGACTGAACTGAATCAGCGATTAAGAAAACAGATGTACGGGACATAACGCGAATTTGTGCTAACACTCTAAAATTGTTTTTAGGAAAAACAGGAGGGCTCTCATGGAGGAAAATGATTTTCTGAAACTTTCCAGCAGGCTTAGTAAATATGAACCCCCATAAAATACGTTCACCAGCCATTTTACACCAGTTAAACTGCTCATTAACATAAATCTCTAACCAGCCAATCACAAGGTAGCAGCTCAGCGCACTTAGACACGTAGGCATGGTGAAGATTATCTACTAAAATTCAAATGAACCATTAGAGCGGAAAAGAAAGGTGATTTAAATGATTTTGAATGTCATTGAATGGTTGCTGGTGCCAGCTGGGCTGAGTATTTCAGAAACTGCTGATGTGCTGGGATTTTCCATTAAAACCATCTCCAGGGTTCACAGAATGGCCAGAAAGAGGGAAGACACCCAGTGAGTGCTCGTTCTCTAGGTGAAAACACCTTGTTGATTCCAGACAGCTTGAAGCTGACAGGAAGTCTACAGTAACCATGTGCTGACCACGTCCATCGCTTTATGACTGTTAATAGCTTCCACAGTCACAAATAGAGGCAGCATGGTGGCACAGTGGTTAGCACTGTTGCCTCACAGCATTAAGGTCCACCATCAGGGCGGGTTCTTCCTGTGTGGAGTTTGCATGTTCTCCCCATCTTTGCGTGGGTTCTCTCCAGGTACTCAAGCTTCCTCCCACAGTCCAAAGACATGCAGTTAGTGGGGATAGGTTAACTGGAAACTCTAAATTGCCCAGAGGTGTGAATGTGAGAGCAAATGGTCGTCTGCGTCTATGTGTTAGCCCTGCGACAGACTGGCGACCTGTCCAGGGTGGACCCTGCCTCTCGCCCCAAGACAGCTGGGATAGGCTCCAGCCCCCCCGCGACCCTGGAAAGGATTAGCAGCAGAGAGTGGATGGCCTGTATTTATATAGCGCTTTACTAGTCCCTAAGGACCCCAAAGCGCTTTACATATCCAGTCATCCACCCATTCACACACACATTCACACACTGGTGATGGCAAGCTACATTGTAGCCACAGCCACCCTGGGGCGCACTGACAGAGGCGAGGCTGCCGGACACTGGCACCACCGGGCGGATGGATGGAGTCACCAATAGAGCAACTTCATGATGTGGTGTAACAGGAGAGCAGGATGTGCGGCTGACGACTCTGGAGCAAGTGCATGATGCTGTCGTGTTAACACGAGCCAAAGTCTCTAAAGAAAAGGCAAAAGAGGGTCCAACGTGGTAGAGTGAGACATACCTAATAAAGTGGCTGATGAGTGTAGTTACAAGCCAACTTTGTGTGTATAGTCAGGGTTCAGCACCCCTCCAGGTCTAAGCTGACCCCCCTGCTGGTCCTATGCACCAGATATCTTTATTTGGCTAACGATCCCTCGGCTGCTCCCATTCGCTGCTCTTCACACTGCAGTCTGGCCTGCCTTTGAGTAAAGCAGCAACACTAATATTTGCCGCTGGCAAGCAAAATGAATCCAGAACAACCACTAAAATATCTGCGTTCATAAAACAACAAACAAACAAAAGCCAATACTTTCAAAGGTGCTCGTTTAGCCATAATTCAAATGTAACAGCAAAGCCACTTAAATGCTACAAACTGTTTACTGTCAAGAATAAAACAGATAAATAATTAAGCAAATGCCTACTGAGACAAGTGCAGAATATTCATAATTTACTGAAATGATCCACTGAAGGCAGGAGTGTAATTTCAGCTTTATCGCTGCACACAGTAATTCTGCCTCTCTCTCTTTCTGTCGCAGGAAACTCGGACCAGTAATAACCTTTTTTTTTTGTGTTGGAGAAAATGAGCAGGAGCTCGATCGGCTGACCGTACAGTGAAAACAGAGAAGTTGCAGCTTCTGGCTTTAAACTATGAGTTAACATGCTTGATAGTGGCGGCACAGTTTTAAAGGGCAAAGCTAGCGGCATGCTTTAATAGCAAATGGTAGACAGATGAAAGTCACATGATTCTGAGAGCATTAACCTGAACAGACCTCTGACATCAATCGTCTGGACGACAGACTGGAAGCAAATCTTTTCTATCAAGCGGCTCAGGATTAACACACGTAACAGGTTTTATGCATATTACATGTGCAAGACCTTCAAACTCTGTGCGAACTACTAAATTTATGTCTGGTCAGCTAACCTGCAGTGACCAGCATTTTAATGGAGCTTTAACCACACGTGCTGCTCGTCTGCATTTTTCGGAGGCTTTTCTGCCTTCAGTGAAAGCCAAAATGACAGGAAATGATGGGCGAGACAGACCGGAAATGAGGGGTTACAAAGGTCACGGGGCAAATTAAAGCAAGGAAGGTTATTCTATTAAACCACAATGAGGGTGCACACAAACTACTTGATTCTCTGTACATATACAGTACGTGTCACTGCACCTTGTCTGTGTTGTGTTAAAAGCTAAAGCCTGTGTGTTTTCCATTTTAATTGACGTAATTTTCAAAGTACATAATGCATCTTTTTTTCATTTTAGTAAACAGAATAAATCCTCTTAGCTCACTTTGATAACCTTGGCACAGATGGAGAAATGCATTTCCAACAAGCCAGAGTGCAGACGCTCTAATGGAGGGTTGAATGGTGGAGGAGAAGAAATAATGGGGCAGGTAGCAAAACACACATTAAAAACACACTCCATCTCGCCCCCTTTCTTGCAGGAGTGCTTTCACCACAGACGTTACAGAAACAGCCTCCTTTTCTATCCTCTTGAAACTCATCACGCCAAGCTTCATTTCCTCCTGTTCCTCCTCCTTTCTCTCTGAGTCACTTCCTCCTCCTGTTTTTACACAATCAATAGCCATCTCCAGCTCACCCACCTGTGTCAGCACCTTGCTTCATACATTCATCTAATTTTTTTTAACACTGCTTATTTTTATTCTCATTTGCTTCCTTTGCAAAACGAAGTGTAGATGAAAAGAGAAGAAGCTATTTTCTTTGCTCTTCCTAAACCTTGTTGAAGAGCGAACACGTTAATTATTAGACATCTCCTCCGGCTGATCTCGAATCATTCACGCGTCTCATTTATCAGTCGTGACTGAGCTTCCGCTGCTGTGTCACAATACCGCTCGGCTTCTCTTACACTGTCAGGAAAACCCAAGCCCCGTGCGGCGGCTTCAAATCAAAGCGTGACGTCACCCGGCCCGCTCGGGCGTCACGCCGCCGGTGTGCCTTGGCACATGTTGGGGAATAGCATGCAGGGGAAACCGCTTCACAAGACTGTGCGGGCTTCTCACGCTGTGAAAAGGAGGAGGCGGCATTCCCTTTGAGGCTGACAGACTGGTAATGAGGAAATCTGGGTTACAATGAGTGGAGGGGAGAAGGGAAGATTCCCCAGTGCACTGAAGTGTGTGCAGGAGGAAACGCACATCAGCAAACTTTCCCAAAGATTTACATACAGCTCATCAACGCCTTTCTCTGTGTGCTCTCACAATAAGAAATTCTTTGGGCCAGTGGTTCTCAAAGTCAGGGGAAAACTGGAGTCAAATAAAATGATGCACAGACCTGCTTTTCCTGCAAAGCATTAAAGGACTGCCGGGCAGAACTAAAGCATATAGTGATTCGAAAACAAACGTCATTACAAATTAAACAGATGACGAGCAAAATATTAGCTGCTTTCACCCTTTATTAGTTTCATCATTTGTTTCGGTAATGACACAAAATGAAGTTGGTAATGTTTGGCAAACGTTGCTTTTGGGAATGTCAAACTCAGGCTGCACTCCTGGCAAGTCAGCTGATTGCAGTGTTTACCACATTACCTCTGGTACTGCTCACAGGGAATAAGCTATTCGACTTCCTTCAGCCTGCCTATAGCTGCTGTGAATCTGCCAGCTGTGTCACAGCACACCTCCACCCCAGTGCCACCTTTTTACACTGCGTCTAACTTGATCAGTGTCCTACCTGTTGGCACCGAAGCCTGTTCTGTTTTGTACAAAGGTCTTGCTCCTGCTCTCCCTGCTTTACGCTTTTAGGTGCATTCACGTGGAAGGCAGAGTCCCTGACCAGAGTCACAGCCCCAAATCAGAAATATTCCATACAGATGCTGACTGAAGTCTGATAATACGGCTGAGTTTGAAATTGTATTTCTTGTCTCAGGGATTTGAAACACGATGCTCCTTGAACACAGCCTTTGTGACTTTCTTCTGAAGATTTCCTTTCTTAACTCTTTCTATGTGAAACAAAAGTCACAATTTCTATGCATCATGCGCTAATGACTTAACTCTTTTTAGTTAACTTCCTGGGCAAAGTGACAAAGCGCAAACTTCCCAGATGTTCCACTGACTTGATGACTAAAAGAAGCCGATTAAAAGAAATATGGCTGACTTGTTGCTTCTGTTACATTCTAGAAAATATTCTAGAAAAGAAAGAGGATCAGAAGAGATAAAGGAACACTTTTTGAATTAAAATCAATGCCCAAAATAGCAGTGAAGCAGTGTGCAGCCCCCATTCACCCCTGCTGGAGCTGATGCTTCAGTCCTAATTAAGATATATTAAGCTTGAGACGCTCGAAGAACATTTAGCTGTACGCCGGCTTGCAGTCTCGTTTGTCTCTCCATCTCTCTGCCTCTCTATCCAGGTGCTCCTCTCGCTAACTTCTCGCTTCCACTATCTTTCCCGCGTTAGCTCTTCCCTTCTGTCCCACTTCAAGCGGCTAAATTCTCCCTGACAGCTGTCAAAAAACTTCACTTTGAGTTCAGAGGGTCACAGATCTGAAACCTTAAACCAAACCTTTCAGTTCTGTCTCTTGCAGACAACACTCGGCTGCTCAAAACGGGATATCATCCTGCCTTAGAGGGAACCTTTGTGGGCCTGAGCGGGTCTTAGTTACCCACACAGAAATCAATGTGGACTTGTGGAATTGAGTTGTGAGAAGGAAGGAGCTGGCAAAAGGAGTGTGGGCAATGTTTCCTCAGCTGGAAATCTGACCACGTTACAGAGGTGGAGGCATAGATAGCTTCCAGGTACAATCTCTCTTTAAATCTGGTATTTCGCCCTCTCTGCTTGAGTCCTCCCCAGTCAAAAACGGCACTGATATTGTTAGCAGATGGCCTTCCCCTTGCTGAATCATTAACTGGGCAAAAAAAGCTAGTTTAACACCAGTAACAGCCAGCAGGCTTGTGGTGGATCATCACTGCTCCGGCACCAGTTTGCCAAGAAAATCCCCAATTTGTGATATTTATCTATTCCTTTGCATAAATATCTTTGATTCACTCCCATCTTTCCTCTCCGGAGAAGACGCCTTCCTCTGACTTCTTATTCTGCACCATTATCTCCAGTGACGGCCTAACTATCCCACACACTGCAGCTTATTAAAACTGGCGCTGAGGCCTTCCTGCTTCTTCTCTCCCTCAGCGTTTTTCAATCTCCTCACTTTATCCTGTTTGCTTTGAAAAGGTCTTCCAGGATTCTGGTAATAAACCTCCAAGATTACTGGGAACTTACCCAGCACGCGCGTGCCTCTGATAGACAATGATGTCACGATACGGGAGCGTTCTGACGGGCAGGGAGACTTCCCCACTTTGGCATTTGGTTAACCTTTGAAAGAGCTCGGACCTGCTTGGCTGACACAGACCTCCTGAAATGAGCTCTAAGCGGCCGACATTATCACCTGTTGATCTGATTATTGGGGAGAGGAGACTAGCACAAAGTTCTCACGCCATTTTAAATAACTTAAGGAAATGGGTTCTGATCCAGGATTGCTGCTGGAGGTCTCACAGGCAGGAATATCTTCCTGATTCACCTCCCAGTGGCTGCTTTTCTAAACTCCGGCACCCAATCAGCTGTAGAAGATGATCGAGGCGTCAGATCCTGAATATAAACACTGGCTTTACATCTAAAAAATAATAATTTATATATTTTAGGAATTTTATATCAAACGTTATACATTTTTAGAATCCTGTAGTGACAATAATCTCTTTAGCTTTTTATTATGTAGTTTTTAAAAATGTGTTCACCTACAAAACAGTGAAAATCTGTGATGTGCGTTTATGTAAAAGCTGCAGACAAAAACCCTGCAGCCTTTTGTATCACTGCAACTTCACACAAGGTTCTGGAGGCCTGATGTTAACAAGGTCCCAGGCAGCAAGGCTGAATGTAAAGCAGGACACAAAGCGTGTCTCCATTTAACCAAAGAAGCGAAGTCAGCCCTACTTCTGCTCATGCACAAGAAAAGGGACAAAGAGAAAGATGATTAAAGAGGAGAAAAAAAGAAACAAACCTAATGGCATTAAAAGGAATAAAAATAAAACAAAGGACAAAGCTGTGTTGTAACATATTGCAATTATATGTATCAGAACTTAATTAGATCGGCTCTTAGTCTAATCTGCAGAGCTGTGACGTTTGTTCGCTTCAGTCCATCTAACCCCAGAACAAACACTGATTAGAAATTTCTGGTTTGCTCTCTCTGTGCTTCCTTTCAGCCTTAAATAAACACGAGCATGACCTTATTTTCAAGTCATCTCCAACTTTTCTTTCCTTATTTTCTCTCCATCTATCCTGTCTTCCAATCTTCTCCTCTGCCATCCGCCTACTTATCCACCCCTTTTAACCCCTGTCTGACCTTCCCTCTTAAGAATTCTCCCATTTTTACCTAGAAACCTTATCCCTCTTGTTTTCTGCACAAAGCTCTACCTCCAGCGACAGCCTCTGCATACTAATGCAGCTGCTGCAGGAATAACTTCTCAGAGCCAGTTGCCAGCCGCAGTCCTGTAATTCTACTGTTTCCTCTGAAGTTTAACAGGCTGAACCCTCCAGTGAGACAGACATAGTCCCAATTAAACACCGACACCCATGGGACCAGATTCAATTTGTGTGTGTGCACGTTTTTTTTAAATAAATGAAAGAAGCTGTTTGAGGTGACGATGAAGAGTGACTGGAGACTATGCAGCTATGTGAAAGTATTATTTTACATGCCGAGTTAATCAAATACCCATTTGCAAATGTGCCTGCAACTGAGTGTTCGGTACAAGGATCCCATAATTTAAAAGCTGAATAACTAGCCAAGTCAAAGCGGTGTGCGTGTGGCTGAAGTTATGATGCATGGGTTTAAGGATGATCTTTTTTGCAGTTCCTCACAATCTAAAGAAGCCAAACAATATTTCCACAGAGATTACTTTTTGGGGTTACAGTTTCAATATAATCAGATCACAGCTAATGTGTCTCCTGCAGTGTGTATACACTTTGAGGATGTTTGCATATATCCCAGCAAACCATTCCAGTGTATTTAGAGAGTTATGTTACTAAAAATGAAGCTTACTGCTAACAAAGAACCAACATGTCTAAAGCTAATCAGCCATTTTTCACTGATTTTTGCCTTGGTCATGGAGATTTAGTTCAATTTAGCATAATACCATTTAGACATGAAGTTCATATGGTCACACGCCATTTACATGTCCTGCAGCTTTTTAAACTTTCATGACTGGTTAGTTTTAAAGATTAGGGCGGTTAGTTAGCCAGCTAAATATAGCTGCAAGAATCTCCCAGTGTTTACTTACAAAGTGGGTTCTGATTGTTTGAGCAGTGGCTGATTTTTAACTGCTCATTTAACATCTGCATAATTATCTGTTTAGGTAACACTGGCTTATTTACACTGATATTGCTTGACATGCACTGCCTCTGAAAACCAGAATCTTTTATTGCAAAAGACTCAAGTGCAGACAGCTGCTACAATCTGACATTCATTAAACTGTCGCTGGCTAGAGGAACAGAAATCTGCTTTCTCACTTTTGTCTGAAATTAAGGAAAACTAAGTTTGTAAATAACAACCTGATTAGAGTTAAAGGTTAAAGGAGGTAGGAATTAAGAGCTTTTGATATCAACTTTAAAAAGTTTGTGCTGGCCTTCTGAAGAGGACATGTCTGTGCTAGTGGAAGTTTTTTCTTCATGGAGCGTGCTCTGAACTTGGGTTGACTGTCAGGGATGGAGTAATGAAACATCACCAGACAGGTGAATGAATGAAGCGTGCTGGTAGTGGTCAGGGGAATAAAGGAAATTTCTAAATGAAAGACACACCCTTGGCTGTTTAGTGCAGCACGTGCTTTAGTAGTGAGGGAGAATAGAAGGGAAATGCAACACTCACCTCCTTGCTTACTCCTGTCAAGATAGATGGAGACCCTTCTGGCCAGACCTGCGAGCAGGGGGAAGAGGAGCGTATGGAGGAAGGAAGGGAAGATGGAGAAGGGGGGGGGGGGGGGGGGGGGGAGGAGAGCAGGAACGTAACAAAGCAAGCGACAAATTAGCAAGAACCCCTGTGCATGCTAACCCAAACATCCACACACACCTAACAGAGCTGTAATACCCATGAAGTGACGGTGGGTACTCCTCGCCACTTCATGGGTATTACTCTACATGCACTTGAAGAGCAGAGGGATGAACAAGGCTGCTGCTTCCCAGCGTGGTAACTCCCAAATGACAAACAGCGGCACGTCAACACCAAAGAGCGGAAGGAGATTTGAGCCGAGCTGCCACCTCTGCATTACAAACTGCGTCCCCAGCATCCGAACCTGCAGGACGCAGAATCTAAGATCCCTTCACCCACAGCGTTAAAAAGCAGGCAGGGTGGAGCTGAGTGTGCATCAGTTTGTGGCTGGTCAATAACAAAAACAACACCTGGAAATAATCAAGGTGCACAAATATGTATGGATTCTTATGGAGACTTGTTGCTTCGGTCTTGCTGCCTTGTTCAGCCTCTCTCTCTCGGGGGGGGGGGGGGGGGGGGGGGGGGGGGACCACAAAACAATATCAAAGACCCAGCAAAATAACAAAAAGCCAGACAGTCCACAGAGATGGATCATTGATGAAAAACAGCACAGGAGCGTGTTATTGGACGATGGGAGGGGGGGCGGGTTGAGTGAGGACAGGTCCTGCTGGTACTCTTGTGTGAGTGTGTTTGTCTGGCAGCATCTCCTTGAGAAATGCTCAGTCTTGTTGCAACTGCCTACAGAGGTAGAGCAGGATTTTGGCAGCGAGAAGACAGACTTGTGTAATATTTCATTGGGTTTTACATTATTAATGCAGCTGAGGCAACGCTAAAAATCTTAAAAATTCTAAACACAGCGTTATTGTACTCAATCTGAAAGACGTTCCAAGCAATGGTAATAACTCAGAACTGAATACTGGGCCAGGAGGTGGTGGGTGTGAATGCACCAGGGAAAGCAGAGTCTGTGTGAGATTGCCGAGGTTTCTGAGATCTACTGCCAAGTTCATTTTTATTTTTTTTTACATTTTGGAGCACAACAAGCCAAAGCTGGATTCTTCAGTAAAACTTTTTCAAGCGAGGTCTCATCTGAGTGGCTGCTTATATTAAAACTGATGCCTTCACTAGGTTCTGCATACAGACTGCAAAACAGTGGACTGTCACCGACGACACATCCAGGATAACAAGCACACCATTAAATGTTAAAGTTTCAGAGAAAACATGGCTGTGGCTCGCTGTCGGACAGTCCTCCGCGGAGGGAGAGCTTCTCAGGGCGGTTTGTGTCGTGAGAGTCAGGCAGAGACCGCTGTTAGTTAAGTGTGTCTCCTCCCTGCAGGGGCCCGCAGAGATATGGTGACTCGGTAATGACGGAAACACGTATGTGCACACGGCATGAGGTCCACACCTCTGCACAGATATGCAGTCAGGCACTGAATCAGCCAGTCACTCAATCTGACAGCTCTGCTCTGGCTGCTGCCAATTAGCCAAACACGGTGCCGCATCTCATATGGGACACGCAGTTATTAAAAAAAACAAAAAAAAACTTCTGCGCTCGTGCTAAAGTGCACCATTTTCATACGGATGGATGAGCGCTACGTAGGTAATCGCTGCGTTTATCACACAGGTTATGCTCAGAAACAGTCATTCTTACAGCTGTCACAGTTGCTCCCAAAAACATCCCAGTAGTATCGGCTGAGAAACGCTCGAGGCAGAAATTTAAAGCAGGGGAGAGAGTTAAGGAGATCGTGCGCAACCTGACACAACACACCGGTGGGTGGAAGTGTCTGACAGGTGTGTACAGTGGGTGCCTGCATCGCATTTGTGAATATCTCCGCCTCGGGAGTTGTGTGTAAGTGTGTCAACACGAAGGTAAACATGGCAGCGGATCCACCAACGTCCACAGTCCCAGTTTTATAACGATCACTAAAGCAATGTGAACAGTCTCACAGGGGAAGAATGAGAAATACCTACCTTCTGCATTTCGTGATTGATTACGTGCAGACTTGGAATGTAGGGCCCGCAGTAGGTTAAACAGCCCCCGCTGTTTCAGGTGTGACAGGTATATATGACAGATGTTGAACGTGTGAGAAGGTGAGGGAGGTGAAGCTGACAGCGGATTTTAAATTAGACCTACATTCGTGGACTTAAACCGGCCGCCACCGGCAGCAGAAACAACCCGAATGCAAAAGTATGGAAATAAAGTTTCGGCTGTGTCATTTTTCATTTGTGTGAAATTGGTTATTTTTAAAGCAGCTTGTGACAAACTCTCCCGGACTTCCAGTGACGGTGAAGTGGTCTGCCCTGGCTGCTGCCCCTCAAATCTGACATTTTTAGTGATTTGAACAGCTCTGTGGGATGAGCACACGTGCGGTAATTAAAACCGAAGCTGTGCGAGTGAGTGTTTGCTGCTGGGTTTGATGGGGTCTGGGTCACTGTGCGACTGAAATGCTCTCATCGGTGCCACCTTTTATTCAGAGATGAATTTCTGAGGTTTAAAACACCAAACACACTGTAAAAAAAACAAGAAAAACTACCTTCAGGCTTCAGTGCTGTGTGATTTTAGTCCAGTTATGTGTTGGACTTTTTCTTTTATTCATCTAAAACCTGAGCTGTGTTTAATTTAAAAAGATATAAGTTTGAACGTAACCTTAACCTACTTTATTAGATGTACTTTACTGTAATTGTCAGCTGTGGCTGTATCGTTTCAGCAAAATTGAATTTTTTCTTTTAGTTTTTTTCATTACTTAGTTTAAGGAGAAAAAAACCCTCCTCTCAGACCTTCTCTGTAGGCGGAGCAATGAGGACGTATGACTGGGATGCTTTGGGACAGTTTGTGGTTTTGGGGTATGGGTGGGACTGCGGATGGGTTGGTGACACAGTAATAAAGAGCGTTGGTCTTTACTGTGCGTGCTGATGGAGGGCTGACCTCGGGTAGTGGGCAGCATATCGGAGAGACCCTGCCACGCCGTCACCATCTCCGGATTCTTCTGGTCAGCAAAGTTCTTCCAGATCCGTAGCGCTCCATCATCTGGAGAGACGAGAGAGAGAGGGAAAGATACAGAGTAAGAGAGAGAGGCAGGAAAAAAAAATGCAGCGTGGTGTAAACGCTGAGGCTGGACGCAGCTGCACAGACACCAGCATCCTGTTTGTAATCTTTATGCACTTTAAAGTGTTGAACTGCGTTGATGAAAACCCTGAACCAAGACTCTTTCACACACACACTGTGTCTTGACTGTCAACACACACTCCTCAAAAGAAGACGGAGAGTGTGTAACGCCGAGCGGCATCTTAAAAGGCTCTGTGCCTGTGAGCATCTCGCCAGAAAGAAACAACGAGGCAGGAATCTAACCTCCAAAACCTCTGCGGCTGAAACACGGCAAAGACACCAAGATAAAACACGTCCGTGCACTCTTATGAGGAAGCTATTACAGGCCATAAAAGTCTCCACTTGATTTACAGCCTGCGTTTTACTTCTTTTAATGCTGATTCTTTTTTATAACTAATGTCCTGCCCTGCTATCCTTCAGAGCATGAGTGATGGGGAAAAGCTGAATAAGTGAACATTACTTTTTGATGAGATGGAATTTAGATTTATCAATACTGAAGCCTTTTATCAAAGCTTCTTAGCTTAATTTAACAGAAGGAAGACCAAACAAAATAAATGTGTTTGTATTTTAATGTCGAGTTGTTTTCTCCGGTTCCTGTGGGTGATGAAGATAAAGCCATGGAGGGTAATTGCTTTCTTCTTTTGATGAATGATGATGACTACACATGAGTGCTCTGTGTGTAACAGCCAAGTGTTTAAGGCTTGTTGCTGCTACAAATGAGCCTCTCTGCGATTTCTGCTGTTGCCAGTGGGCGTGGACATTTGCGCTGATAACTTGGATGCACTTGTGCATCTGAACTCACACTTTTGTGCGTGTGTGTGTGTTAGAAACCTGTTGCGGTGAGCAGCAGTGAGCAGTCGTGTCCGTTCAGGTACTCCATGGATGTGATGCGAGTATAACGAGGGTTTCCGTTGTAGAAGTAGTCCAGTCTCTCGCCCTTCTCCCAGTCCCAAAAGCTAAAACAAACACACTCATTAGACGACAATATGATCTGTTTAACATTTTAACTGAATGTGGTAGTCTCTGACCAGATGCTGTCCTTGTCAGCCACAGCGATGCAGGTGTTGAAGGGGTGGAACTTGACCACTGATGGCACTCCGGGGTTGCGGTTGATGAATATTTGATCATCCAAGCGAGAAATACCTGAAACAGAGGAGAAAATCCAAAAGTTGGTATGAAAGGATGATGGATTCATCCAAACCGGAGGTTTGTTTCCCGATGCAGGTTAAAGTAAGTGGCACGCAAATGGGGGAACAACCTGTCTGCTGGCACACCTAACCCACGCCTGCAGCTGCAACCTTACAGGGAGTAACTTAATGAACAAATAAAATGTAGTCTGTCCCGCCTTCCTCTTGCTTTTGGCTGAATCAGGGAGCCTACAGCTGTTCACTGTTGGTCTGGGGTCAGTACCTACTACTGCTCGATACTCAGGTAACTTTCCTGCCACCCGAGAAGCATTTAGGAGAGTTTATGAGTTGGGCTTTAGGTAGTAATTTTTGTACCTATTGAGGTGTTAAATTTTCACAGTGCTTTTACTTCTACGTAGCGACTCATCTTTTTTGGCCTTGGCTCTCCATGAAGCTTTCTTTTAAACTTTTAAAATGGCAAAACTGTTAACAGCTCGATTCCTTCCATCTTTTTTCCAGTTTTTGTATCCCAGAGATCAGCATGTGGTTTTTAACAAATAAACTTAAAAGATTTCTCTTGCAGATTTTTCAAATTCTGCCTCTGATCAAAATCAAAAGCATTTTAGTACAAAACAGAGGAACAAAATAACATAAGAGCTACAACAAAAAGGTTTATTTAAAAGTCCATTAGCAGTGCACACTTTCTTAAACTGACTGACAGGTTTTGTCATGTCCAAGAATACCAAAGACACCAGCTGAGGGCCTCAGGACTCTCTCAGTGGTACATTATTGAGTTTTGTGTTCATGAAAATTATTCTTTTGTCCTCTAAGTTTCTTAAACACACTAATGCAGTTCATATTTCCATGCTCTGTCAGCAGATTAAAAAGAAATGTTCAAAGAATACAGTTTAATTACTAGTTTTTAATTGTATAGGATAATAAAGGATAATAAAAGGTACACTCAGCGCAATAATGTGGCTCACTGACACATTTCTAATAGCTTTTGGAAAAAGAGAAATTTATTCTTCATGAGGTTTTGCATCATAGGCTGTATAAATGGCCTGGCTCTCATAGACTCTACCTGAGTACCCAAAGCACTTTGTACAAGTTGAGTTTTGAAAGTGTGAACAACAAGTGAGAGGTTAGTCTGGCAGCACACCCTGCTTTATCACCTTTTTTACCCTGAATGGCTCCGTCATTTACCAAATCACCATGATACTGTATGTGACATGAAAATAAAGGCACAGATCATAAAATCAACTCAAGTGAGAAGTAGGGCCATTTTCTCACAGACTTTTATACAATCAGACTTCTTTTAGCAACCAGACGAGTCGCCAGCTGCTGGCCACTGGAAAGACTGCAGGTTTTATGCACTTAACTCTATTTTATTTGACTTTATTTATTTTAAAAACATACATCTATGCTTTGGGTGCACACATTAAATACTGGGCTGTAGTATTGCTTGGTGAACATAAATTAAATACGGAATCGGGGCCGAGATTCCCAACACAACACAAAGGTCAAGTATGATCTGAACTTTATACTTTTAACAGTAGTACTGAGAAAAAAAAATTAAAGACAAGTATTTGGTTTTTAAAGTATTTGTATAAGTTAAAACAAAAAGCAAATAAAGTTTCCTGGAAGACATTTTCAGAAGTAGAACGTGGAATAAAGGAAAAAAAGGACAAAGCACAGCCTGGCCATCGACAGGAAGACTTGAGGCAAAGAAGGAGAACAGAGCAAAACATGAAACGGTCTGCGGTGGAAGAGCCGAGGCAAAGAAAACAGTGGAGTTGTGTACCCCACTGGCAGGTTTCGCTGCAAGTAAAAACACGTTGATAAATCTGATGACTTGACTGCCTCACTATATGTTGTCATGGCAACAACACATGCCGGCTGCCGACCCCGTCCTTGGCTACACGAACTCACTCCCGAGACCGCCGTAACGAGATGAAGAACAATGAAGGGGGATGGATGCAGCTGTGACGGAGGAAAATGTAGTTGGAGGGAGAAGCTGCGGAGGCCTGCGGTTAAAAGCCGGCCGAGATCATCATCACGACTCGCTTTATGTGCACAAAGTGTGACATCACAGTAGATACAGAGCGACTGTAAAAACAGAGTACACCTCAGAAGTGCACAGTGAAGTGGGCAGACTTTGCACCGCCAACAAAAACAACAGTACAAGTCAGATCAGGTTCACAGGCTACAGAACATCGTTTGTTCTCTTCTCTCTTTGCTAGCTTTGCTGCCTCGTTCTCAACTCCTCCATCTTCCTCCATCGTACCCTCCCCCCTCCTCCTCCCTCCTTCCTCTCGCCTTGGTTCTCTCTCTGGAGGGATTCGACTGAATGAGGGCAACCCTACTACTTCTCTCTTTCAGAAAACTGCGAGGGGAATTCAATGATTTAACGAGAGCGGGATAGACGTGTGCGTGAGCAAGCCTCAGCTCTGACGCCAATCGCCTCGTGACTGTGTGTGTGTGTTTGTGTGTGCATGTGTGGAGGGGGCTGCCGGTGACGTCGGGGGTGTTAGTTATTCTGTTTGAGAGCTGCTCAAACTTCACCCGGGGAGTGTGTGTGTATGCTGGCACTGGAGCCTCTTTAATGTGCGAGTGCATGTGAGGGGAGACCTGTGACTCACAAAGAGGACGTCTCCTGCTGTGAACTGATTTCAATCAATCCTTCCATCCCTGCGAATCATTTGCAAACTTGCTCACCTAAAATTTTTGATGCATCTTGATGTTTTTCGGGGACAGTCTGGATTTCACCCAAGTTAGCCTCATTAGGGCTCCGGAAATAGTCAATTAGACACGACTGTCAGTCACTTGTAACAGTTTAATCAACTAACATAGGGACTATTTTGTGCTTGGGTATTATATTACCAATGAACCTTTGTTAGAAAAACAAACAAACAAAAATAACTTCCATAAACAGCCGCTTTATGCAGATGTGATAGAAAGTGAAAGAAACTGCATCAAACAGCTGTGCAGCAATGACCTGATGCTAAAACACAGCAGATAAAAGAAGTTGGTGCCAAGTTAAGAAAGTATCAAGTAATCCTTCACTAAATGAAGAAGTGAAACACCTTTTTTTTTTTTTTTTTTTTAAACGTCTGCAGTGTTTCTACAAGCAAGGAGGAGGTGAAAACGAAGCCGTGTTCCTTTGTGAGATTACGACCTCGGCTGCTAGTTGATTTTAGCAAATTCTGACCCTATTTACGGTGAAACAGATGATAAAGCAGGATATACTTGAGCACAGGCCAACCTTCTGACTGATGATTTACTCAGTCAAGGTGCAGTCACTTTTCTCTCCTCTGCTCTTTCATCATATGCACCTGAGCCCATCCCTACATAATTTGTGAAGTCCTCTCATTACAATACCGCTAAAAATCAAGCTTCCCAACAATCAGTAATGTGTGTGAAAAACACAGAACATGAATCTGGTGAGAATGGCAGAATAATAATCACCTCCTGGCAGAGAAACGGATGAAACAAAGAGCAGCCGACAAGGAAAAGTGCCGTTGGAGGCTCTGTCTGGACAGTCTGGATTTCACCCAGATCCTGCTCTCATTAAGGCTCCGTAAACATTCAATTACACATGGCTCTGTTAGAAGCTAAGTGCTCGAGTGAAGTGACCGCAGAGCTCGTGTATGTCGTATGCTCCCTAACCAAAGTCACTCTACCTTTCAAAAGAGGAATCATTTAATGCAATACTGAATAGGATGAAAACCAGGGAAGAGATTTTAATAATTAATTTAATTTCCAGTAATATCTGTTCATTTCATTTGAACATCTCCCCTATGAAAATCCTCCTCAGGACATTAAGACGATTCTTTCTTCCAGGCAGCAACGTGAAATATAAATGTGTTTAGAACAAGTTAGAAGAAGAAGAAGGTCTTTTGTGCGCATTACTGACCTCTTTGTATGATGCTTCGACTCTGCCTTCTTACGCGAGCATTTCTCAGAAACCTCCACTGACGCTCCAACCTCACCTGACTCTCCAGGTCGTGCTCCTCGGGGATCTGCGAGATTGCATGAAAGAAAAGACAAAGAGAGAGAAAAAGAGATTTACAACTGCTCTCCCCATCTGGAACATTTCTACAACGATAAGCAAACAAACGAATAAAAAATTCAGAGGGACAATATCGAATTACTGCCGCAATAAATCCATTTTTATTGAGCCTTGAACATTGACACTTTTGCTGAGTGTACATTTAAAATTTCAAAGTTGAAAACTTAATTAAATCCTGTTGTGCTCTCCCCCACATTCAGAGACCACTGCACCAAATAACAGATGAAACCATTATAATCCCTCCTTCGCTGATACAGCCTGGACTCTTCTCTGGATAATGGTTACTATCAATGAAAGGAAAAAAACCTTCTAGTTTCTATTCTGAGTAAAATTTAAAGAAAAAGAACAATTTTGTATATTTTCCACACCTGACGTTTTTACTTCCCTCAAGTCGAATTAATGAAAATTACAAGATAGAGTTTGCAGAAGCAATATCGTCACTTGAAATATTAATATCAACCCTGTTTTCAGTTAGATTTGTTCTCTTAACAGCTTCTGTAGTTAGCAAAGGCTCAACATTTTAGGTTTCTGTGTGCCAGATGATTAATGTAGCTCAATGCTGGTGCTATCTCTATGTCAGCAAGCTTCTGTAGTTACCTGAGACACACAAAAAGCCACAGGAGTTCACAAAGTTAATTATTTTAGCAGCCAAATTATCTAATAAAAATCTAATATTAGCACAGCTATTTAGCCAAGGGTCAAAATACTACATTTTAGTGTATCCAAAGATGATTTAGTCCTCATGTCTATGCTCTTATAAAGATAATCTTATAGTAATAAATTTAATCTTAACTAGAATTTGCAGCTCATGGAGAAATTGCAGTTGGATTGTTGATACTGGTGGATTTGTCCTGTGGCTGGTTGTTGGTGTCAATAAAAAGTAGGAGGTAAATAGCTTGCTGTGTACCTAATAAAGTGACACACATTGTAAATGTTTATGTTACCCTTATGGTTACTACTTCTCAGATTTGTTTCTGAGATGAAATCATTTAATACATGGATGCAGTAGCTTGCTAACTAAGTTTGCATTAGCTGCTAGTTTAGCACTCAACCTCTTGTTCAAATATGGTCTCTGCAGACTATTAAAAACATGCTAATATTGACGGTTCAGTTCAATACAGTTTTATTTGTACAGCGTCAAATCACAACAATAGACCCTATAATAATACATACAGAGAAAAACCCAACAATCATATGACCCCTATGAGCAAGCACTTTGGTGACAGTGGGAAGGAAAAACTCAATTTTAACAGGAAGAAACCTCCAGCAGAACCAGGCTCAGGGAGGGGCGGGGCCATCTGCTGCGACCAGTTGGGGTGAGAGAACGAAGACAGGATAAAAGACGTACATAACCTACTGGTTTCAGCACGCTGCAGAAACCAGTAGGTTATGTCACAGTGGCTACCCCCATCCATCATTTATTTACACAGTATGTATTTCCTCCTTGTGCTGGCAGGACTCAGTGCCCTGTCAGTATAGCGAGCTTTAGAGATACACATGTTCCAGTGAGGCCACTAAAACATGGACAAGATTATTTTGATTGATTCGTAGTTTCTTAAATGTTAAGACTTTCCTTTCAGAATCTGTGCTCATTCCCATAAAGTTTTTCAACTTCACAGGAAAGCCTGAATCGCCTCGGTGCAATGTTAAGGGACGCTCATGCGATTACCAAGATAATGAGTCCAGGTATCAAGTTCACTTTATGTAATCACATCTCATCACATCTATTGAGCAGTGGGACAATATTAAAAGTATTAACTTTATTAAGTCTTACGTAACAAAATGGGCCCCACAGACTTTGCGCCCACTTTATTTTAAGGGAACAGAATCAATTTTTTTTTTTTTTTTTTTTTAAAACAGGACATTAAATATGCAGAGTTTAATATAAAGCAAGTCTGTGTCATTCTTCAGCACCATGAATTAAAGTCATAAATTAAACGTTAACTGCGCGGCTGTGAATAAACAACAGAGGAAAACTGTAAATGTATGTGTGTGGTTTTAAATGTCGGGTGCCAGCGTGTGCTTATGAAGCACATTTCTACAGCAAGGCCTCCCACGCCACATGAATGCTAAACAGTCCCTACCCCACCCACCCACAAAGTTATAGTACCATGTTGCCACTGTTCCTGCAATGTCCTCGCCTGGCGTGTGTTGGCTTTTGGAGAAATAAAACACACATACTGTAACACCTCACAGCGAATAAACAGATTTGTGTCTGTGAGAAAGATGTATGTAGCGTGTGTTCAGTCAAATCATTCATATACAGGGTCTCTGGGGTTTTATGGTTTCTCAGAGGAGGCAGATTTAGAAGTCTGATGTCGACCTGTGTGGAAATCGCTGGCTGATGCTGTCGTTGCAAGGGTTGGTATGCTGCAGCGTGTCAGCTGCTAATGTAACGTATAATGAGACCCTGAGGAGTAAAAATGTGTGTGAGAGTCTCTCACACAATCTCCACACAGCTCTGCACGCTGTGCATATACAGTAAAATCGATAGTGTGTAGTGTAGAGTAAGGCCAAAGTATGTGGACAGCCAAACAGGCTGTCAACAGTCAGCAGCTAACCTGTGATTTCAGACCCGTAAACTGTACAAAAAAGATGGATGCAACCGCTGTGAGGTCACCTGCATTTTGGCCACGTCCACGTTAGTGTTTTGGTCTAATAGTGACCATATTGAGATGAAAGGATGGCGCTTGGTTACCAAACTGCATCCATTACTTTGCAGGTAACAAATTACTAGAATTGACCTCAACCAAAATTAAATCACAAACCTCTCAGATGGTCCAAACAGTAAACCAGATTATTTGTCAGAGGTTTCCATTAAACTGCTCCAAAGGGCACCAACAGCACAAACATGGCAGAGGAGGCCTGTAGAGCTGAAGCCTGGCAGAAACAGCCCCTCTCAATTAAAAACCCAAACTTTGCTTTTGGCTACAAACGGTGGACATTTTAACGGTTTAAGTTTTATGGTGACTGGCTCACTTTTGGAGCCAGCTTCAGAGGACAGTTACAGGTACTGTAGTTTTCGGCACTATCACCTTAGCCTCTTTTTTCAGCCCTTGAGGTTTCACACATTTACTTCTCATTGACATTTAGCATTGCATCTTGGGAGTGTTGAGCTGTGGGATGCGATGAACACTACTTTCTAAACTTCAAATCTGTACATCTGAAATGTTTTGGGCTATGCCAGATGAAAGATGACCAGCGTGAACAAATTGTGGTGACATTGTTGGCTGTGTCTGCAAAATGATGGTCCTATTTCTCTCAGCGGTTCAAAGCTGGATGGTATGAAAATCTTTCAATCCAAGATGGACAGACATATTTCAGGAACGCTGTCCTAATGTCTACTAATCAGGCAAACTTTCATATGGTGCAGCTAGTTTTGGCCGCCTGGAGAACGTGGTGACATGGCCCTTGAAAGATTTCTCAAAATTCAGCAAATGATCAGAAAACAAATGAAGCAGCCACGTTACCAATGCTGCAGTTTCTCTATGGCAGAGATTAAAGTGGGGCACTTTTGCCTTTACAAATTTTGCTACTGAGGCTCAAAGCTGGTTACAGATAGAAGGCAACACTTGGTATAAATATGGTGTTCAGTCCTGACATTTTCATGTTGCCATGTCCTGAACTGCAGAAGTCTGGGAGGCTCAAAAATGCTGGAAAAAATAACACATTAAAACCCCCCCTTTCCCCTTTCGTTGCACTTTTTAAAGTTTCATAACTGCTCAGTGAAACGTTGTTGGTGTTTGCTAACAAGTTAGCTGCTCTAGGACTACACGACTGAGGCCTAGCTGAAACTCGTGATCACAAAATGACTTAAATAAAATTAAAATGAGCTGGAAATGTTTTTAGGTTTCAGTCTCTGCTGATTTCATCACAACCTGACCTACAGTTATTAATGCTGTCTTATGACTGTAAGCTCTCAAAAAGTTCTGTATTTGTGTTTTACAATCATCCATGATCTCTGAAAAATATGCCCCTGGGAAAAAAAAACATTAATATAATCAGGAAAAATAACACGGACATTAAAAGTGATGACTAATAAAATAGGAGTAAAACACTTCAAGACAAAAAATAATGTCAGACCCTGAACTGGACAAGCATCAGAATAAAGCTGGATTTGAGACAAAGTTAGAGTCCGAGAATAAAAATATGAGTATAATAAGTCCACACGAAGCTGTGCATGTAACCACGGCTCTTTGCTTCTCAAACAAATATGAACCTGAAGCAGAGGACGTGTCTTCTGTCTCTCATGTGAGATGTGTGGAGACAATAACACAAATATACACATTCTTCTAGTGTGCTGCTGACACAGTGATATGATAACCTGTGTGCAGACTTTGAGACACACACACATGGCTTTGTAATGGAGTTAAGTTTGATGACAGCACTCAAAATTTTGCCAACACAGCGTTATGATTTGCGGCAAAACTCCCCTTTACTCCTCCTCCTCCATCTACTCTGAGCTCGTTCACTCGCCTTCACATCCAGTCATCTCTCTGCTTTTTATCAGCCTTTGTTGCCACTCCTGGCCCCGTATTTCTTTCATCCTATTCATCCCACCACCATGCTCTTCATATTGAGTTTTCTTTCACTTTTAGCATCTCTGTTTTCCTCCTCGCCCACCTCTATTTGCCCCTCAGTGTCTGCTTTCCTTTTCAAATATTTTACTTTCATCATCTTTTATTTTTTTCTTCCTGTGTTCTCTTTCTCCTGTCCACCACTTTCCCCCTACAACATCTTACATGTTTTGTAAATATTTTTATTTTACTAATATCTTCTTTCTATATCAGCCATGAGCAAAAACGACCCCCTATTATTTTTCACGCACTTTGCAAAGTTTCCATTTTCTCCTCTGTTTGACCCTGGCTCTTTTTATATCGCTTTTCTTCCTGTTTAACCTACAAAAATGTGCTGACACTGTTTGCCTTTTTTCCTGGAAAAGACGACACGTTCAGGCCGTTTAAACACGCGTTAGTTTGATTTAATATTAAAGCATTTCGGTGTTACTACTGTGCCGGGTGAAAGCACTTGTCTTAATCTTAAGTTTCACTCAGGAGGATGTTACATTATGGAGCTCATTATTCAGCAAAGCCATCTCGTACAAACAGCAGGTGCTTTCTCTCTCACTGTGATCGGTCCCCACCCTGCTGTTTTCCATAGGACTTCATTACTTTTTAAAATAAATCCTATAACACAGAGTTTATGTCCTCAGACAGCTCAATCTGTCCTCAAACTCTTGCAAAAAAGCACGATAAACACACACCAGTGACACAAATTCACATAAATGTGTGTAAACAGAAAATTATCTGCCATATTGTGCTGCTTTGTTGCTTAGCAACTGACTTAAGCTGATTTTAAAGTGGTAGATGGCTTAGCAGTGGAATACGGAGGAAGACAAGAAAACATTTCTAAGTTCTTGATTTGAAAATGGCGATGTCCTTTCTCCTTTTAAAGGTGCACTAAGCAGCACTTTCTCTGTATTAAAACCATTTTTTATTGTCAGTGTCTGAAAGGGGCTGAGGTCTTCCCCGACTCTCTCGTCGCCTCTAAAGGGGCGTTCCTGGGTGAAAAAACTGCTCGCAATCTGCCTGAGTTAAACTTCTCTCACCATTGAGGTGAGCGATTGGAGTGAGTACTAATTAGACAGCACTGATAGTCACTCCATTATTGATATGACAGGGTGGTAAATGCATTAGAGGCCAGAGCCCGCCGTGCACACTTCACCAACCATCAGCGACATAGTGATGTGCGATGAGCCAGCCTTTTGTGGGAGAGTAAGCAAGCTGACCAGTTTGACATGTGAGGAACACAAATGATGACACTGACCTTCATGACAGGCTGAGCAAAATACTTGGCGCTCCAGTCGCACAAGCCTGTCTGGAGGGCCGGACTGATGTAGTTCCTGTGACCACCTGGTTCATCGCTGTCTTCAGCTGCCTAAAGAAAAACACAAAAAGAAAAAAAACTGTGATTTAAAGAGTTAAACGAAACAGCGAGAGAGGACAAGAGTGACTAGCAGCAGCACGGCAGGTTTCATCTTTCTCTACCTGCTCGGGTCCCTTGTCAAACATTTTGCGAGTGCGGGTAAACTGGTGTGAGTGGGGCGCCTGTCCTCCCAGCGTTGGGGTGTAAGGCGGTCGTGTGGCCGGCTGCTCCCTGGTGGGGGGTTTGGGAACGTCGTTGGTCAGACTGGAGCTGCTGGTGCTGGGCATTGGTGGAGAACCACTGAAGTAAAGGAGGACAAGAGGATTAAGGGGTCAGTTTACGAATGCACATTTTACGTGCTTTTATTTTTAAATTAGCAGCTGTGTTACATCTAAATGTAACACAGCTGCTAAATCTAACATCGCTTCTTCTGTGTTGTCTAAAGGACAGCTGCTATTTCTTTGCTTTTTCACTCATCTGTAGTCCTCCTCTCACTACTTGCACATCTATTTCTTTAATGCATGGGGGATCTCCTCTAGTATGCAAAAAATGCGCCTCTTAAACTTGAATCGTATTGGAGGACAAAGTCAAATCCTGGAAGTAGAGCCGGCTATGAATGAAGGCTGTCTTAACGTAGCCAAAAATCCCTCAGACACCTCGGGACGTTATGGTCGAACCTCAGGGCCTCTCACGGGACACGGCCTCGCTCTTCTGACCTGATGAGACACTTTCAGGCTTGGACAGTACTGAGTTTTCCCAGACTGTTCAACCCAGCTGCTGCTGCTCCTGAGAAATTTTGGTCTGATCCAGAAGCCGATGATTTGCTCTCTGCACAGGTTTGAGATAATGGTGAAACTGCAGATGTGCACATTAAAGTAGTGAGAAGGAAACTTTCAGGTTGTGTAATGTAACAGCAGCTCTGGATTTGCTGCAGAGGCGTGACGAGCGATGACCATGAAAGGGTTTGCAAAGCTGAAAGTTCTGAATTAAAGGGTGGAATCTTTCCTCTAATGCACATAGAAAACTATTTACCATGACAGAAGGGTGTTGGACGCACAAACAAACAAATTGGGAAATTATTCAATCGTGAAATCAAACAGCTCATGAATAATATTTCAATTTTAAAATGCTAATAATTATTTTTCTTCTGAATCTACACTTAATTTTGCTTGATTTTTATATTTTATCCTGGTTCATGCACCATGAATATAATTCAATATAAAATTTAAAGTAACATTTGGCCAGAATCCCATTCGCCTGCTACAAATGACGCACATCGTGATGATTAAATGCAACTTTTTTTTGCCTAACACATGATTCAAATGCTCTGGGGTTTCCGTTTAATGAGTTTTCGGTGTGTCACGGCGTTCATGCATGTGTGAGCTCCATCCTCACCCAGCCTGGTGTATGTGCGTGCCCTTGCTGGTGGGGCTGGCTGGGGCTGACTGGGTGAGCGATCCTGAGTCCAGGATCCTCTGAGGTCTGGCATTCATCGTAGCCTGAGGGAGAGAAAAAAAAAAAGGTCTGTTTATTCTTGTTTCTGAAGATGATCACATTTGGATTTATAGTTTGAAATTATGATATTTCTTCCCAGATTTTTCAAAAGCTTTCAGAGACAAATATGCAGAAGTGTCTAGATCAGAAACGAGCCCAAAAATCTGGATAATCTTCCTGCTGTAACTGCATAAAAAGTGCAGGACTTCACAAAGTTTGCTAAATTTCCACAGGTTTATCCCATTAAGTGAGCAGGTAATATAACCTCTTCATTGTGAGTTGTCTAATGGCTGCACACGAGGGAGGGGCAAACTTAATAAAGACAATAGAGGCAAAGCATCGCTGATGAATAGCAGAGCTGTTGTTTACTCGAGCCAGGTGGGGAGAGAACTGTGTGCAGCGTAAATCCAGTTAACACAAGCAAACACATTTTACTACCTTTGATTTGATTTCTATGCTAATTGCAGTGAGCATCTTTTGCTTCTGTGTGCGTCTGAAAGGCTGAGAGCGAGGCAGGAAAGTTTTTAATGCAAAGACCGGGCCCATAAAAACGGCTGCATCTGTGAGGGGGACGAGACATCAGCTATGAGGGTTAGCTGTTGGCGCTTCATTAGGAGGCAAGTCAAATGAAAGAAAACAGCAGTAAAAACAGCTGGAACAATTATTATGGAAAAAGCCAGATCACTAATGAAAGCAGCTTTTCCACTCATGCACAACAAGATCAATATGATGGGACGGGGCACAAAAGGAAAAGCAGATAAGGAACTAAAGGACGCGCTTATGTCTTTTGCAGAAATTGTGGGATGGATGTGTGACACAAAGGAGAAGCGCATGTTGAGGAGGGCAGCGGTAAGCACACAAACAACAGGAAACCTGAACTGCACAAACAAAAGGTCTTTGAAACAAAAAGCATCAGGGCGGAAGAGCGTTTCCACTCAGTGAAGTAACATGCTCATGGATTATTCATCGGTGTTTGCTGATCGTCAACATGTGGCAAACAAACCAGACGCTAACGCGGGAGAGACATGCAAAACTGCAGCTTTAGCGGGAACCTGGGCTGGAACTGGTGCTAGCAGCTGCACTACTCCACGCAGGGAAACAGGCTCGTTCTCCGACTTCAACCCACTTCCCCACACTTCCTCTATCATTAATTGGCTGGAAAGCGAGTCAACTGCGCAAACACATTAGTCAGAGGCTGTCGAAGGATACAGCTGTGGAAGCGGATGACAGCTCAGGGAAAAAAAGAAAAGTCTGAATAATCCTGGTAAATTATGTAGAGCTTTCTTACTGCTGGAGAAAGCACCCGACATCGCTGTGACATGTGATGATGAGATCGAACAGCTGAAGGTGATTGAGGGTAATTGAGAGAATTCTTCCATTCAATTGAGGTTTATTTCTATAGCGCCAAATCAAAACTACAGTCACCTCCAGGTGCTCTACACCGTAGGGTAAAGACTCCAACAATCACACGACCACTGGCAGGAAGGAGAAACCTCCATTTAACAGAACCAGCTCAGAGGTGGCTCAGAGGCAGATAGAGGTGCTGCTATCTGCGGCATCTGTGGTCTATACACATGTGGTGAGCAGAGAAGCAGTATTCGCATTAAATCCCTCCTCCTGAGGGATTTAATGCCCCAGCCTGAGCCGACTGCAGCATAACTAAGGGAAAGTTCAGGGTCCTTTTTTAATCCAGCCCGAATTTACGCTTTATCAAAAGGTTTCAAGTCTAATCTTAAAAAACTAGTATGTCTGTCTCCTGACTGCAAACTGGAGCTGAAAGCTCCGCCTCTCATTCTACTCCAAGTGTAAGCCAACCAGCAGTCAGAGTGAAGCGCTCTGCTGGGCTTACATGGTGCAATGAGGTCATTGAGCTAAGATGGGGCCTGATTTTTCAAGACCTTGTAGATGAGGAGAAACTTTAAATTAAACTGTTTTTCACAGTAAAGATGATGTTTGGGGGCTTCATTGAGAACCTTAAGTTCTTAACCATAATCTATCTTCTTCTGCTTATCCGGGGCCGGGTTGTGGGGGCAGGGCCTAAGCAGAGAAGCCCAGACCTCCGTCTTCCCGGCAACCTCCTCCAGCTTGTCCAAGGCGTTCCCCGGCCAGCCGAGAGTTATAATCTCTCCAGCGTGTCCTGGGTCTGTCCCGGGGCCTCCTCCCGGTGGGACATGCCCAGAACACCTCAGCCATGAGGCGTCCTTCTCAGATGCCCGAACCACCTCAACCGGCTGCTTTCGATGTGGAGGAGCAGCGGCTCTACTCTGAGCCCCTCCCGAATGGTCGAACTTCTCATCCCCTCTCTCTCTTAACCAATAATCTCCTTTCAATACAGGCAAACAACTGGGAGATAAGGGCGGTGTTGGATAGTAAATCTTTGCCATTCAAACATAAAAAAACCTCTGGATTTGTTTCAGATGGATGTGATCCAACTTTATTAGTGACACATCTGTGAAAACGACTGGATGCACCTGAATAAAAGAATCACAATGTGTTCAAAATGTATATACTATTAAAAATCTCCAAGAGTCCCAGCATCAGACAGCAACACTGGACTATAAAAAAAGCATTTAGAGCCTTAATCATCTTGGAAGAAAGTACATTTTAATTAGCTCCTGACCTTGTTTCGCTTTGTTACGAATCAATAACATTTGACATTTAAAATCTTAATTAAAAGAGCCGTTAGCACTTGTGAACTTGAATGAGGGTTCTTAAAATAAGCAGCTGTTGCCGAGATCTTTGAGAGAGAGGGAAAAATAAAAAAGACCGTTAACACCACTGTTTAAAATGTGTACTCATGATATCGTTATAGTCCAGAACAGTATTTTGCTCCTTCAAATTCTGCATCAAACGCTAAGATCAAATCCTCTTTAATGTCTGTTTTCTATCCTTCTCCTCATTGGAATAAATTACGTTTAAATATTTGGCCGTCATCGTTTTATTCATTTACAAAATACTTTGTTTTTCATCCCAAATCAAAGTACTTGTGCTTATTCTGTTTAAGGTCTTGTTTTTTCGTAGTCTTTCTCGTCTTTGTTGTGATATTTTGTTACATTTTTGTACAGTTCTGTCATTTGTTCTAAGAACATTTGTTTGAGTCCTATTTACAAGCAGATGTTACATAGAGATATAATACATTTATTAATCTATAACAACTTGAAAGGAAGCCATCCTTAGACAATTCAATTCAATGTTATTTACATACTACAGATACAACATATGTCTGAGAAAGTAACATATTACAAACAAAATCCCAGTGATCAGAGGACCCGAATTAACAATCACTCGGTGATGGTGGAGAAGAAGAACTTCCTTTGACCAGGAAGAAACCCCCAACAGAACGAGGTGTGGGGAGAGAAAACCTTCAGCCAAGACCAGCTGAAGGTTGAAGGAAAAGAGAAGACTTAAAATTCATGAAAAGGAGCGTCAAGAGACCACGAACAAGGAAAATATGATCTCGCTTTCCAGTTCCTGTTCTTGCTGCAACTGAGGGCTTTTCACTGAGCTTTTAAGACTGCAAAACAAGGAATTACATTACGAGTAACAACACACAACCTCGTTTCTGAGCATCACTCTGAGACTGCTTCTATTTCTGACAAAGCCGCACAAACTGATGGGGCGTCCTGCACATTTGTTTAATGTGTGAGTGAAAGGACATGCCCTGGCTACTGCAGGGGACCCGATATTATGATATATTATTAACCATTTCCTGATATCTCAGTATTGGAATTTAAAGAAGACAAACAACGTTCAACTTGTGAGGACGCGGCTTCCCTGTTGGCCACATGTGTTTGGAAAGCCACAAACGAAACAAGCAGCCGATCTGTGCAGAGTCAGGATTGGGTACATGAGTAAATAAATAACTACAAACAACTATATTAGTCAGACTCTGTGGGTTTAAAAATTGAGCCTGTGCAACTCTGTAAATCAAGTCTCAAGTTCACAGCTTGAAAGATTAACATGACTGATGATGATTAACCCTCTAAACGTGTCGCAAAAGTGTCCTGAGCAGGTGCAGGGCACGACTGAATCCTGTCTCCTTCCATTCAAGGCGTCTTCCTTGTTCTCTTATGTTGCTTGTCAGGGACCTAATCTTTATAAATATGACACCACTGTTTGTTAAATTGACTTGAGTGTGCAGGTCCACAATAACTCATGCTCCAAAAATGTGTTACGGTGCTGGCAGAAGAAAACGTCTATTGCATTATATTGTTAATCGCGTCCTGTTCTTTGTTTTATTGCAGCTGAGACGGAAGCCTCGATGCAGAGATGCTGCCTGTGTGAAGGTAACAGAGGGAACAATTGGTGTTGGTGGTGGAAAACACAAGAAATCCTGCCCGAGGCTTAGGATGGGTGGTGGAGTATAGTGGTTATTATAGCTCCTTAAGTTACGGCAGCCTCTTTGCTCTGCTGCGCTCTGCCAAGCCTCGGGGAGTCATTGGCCCTTAATTGCATTTGCACAAAAGTAATGGCCTTTCGGAGGAAGCAAATGCCAGTGGGAGGGAGGGGCATGTGTGCTGGAAGCTGATCTTTTTCACTGTATAACCATGAGGTGAAAAAGAACTGATATACGGGGATACAGAGACAAAAAGTCAATTATAATATCCTCATTATATTAGACTCCAGAAAATGAGATGATACTCAGTTTTAAGAATTACTTATAACGTGGACAGCGGGAAAAGGAAGAAAAGGCTCAAACCTTAAATTCAAAATGCAGTAAGCAAAAGCTGTAAAACTAATTTCCCCGCTCTTTCTTGAATGCTTGTCAGTGATACACATACGCCTTTTTGAGAAACAATCAGCAACCTGAAGAGCTGAAAAACGAAGCGGATGCAGTTCCTCTAATGGCCACATGAGGGCGGCTCTAAAAGGAAGTCAATCCATTTAGATCATGATAAAAAAGGCCCAACATTACCGCTTTAGATTTTTAACAGCCTCAATACTTATTCTATGGGTATTTTACATTAAATTAAGGCACATTATTATTTATTGGACAAATTCATTAAAAATTCTCCAAAAAGCACCGAAACCACAAACACGGAGTTCAGCGACTCGATTGGTGGCTACAGCTACCTGTGCAGGCAAAGCACACACACCTCTAATAATGCCCAGCGCCAATTCACAGGTGTCTTTGTCGATGTTTGTATTCAATCTATGGATGAATACGTTATCCAAGCTTGCAAGCATTAGCTTACTGCTAATTACAACATAGCAACCATCAAAATGCTAACACTGAGGCTTCAGAAAGGGACTCCACAACCAACTATGCTACAGTCACACTGGGGGAAAAAAAAAAAAAAAAAAAAAACAGTGCTTGGGAACTGAATGCAGCAAGACCAAAATAAGTGTGACCACGTAAAGTGAACATGAAATCAGTCTGTTGCCATTTTCAAAGCAGGTCTGGTGCATCAAAACGGCGACAAACCAGCATGAAGATGGAGTCAGTCAAAGCACAAAATTATAAAATATTTCTATTTTCTTGCTGCTTGGCCTAATAATTTTTTTTAAGGACTGTATATTGGAACCAGGATAAACCTGCTTAGCAACCACCCTATTGCAGAGTCGCATCCCAGTCCAACTGGCTGTAAGGTGTCAGCAACCTGTCTGCTGTTGTTTGCAAACCATTATCGACCAGTGAATGAAGTCAGTCTGAGTCATCTGCACTTGTTTGGAGAAACGCTGGGTTCTATTAGACAACTTGTGTAATCATCTTGTGATCAAAAGCAGTAGCCCGGTTCCCACAAATACTTGCAATCTGTTCCCAAACATAAACTAATTCACTGCAGTTGCCGGGAAACCACAGGTCAGGTTTTACTTCCTACTCAAGAGAAGGTTGTTATCCTGTTCTTGCTCTGGTGTGACTGAGCCAAATGAAAGTCAGTCTTTAATACACAGTTTGTGATAAAAGCTTTAAAGACCCGAACATAACGCACCTTGTATGCTATGCTATTGAGGACCTTCATGGCCAGATCTGACACTTCAGGAAAAGGGTCTGCAGCCAGATGAAGCAGCACTCTCCAGATCTGAGTGTAAACACTGTTGAAGGACACGCCTAGAAGAGACAAATAAAACGAGAAAATTCAGCTTGGAAGCAAAGTTTTAAACAACGGACACAAATCACACACATTGAGAAAATTAACACACGTACAAAACACCCACAAACTCATACTGTACACCTCACTCTGATGTAGATCTTATAATTCACTTCATGTTCATTACAAGAAGAGCTAAGTGCTCATCTCATTAGCTTCATGCTACCCTCTCCGGTCATTTACCTCTCCTGCAGTTATAGGTTTTTTTGGCTGGCAGAGGGAAACGGACCTCTGGTGTAAGCTAATGTACACAATTAATCAACGCACAACACACACGCGCAACAAACAGCTGGCTCTCCGCATCCACCGGAGCTCCACTGCCGAGAACTGTTGCTGTTATCATGAATACAAATGAACAAACATTTCCTGTTGTCAAGGTGTTTTTGTTCACTCGTCATTATTCTTTTCTTCTGCATCGACTTTGCAGCGAATGTGACAATTTGCTGATTTTCTCTGAAGCTTGTTTGTTGTTCTTTGAACTTTCTCCTCCTTCTGTCATTTTCACAAGAGTTTCTTGCTGACAACAGTTTGTTTGGAGGCACCACCAGCCTGTTGTGTCTCTTTGTGTTAGAATGAACTCTTTTTCTTATTCAAACTCACCCTAGATTGTGAGCCTTTACTTGCTCCTGCATGTTTTCCTTACTTAGCCCTCTTCCTGCTGCAGCCCCTTTTCTACTCTAGCTCCATCTAAAAGTCCTTCAGTCCGTCAGCTTCAATCTGCCGTCTTTCTCAGTGTCAGGCACTGGGACACTTGGCAGTCCCCAGCTGTTGCAGTTTCTCATTTTGAATTGATTATTCCCTCCTTCTTCTCAGATCTCTCCGACTATGAAGGCAGCCGTGCAAATTTGACCTCTAAGGATGACCGCTGTCACGCTCTACCCTGCCCAAATCTCCACTTTTCTAAAAATCCAGGATTTATAAACCCTGAGAGGTAACGAGAACGACTGAAGTCTGGACCCACTAACTGAGACTCCCTGCCAGAAAGTGCTTCAAACAAGGGAGACAAAAAGGGCAACCGCTCCCCCCAAAAATGGAGGAAGACAGAAGGCAGCAACTAGGGGATGGATGCAATGTCGGCGCAGCGAATCCCAAACAGAGTGCAGAAGGAGGGAAAAAGAGAACAGAGATGGATCATACATTTCAGAAGCCTCTGTGCTCTGACATATGACAGAGAGTGATCAAAAAGGCAAGATATAAAGAGAGAAGACAAAGAATAAGTAAGAAAAAAAAGCATCCTGAACAAGGAGGGAGAGATGAAGTGACGGAGAGAGCAAGAGTGACTGCGGGAGGAAGAGAGCGAGGGAGTTAAAGAGGTGATTAGACTGCAGCCTGAGGGCCAGGATATGATTAGCGACAGCTAGCCAGCGTGCTAGCTGCTGCAGTAAACAGCCACTTGATAAATGTGAAATAGGGTTCCTCTCCCATTTAACTGCTGCGCACAAATTACCAGTGCACCATCCCTACACAGTCCACATGAAAGAACGTGACGGTGAATATCATTCACTGGCTGAGCGCTGCAGCACAGCCGTGTCCTGACGTGACACTCGTGTCGTCCCAAGTCTTGTGCAGAGAGAAACGGATGTACAGTAGTAAAGATGTTAACCGCTGGCTAAATGAACCACTGCATCATTTTTTTATAGCCTCCACCAATTCTTGCAGATGACATAAATCACTTTTAACACTGCATATCATTTTTTGGGAGATTTAAACGGCTGAAACATAAAAAGTACATCAGAATGTCTGAAAGCAGTGAAGGACCTCGTGTGTGTAAAATATATTTTTAATATATTTCGAGCGAGAGGTAAGCAGTGTAAGCAGCCCCAAATCATACCTGCGGTGCTCTTTAAATGTGAGACTGCCTCAAACACACTGACAAAAGTGAATTTAAGCTTCTGATGTAACAAATTTGAAAGTTGGCCCAGGCAGACTAAAAGTTTGCATTAGTCATGGCCTACCTTAGATGCACAGCTTCACAGCTTTAGTCTGGAATGAAAATAACAGCGCGGTTCACAGACTGTGAACCTTACTGACTTTTGTATATTAGCTTTTTTAGCACCATCACAAAGATAAAACGGTTGATGTTGTCTTTGTCAGCTGCTAGATGGATGGACGTGGTGCAGCTATTAAGGGTCGTTAGAGGGCGAATGGCTTTAACGGCTGAAATAAATACTGCATCCAAAAGGAAGTAACCTTTGTGGACAGAACTTAACCACGGAAAGGGCTTTGTCCACCTTCGTGGTTACAAGATCAGTTTTTTGCAGATGATGTGGGCTGCTGCCCTCTAGGTGACCTTTCACCATGAGGTTTGGATGAAAGCTGAGCAATTCTAAATTTGAAACCTGCTTTGAATTGGGGATTAAATGTTGCATATGGTGGAGTTAAAGCACCTCAGGGCGCAGTTCAGAGTGGAGGAGGTGGTTGACAAGTGGACTGCTGTACCAGTCTGTTGTGTTGCAGCTTATCAATCTAAGCTCACCCTGTAAACAAGAGGCAGACACGACAATCCTCAACAGTGCGTCTGGGTTTGTGTTTAGAGGTGAGGTTAAATGCTAAGTCAGACAAGGGGAGCTCAGAGCAGAGCTGCAGATTTTATGCATGGACAGGATGGCTCCAAGGTGAGGTGTCTTAGAAACGTCCACCTGAGAGAAGACCTCTGAACAGACCCGTGTGGCCTGCCTGGGAGTGCCTCAGTATTCCTGGAGAAGGAAGGGAGGCGGTAGCAAGGACCGTACAGCTCTGCTTCAACTGTGACCCACACTCAGAGAAGCAGTACTGCATGTATGACTGCATGTATAGATGCCACAAGCTGCAAATGCGCAATATGCATCTAGTTTCAGTACTGTATCGTGTTTTATAAAGATATTTTACATAAGCCGTGTGTCGCCGTTTTCTTCAGATTACTCATCAACAACATTCAGCACTAAATCGAGGAACGATAAATCAGGCAGACACCTAAAAACCTTACATCCCAAAACAGTGTCCTCCAAGCACAACATCAAAGACTTTTTTATGTTACTGAAAACAAAAGATTAAAAACAATCTCTGAACCTCGGCTGAAGCCATATTAGATATTTATGCCTTACAAATGAACCTCCCAGCTTGGGGGTAATTATAATAACAAATAGTAAGTCCATCAATCAGTGCTCTGACCCTGGCCCACAGCACACTTTTATTACCCTGTTGGTTTTGTGCAGGCAGACTCCTGCAGCTGCTGCATTCAGCATTGAAATCTGTTCCAAAATGCTGGCCTATAATACACGTACCCTCTCAACATTTCTTTGTTTGCAGATAGATGAGATAAATCGGTGAATGCATGATGCTGTTTACCACAAAGTGAGAAACAAGTTAATGCTTTTTGTTTCCAGTTGAGATGAAAAAGCAAGCCCCAAGGGTCTTATGAAAGCAACTTCAAACCAAACAAAGGATGGAAAAGAATAAGTTAAGAACAAATAAATCAGAACGGCAATTGAAGTCTCAAATGAGTTAGATAACTGAATCTAAGTGACAAAAGAAATGCAAGAGGCAAAAGCAAATCTAATTCTACACAAATCTGCACTCAGGTAAGCATTTTAGCCCTTTCTTCGTGTCCCAGAAACATCCATTCATCTTCTCTGCCCACTGTGAGAGAAGGCGTTTATACTGGCTCGCTGAGGGGAGTGTTTGGACTCTGCTCAGCTGTGCTGGGGGAACCGTTTAGTGGGTGAGACCCCAATATGTTTATTTATTTAATAACCCATTTACATGGACGGGAAGCTCACGCCAGCAGTGCACGTTGAAAAACGTTTCAATGGGCATCAAATTTTAGATTTGTCAGACTAAAGGGTAAAGAGAGCGAACACTGCCAACGTGTTTTTAATGATTTTCTTCATCAAACATTAATTTCCAAGCTTTGGTTTCCTATTGTGTCTGCGCTATTAAAAACAAAAAAACATGAAAAAAACTCTGAAAATCCCACCAGAACAGCTGGAAGGCCCTGATGAATTTGACTTCAGGTTTCTGGATTAGCCGAGAAATCCCTGAAGTTTCTTTTAGAGAGCAGAAAAAAGCCAGAACAATGTGTGTCTTACAGAATAACTCAAATGTGCGTTTGAGCAGGTCTCTGTGCACATTTACACAGTTAAAATAGAGAAGACACTGGTTTGCTTTCTCCTCAGAGGACCGATATGAAAATAACTAAAACAAAGCCAACTTTTATTACAATACCTCAAACTACTTTCACGGCAACTTGAATGTATTCTTCAGAGCTCAATTTTACATTTTTGCTGTGTTAAAAGCATTAACTGAGATGTGATGGGGCAGCTGGGAGATTAAGAAAGGTTTCCAAGTTAAAATTTAACATTAAAAAAGGAAAAAAGAGGGAGAGGGAATCCTGAGTTTCACTTTCCTCTTTCTTGTGGGGGTGGAAGTGAGTTAATAGTTGTTCTGCTCACACACAAACTGCCTGTCAGGGCGCATGGCGCAGCCCGCCAATCACCTGCGAGCAGCAGTAAGTGAACAGGGGCGACTTCGGTGTGTATCAGGAAAAGCACTTTAATGTCCCAGCCCCCCGCTCCCTTCTATGGTGTCCTTTACACATCTGCAAACCTTTACACTTGCTCTATTCTTGGATTTGGAGCTTTTCCGTCTGTGGCCTTGTTTCAGGGTTACTCTACTGAGGCCTCGCACTCTTCCTCTTCCCTTCACCTTCTTCAGGTCATTTATTTCCTTCTATTTTTCTCTCACGCACAGCCCCCTGAGGATTGCTGCTCACGTGATGGAAAATATTGCAACACTGTCCCTGCTGCTGACTGCATCATCCAGCAGGGTTACAGCTGCATTAGTCATGCTAATGAATGTCTCCAGATACAGCCGACACACAGTAAGCAAAGCTTATATACAATGAAATAATAAATAAAACAATGATTTTCTACATGCCCTTTGTCTCCGGTTCTGTTCATAATTTTTATGGACAGGATTTCTAGGCGCAGCCAGGTGGCGGAGGGCTTTCGCTTTGGTGGCCTCAGAATCTCATCTCTGCTTTTCGCGGATGATGTGGTTCTGTTGGCTTCATCGGGTGAGGGCCTCCAGCTCACACTGGAACGGTTCGCAGCCGAGTGTGAAGCAGCGGGAATGAGGATCAGCACCTCCAAATCTGAGGCCATGGTTCTCAGCCACAAAAAGGTGGAGTGCCCACTCCGGGTCGGGGATGAGTTCCTGCTCCAAGTGGAGGAGTTCAAGTATCTCGGGGTCTTGTTCGCGAGTGATGGGAGAAAGGAGCCGGAGATCGACAGACGGATTGGGGCTGCAGCTGCAGTAATGCGGACGCTGCACCGGTCCGTCGTGGTGAAGAGGGAGCTGAGTGTAAAAGTGAAGCTCTCAATTTACCGGTCGATCTACGTCCCTACCCTCACCTATGGCCACGAGCTGTGGGTAGTGACCGAAAGAACGAGATCGCGGATACAAGCGGCAGAAATGAGCTTCCTCCGAAGGGTGGCTGGCCTCTCCCTTAGAGATAGGGTGAGAAGTTCGGCCATCCGGGAGGGGCTCAGAGTAGAGCTGCTGCTTCTCCACATCGAAAGGAGCCAGCTGAGGTGGTTCAGGCATCTGACAAGGATGCCTCCTGGGCGCCTCCTGGGTGAGGTGTTCCAGGCATGTCCCACCGGGAGGAGGCCCCGGGGCAGACCCAGGACACGCTGGAGAGATTATATCTCTCGGCTGGCCTGGGAACGCCTTGGTATTCCCCCGGATAAGCTGGAGGAGGTGGCTGGGGAGAGGGAGGTCTGGGCCTCTTTGCTTAGGCTGCTGCCCCAGCGACCTGGCCCCGGATAAAGCGGATGAAGATGGATGGATGATTTTCCAAACAAGATGCTCATTTTCAAAACCAACAGCCCATCTCAAAGAAGACTACTGGCTTAAAGGTAAACTAATTTGCTTTGAGACATCATAATAGAGCTCTATAAACTTAAAACAACCCATCTGAATGTTAAATGATTGTGAAATTGATATAGGTTAGCATGCTACTGTTGCATGTTGTTCCTCCACCTGTATCTACTGACTATTTCTTTGCTAGCAATAGAACAGATTGCGTATTAAGCGAGCTGACACCACACCGTCAGCTTACATGTTATTAGCTATTAGTTGCTTTGCCTGTGAATATAGCTGTTAGTGGTCGGTGCTCTTATCAAGATATTAAATAAATCTGGGTTTAGAATAGTGCATAGCTGCTGTTATATAATGTTTGTTTACCTTGTGCATGCTGCTTCTTAAATCATCTGTGGTTTTGTAAATGCAAGTGTTGCTAAAGACGGTTATTGTGGCAGATGAGGTTTTGACTTCGATAGTAAATGACAGTATGCATGTGTGTGTCTAGCCTATATTTTCTGCATGTTTTATACCAAAATCTTTAAAAAAAAAAAAAACACAAAAAAAACAAACCTACATTTCATAGTTTGAAAAACGCTTTTTGCTCTCTTCAAAAAAAAAAAAAAAAAAAAAAAAAAAAAAAAAAAATTCTCTTTGAGACACAGGACTTTTCGCAGCGGTGTTTCCTGGTTGAAGAATCACTGCTACTGAGCTGAACAGTTTCCTTTTACATCATATGACTGGGCTGCAGCAGGACAGTCCCCTGATAGAGAAAGAGCGAGCTCTGGGTCTTACTGGTGCCCGAGTCAGTGGCTTGAATTGATATGGCTTGGGACCACCATGGTCCTCCACCACATTAATGTCTGCTTCAAGGGATCCTGGAGTGGAAAAGTCATCAACTTCAAAAGAGCCCCCGGGGTCAGAGCTGCCCGGTGCTTCTGTGTCGCTCTCCATTCTTCTCTGGCCTGAGGATCAGTGAGTAACACCTGCCTCACACATCTCACGTCCTCAGTGCCTCCTCAGGGTCGTTCTCTACCCTTGCACACTTTAAGTATTTTTCAACGAAGGGCCAGCTCTGTTCTAGGATGCCCTCTGGACCCAGTGGAGGTGGTGAGTGACAGGAGAATGGCGGCTAAGCTGTCATCCCTGATGGACAACATCTCCCACCCCATGCAGCAGACTGTGACAGCACTGAGCAGCTCCTTCAGTGGGAGACTGCGGCACCCACGGTGTGGGACGGAGAGATTTCGCAGGTCTTTCCTCCCCACTGCTGTCAGACTCCATAATAAAGACTTTAACTGATCAAGCACACACATCCATACATATGCAATAATACTAAGTGCAATAATCCTTTCTGTCATCGTTGTATTTTTACTCAGTTGTATATAGTATTTGTATTCTATTTTTATCTTATTGTATATTTATTTTATTTTATTCTACTGTATATAGTATAGTATTTTATTTTATTCTATTCTGTACAGTTGTGTACTGTATTTATTCTTATTGTATTCTAATTTTTGCCTCATAACTTTTGCACTGTCCACTTCCTGCTGTGACAAAACAAATTTCCCACGTGTGGGACTAATAAAGGTTATCTTATCTTATCTTATCTTAACATTTACTTGTAGGAAACCACAGACAGAACTCGGGTAGTACTGGACATTGGTTACCTATGAGGGAGTTCAGAGAAGAATACGAGGACACCCGTCGCATTTTGTCGATGGTTTCAAAAGAGAGGATGTACTCGTCGTTGTCAGGACTCCCCAGGGTGCTGCTGGCACTGCTGCTGGTGCTCAAGTTACCAGGAGAGAAGGCTGCTGGTCCACCTGGATAGAGGACAGCAATAAGTTATGAGCATTACAAACGTAATCAGTTGAAAAGGAAGCTGATTAGCTGCTGTAAATATGCCATTATGTACATTGAAAAAAAGAAAACAAAACTGAACAGTCTAATCAAGTGTGAAATGTGTAAACTTGGAGGCCAACGACAGAAGTCATAACTTCATTTCAGACGTCAGATCCACTTGTTTCCTGCTGTAACTACCATAAACACCGCTCATTACTCTGACTCACACAACTCCAACTCCCATGCATCGGCCAAACAAACTGCAGGCTGAAATGTGGAAACGGAGATTGGTGGAGAATGGAAATACGTTCTGCTCGGTGCTTATTGATGATAAACACCCCTGTGCATTGGAATAAGCACTGAGAATGTGAATTAGAAATGGTGTGAGCAGTAGGTTAGGCACTTCACCAAGTGCCAGTGATTTAGCACCACTCAGGGCTTAGTCATTGCTCAGCCTGGCAGTGGTAGACAGAGGGAGGGCAGTTAGCTTTGGCTGTCTGAATCACTGAACACAAACAGGAGGTCACAAGCTCACTAAGGACAGTGAGTTGTGCTTGAAAAGCCCTGGACCCTCGTGTTAGATTTACGTGGCTACGGCTTAAATTTTATTCCATGAATATTTTGATTAGCATTAGGTTTTTTATTGTTTTTACTCACACTTTAACTTCCCTTTTTTAAATATGAATAAGAAGAAAAGTTCACAAAAGGTTTTCTGAAGCGGACAAAGCTTTTCCTTGAAGTTACGGCTGTTTGAGAAGCAGAAAATAAGCGTGACGGGTTGAAAGACTCAATTTCAGTCCGTACAGCTTTTCCTCTGTTTTGTGGTTGTCACGCTGACCACCAGGAAGGACAGAAATGGACAACGCAAGGACCAACTGACCAAATTACCCTGAATCACACCAGCGGCAGACCAAAAAAACAAAAACAAACACAAAGCAAACCCAAAAACAAACAAAAAAGTTAAAAATTTGAGTCCTAAAAATGATTTTTGTACTGGGGATTAGTAAAGATAGAATACCTGCCAAACAAGTAACATGAAGAAAACTCTGTGAGCTGGCCAAATGTCAGCAAACCCTTCTTGTTAACAGGGAGGATTCACACGTACTCGAGTCGTGCTTTGATGCTGAGGTGATCTGCTCACAAGCAAATCAAACTGCATTCATTTAAATGCTCCAGATTTGCCAAAAAATATATCAAGTAAAACATATGACAATATTCAGAGTGAGCTGGTTGCTTGTGCAGCTTGTCATTCAACATCAAAAGAGACGTGAATAATCACCCTGTTAAAAACAAAGGCAGCTGGTCTGGCTCATGCTGACTGATAACTGAAGCTCTGTTAGTTTGTTTTGTCAATGATTGGCTGCAAAGATCCCCTCACCGGTCACCCAGCGTCATACAGTGCAGTATGCCTTTGGTTTAAAGTTCAGCACCATGGACAGCTCCACATTTCCACTGGTGATTAGGCCGCTCAGGATTCAGATGCTCTGAACCCTCGATTTCCTTAACACGGTTATCTCAGTCATCTATTTATTGTCGCTGGCTCTGAGGGAAGGTGGCCTTAAAGACAGACGATGACCTGAGGAGCAGCACCAATCCCGCCCAATATAAGATAAATAAGGATTACGATCCAAGATGGCGCCGCGTATGGATGTCCTGGTGCTTCAGTGCGTTACTTCTGTCTTGTTTTTGTGCATAACTTCTGTGTCTGGGCACTCCTCTGGATATTCTTACACCAGAGAAGAGCTTCTTAACCACAGGACTACAACATCTGTGGATTTACTTCCAATATTTGTCGCATCCGCGGCAGATTTACTGCAGACTCTGATCAGGAAAGTGAGACGCCGAAAGAGAGGTAAGCGAGCCGGCGCACTCGTGCGTCTGAGGAGACGTGGACTGCGAACTGCTCTTCCTGGGATCTTCCTTTCCAATGTACGATCACTCAGGAATAAGACAGACGAACTGGCCCTGATGAGAAGCATGAACAGAGACTTTGCCGCCTCCTGTGTGTTATGTTTTACGGAGACGTGGCTCTGTGAGGACATCCCGGACAGCGCGCTCAAGCTGGAGGGCTTTCATCTGCTGCGTGCTGACCGGCAGGCCTCTCTCTCTGGTAAGACCAAAGGTGGAGGTGTCTGCTTCTACATTAATAGTGGCTGGTGCACAGATGTAACAGTGATTGCTCAGCACTGCTCTTCCTCTCTGGAATACCTTTTCATTCACTGCAAACCGTTTTATTCTCCGCGGGAGTTTGCTTCATTCATCCTGGCCGCTGTTTACATCCCGCCAGATGCGGATGTGCAGGCAGCTCAGTGCGCACTCGCGGAGCAGATACTGCACATGGAGCGGACATTCCCGGACTCTCTCATCATTGCTCTTGGGGACTTTAACAAAGCCAATCTGAGCCATGAGCTTCCCAAATACAAGCAGTATATTAAATGCCCGACCAGAGAGGAGAGGACATTAGACCACTGTTACAGCACGATCAGCGGGGCCTATCGTGCGGTGCCCCGCGCTTCACTCGGACTTTCTGACCACGTCATGATCCACCTAATCCCCGCGTACAGACAGAGGCTGAAGCTCTCCAAACCTGTTGTGAGGACCAAAAAACTGTGGAGCAACGAGGCTGTGGAGGAGCTTCGCACGTGTTTGGAGTCTACAGACTGGGACACAATGAAGGCTGCTTCTAACAGCTTGGACGAGTTTACGGATATAGTTTACGGATATAGTTTACCTCCTATATCCACTTCTGTGAGGACAGCATTGTGCCATCACGCACCAGGGTGAGTTATAACAATGACAAACCCTGGTTTACTCCTAAACTCAAAAAGCTGTGGCTGGAAAAGAGAAAGGCGTTCAGAAGCGGAGACAGGGACTGCTACAGAGAGGCCAAGTACAGGTTCACTAAAGAAGTGGACATTGCTAAACACCAGCACTCTGAGAAGATGCAGCAGCAGATCTCAGAGAATGACTCGGCCTCTGTGTGGAAAGGTTTTAGGAATATCACCAACTACAAGCCTAAAACCCCCCACTCCACTGATGACTTGCTCTTGGCCAACACCCTTAACGACTTTTACTGCCGTTTTGACGAGCCATCAGGCAGCCTTCACACCTCCAACGGCCCCAACAATAGAGACACTTTGGACACTCATTCCCCCACCTCTCCCCCCTCCATAGAGCCATCACCACCTTCAATCACTTCACCTGCAACACCCCCCTCCTCACCCCACACAAAGGAGGATTTCACACCACCTCCTCCCACCACAACTCTTCATATTCATGAAGCAGGTGTGAGGAAGCAGTTTAAGAGTCTGAATGCTCGGAAAGCTCCCGGCCCAGACGGCGTGTCTCCTGCCACCCTCAGACACTGTGCAAACGAGCTGGCCCCAGTGTTTTCTGGCATTTTCAACTCCTCACTGCAGGCATGTCATGTGCCTGCCTGCTTCAAGTCCTCTACCATAATCCCTGTCCCCAAGAAACCTAGGATCACTGGAGTAAATGACTACAGACCCGTGGCTCTGACATCTGTGGTCATGAAGTCTTTTGAGCGCCTATTTCTCTCCCATCTCAAGACCCTCACGGCCCCCCTCCTGGACCCCCTGCAGTTTGCATACAGAGCCAACAGGTCTGTAGATGACGCCATCAACATGGCCCTACACTTCATCCTGCAGCATCTGGACTCCCCAGGAACCTACACCAGGATCCTGTTTGTGGACTTCAGCTCTGCCTTCAACACCATCCTTCCAGACCATCTCCGAGGCAAGCTTTCCCAGATGAATGTGCCTGATCCCATCTGCCGGTGGATCACTGACTTCCTGACGGACAGGAAGCAGCACGTGAGGCTGGGAAAGAATGTCTCGGACTCCCGGACCATCAGCACCGGCTCCCCTCAGGGCTGTCTTCTTTCTCCTCTGCTCTTCTCCCTGTACACCAACTGCTGCACCTCCACCCACCAGTCTGTCAAGCTAATCAAGTTTGCAGATGACACCACCGTTATCGGACTCATCTCGGACGGGGATGAGTCTGCCTACAGGAGGGAGGTTGAACGTCTGGTGTCCTGGTGCAGCCACAACAACCTGGTGCTGAATGCCCAGAAGACAGTGGAGATTATTGTGGACTTCAGGAAGCACACAGCCCCACTCCCCCCCATCATCCTGACTGACACCCCCATCACCTCTGTGGACTCGTTCCGCTTCCTGGGTACCACCATCACCCAGGACCTGAAGTGGGAGCCCACCATCACCTCCGTCATCAAGAAAGCCCAGCAGAGGATGTACTTCCTGAGGCAGCTGAAGAAATTCAACCTGCCAACACGGACGATGATGCAATTCTACACCGCAATCATCGAGTCCATCCTCACCTCCTCCATCACCGTGTGGTACGCTGGAGCCACTATCAGGGACAAACAGAGACTGCAGCGTGTTGTGCGCTCTGCTGAGAAGGTGATTGGCTGCAGACTCCCATCTCTGCAGGACCTGTACACCTCCAGGACACTGGGGCGTGCAGCTCGGATCTCAGCTGACCCTTCTCACCCTGGACACAGTCTGTTTGACCTGCTCCCCTCAGGCAGGAGGCTCCGGTCCATTCGCACCAGAACCTCTCGCCATAAGAACAGTTTCTTCCCCTCTGCTGTTGGACACATGAACAATAACCGTATGACTGTTCCCACCACTAACACATGACCCCTAACCTGTGTTCACTGCATCATTCCATGTTTGGCACTGATCACCACCTGCACTCATGTATATATCTATCCACTTAGCACTTTTAATTCTTATTCTTATTTTTATTTTCATGTCTATTTAAGCGTAATTTATGACAGTATGTTTGCAGTGAAGCACCGCAGCAATTTCCTAATGTTGTAAACCTGCTCAACATTTGGTAATAAAAACCCTTTCTGATTCTTTCTGATTCTGATTACTCTGAACTCTGAATCATGCAAAGCTGCTCAGGCAGAGTAGCATATAAAATGTGGACTTGAATAAGAGCCTAAAGGAGGTAAGAGGATATAGAAAAAATACTTTTACTTTAAAGTAAAAATTAAAAGAAAATGGAGAGGCGAAGCTGAAGACTAAGATGAAAATTATAACATTTATAGGTGAAAAACTCTCAATAATCATCGGCCAGTGCAAAGGTGAAGCAGCAACAATTAAAAAATTTCATTTAGCTGGATTTGACAAGTTTAGTCTCTCTTGGTAACTTTGATGCAGTTTGACTCACTAGGTTGGCGTGCCCTCCACAGCAGAGTGTTAGCATGAAGAAGTGTTTTTGGATAGGGATTTCTCTGGGAAAGGGCCAAGGTCCACCTCTGAATAGCAAACATACACTTACACAACAAAATACTGCAGGCGTACTAAATATTCTCTGGGTGTTACGCTTATGCCTAACATGACACACGAGTGTCGAGTTAAGCATCGTGACAAAGATGATGTGAAAATGTTTTTTTTACACGTGAGAGCCGGGTTCGAATCAACAAGCTGAAGAACTCTGCCTGTTTGGAAACCTGGTCACGACCTCTCTGGTGGTTGTGAAACCTCTTATTAATGCACACTGAGTCACACTCAGGAATAACAAAATGCAGAAGTTAGCCTGAAGAATAACATCCAGAATCCGCAGCTGATGTAGAATGTGATATTTCTCTTTCCTTGAAATAGTTCAATTTAATAAGCTCTATAAGTCTATGTCTTAATGCAACCCTCCTAAAAATCATTCTTAAACTCGACTTTGTCTATTTCACACACATTAATTTGCCAGCACTCCCTGTCGCTCGGTCTTACCCTCTTCATTGAGGTTGAGGTTTTGCAGACTTTTGTTCAGGTTGCGGGCAGTGGTAGCAGTTCGGATGTTGGTGTAGGAGTTGACTGATCGTAAGCGAGGGATGGCCGGGCTGTCCCTCACTGGAGTCAGGTTACCGGGCTCTGAGCGTGAAATGCAGAAGCACATTAATCAGATCACAGATTATCCCAAACAGCTCAAAATGATTAGGTTTCCCAGTCTGACCCAACTCAATCATTGTGGGAACTTCATAACCTAAAATAACAACTTAAAAAACTGTTTAAGTGGTTTCGCGTTTCTGACTAAGAACCTTTGAGAATTTTGACTCAAGTCCAAATCTAATTTCTCAGTAAACAGCTGTACACATGTTTGCCATGTACGCGACAACAGTTCTGCCTTAAGATAAGAAAAAAAAAATAGTGATTTGCCATTTCACCTTCTCTTCGTCCTAAATCGAGCCATAAAAAATGGAAACAAGAAATTCAAATTGACTCTACATAAACTCACTCATCCCAGTCGACCCACTCTCCCTGCACACACCTGCATACAGGAGAGGTATGACTTCAGCTTTCAATCCTCTGACCGCTGCTAAATTTGATCTCTTACCACTGATACATAAATATCCTGTAAATTAAGCCCGATCTGTATCACAGGAAACATCAACCTTATTCAAATGATTATAAAAAAGTCATATTCTGGGTCAAGGGTCATTCAGATAATAACACAATGAAAATCTCAAACTAGGTTTTGGCCTACGCGTGTACAAATCCCACATGCTTAAAATCTGACACAGTGACTCTGATTAAAGGAACTGCTGATCACATACCCGCGGTGTTGGCCGGTGACGGCACGGAGTAGTTCTTCTCTTCCTCAATAAACTGGAGGGCAACAGTACAGAAGTTGCTCTCATATTGGACGACCAGGTGACTGAGTGCTACCACCAGCTCCTGCCAAATGCATATGCAAAAAAGACAGCATCAACCATGATGATCGTTCCGTTTGTTTTAGGTGTAAGGTAACAAAGGAGCTAAGTCCTCTAATTCAGATGTTTTTATTGGTTTATTTTTGGATCTTTTACCTGCCACAAAACAAAAAGCAAACGCTACAATCTTCTCTTGCTGTCTTTTCTCAAGACACATTTGTTAGCAACTCTTAAACAAACAGACTTTTTGGGTTTTTGTCTGGTTATCTTGAAATATGAAATGTTGTTTAAAAAAATTAAAATTTCTAGTTTCACAAGTAACAAAGAGCAGCCAAGTGCAGGAACTTATCAATACCCAGCAGGCCACACACAGGCCGTGGATTATTTCATGGAATTAAATCATCTCAAATGCACCAGTACACCAGTGATCTTAGTAGAAGTGTAGTTTAGGGCAGGGATAGCTCAGTAGGTAGAGTGGTGGCCCCATGATCGGAAGGTCGGGGGTTCGATTCCCCTGAACAGCTACCCTGAGGTACCCCTGAGCAAGGTACCGTCCCTACACACTGCTCCCCGGGCGCCCAGTGGCTGCCCACTGCTTCACTGAGTGAATGGGTTAAATGCAGAGAGGGATTTTCCCCATGGGGACCAATAAAGTACACTTTCTTTCGTCTTTCTAGGCCTAGTTTTATGTCCTTCTGCTGTTTTTGCACATTTTTTTAAATTCCCAATTTCTACATTTATCAGTTTGCAACTATATTTTATGCAAGTGTCTGTCTGCGTGCTGTAGCAACCTTTCGGACCACAGGGCTGCCATCGTTGATGAGCTGGGCCAGCATCATGGCCACGTTGTGGTCGATGGTGGTGGAGTGGTCCGTCCTCTCAGCAGAGTTCCCCACAAACGTCCCCAAAGCAAAGACAGCTGCACACCTCACCTGCAACAGCACAACCCACACAACACCTTAAGCTTTCTCTCCTCCTCGTTCAGTAATGATGTTAAAAGTTAAAAGCTGGCTTCGCTGTGGTTTAGTCTCCACAGTAAACGCTGCAGCTCTAGCTTTCTATTTATTTTTACCTGACAGTGATTTTGGGGTTCGGCCGTTTACCCCGAAAACCAAATATTTCCTCAGCAAACTGATACAAAAATATTTTAATGTCTTGTGGAACCAGTGGGGAAGAGTTTTAGAGGTAATTATAGTTCAATATTCTCTCACTGCACCAGTATGAAATTCAGAGATGCTGGATGCTTCGCTGACCTGTATCACTAACTCATTACTTTTTCTACGCTGCCTCATTGGATTTTTAATCTAAACCTGCTTTGCCCAAAAGGAATTTCCCATCAGGGATCGGATTCACAAACCAAACCTTATTACCACACAAGAATGAATATTTGGTTAGCTTATTTTCCTGTTCTGGCGACAAAAAACACCCAAACCCCAAAAAACACTTTTTTGGAGGCGATTAGATTTCAGGACACAGCTGCAGTGATGCTAAAATAAACAGATGTTACTTTGTTGCAGTTTGCTCCAATTAAAGAGGTTCAGCTCAAACAGTTCAGATGAACATTTCATAATTCACTTCAGCAAGAGCTGATTAAAATCAGAAAATCCAAGGTAATCTTTAAGACAATAGTTACAGGAAAATGCAACATGTCATATACACTCACTAGACAATTTGCCTTCAGGACCGTCTTAGCACAGATTCAATGAGGTTATGAAAACATTTCTCAGGGATTTTGTCCACAACGACTTGATAGCATCACATGGCTAAAAAATACACAGTGAGAATCTCCCGCTCCACCACATGCCAAAGTTGTGTTACCGGATCGAAATCAAGTGAATGTAGAGGACATATGAGTGCAGTGAACTCACTGTTATGGTGAGTCAATCTCAGCAGCTCAGCAGTGTCTGAAACACTAAGACCAGCCCGTCCGATACCAGCAATCATGCCACATTCAAAGTTACTTAAATCACATTTCTTTCACATTCTGACGCTCACTTCAAACTTCAGCAGGTCGTCTTCACTGTGCCTAATGCCTAAATCCATTTAGTTTCCGCCAAGTGACTGGCTGACTAAATATTTGGGTTAGCAAGCATTTCAAATGGTGTACTTAACAAAGTGAAAGGTGAGTATAGGTTATATAAGAGTTGTTGGATGTTGTCAGAAACGGAACATAAAAGATCCCGACAACAATAAAAAGCAGTCTCGTCTCACAACACAAAGGAAAATAGTCACAAATTTGAATGTCGTGCATTTCAACTGGAAATATATTTTCTGTCTGCAGCACAACTTTAGTTTAGACAAAGCAGGAAAGAAAAAAAACAATTGTATTTTCCCCCAAACCACAATCTTATTCCAAACGAACACGGCTGTTTGAAATTCCAGACCCTACCTTTAATAAATGGAAAACATTGGTTTTGTGTAAATAGACACGAATCAGTACATATAGAATAGAATAGAATAGAATAGAATAGACTAGGCAGGAATAAATGGTTATGTTGGACGGGAGAGACCTGACAATCAAGCTGGAAATTTTGTGTTTAAGAACATGAATCAACAGATTTGAATTCATGGCTATTTCACAACTGTCACGAGACTGTGTTGAACAAGGAGATATGAGACATCATCCATTCATAAAAAAATAAATTAATTAAATAAAATTAAAACATGTGCTACTAAAGGGGTGCTTTCCTTTTAAAATGGTCTTAGATTAACTTGATAAACATTATTCTGTTCCCCAGCTGCACCAAGGCCGATCAGCAAGCACTCCAGCGGGTGGTGAAAGAAGCTGGCAGAATTATTGGAACAAGTCTGCCAGAGATCAGTAATATCTTCCCCACTCGCTGTCTGAGGAGGGTGCACAGTATCCTGCGGGACCAACATCACCCTGCGCGCCACCTTTTCCATCTGCTGCCCTCAGGGAGAAGGTACAGGTCTATACAGGCCAGAACATCCAGACTGGCCAACAGCCTGTATCCACAGGCTGTGAGGCTCCTGAACTCTCTGCCCCCCTCTCACGGACAATAACCATATCCAACTTCTTAATAGCAATGAACTGGTCTGCATTGGTGCATCATATCTTTATTCTCTTCCCCCTCCTGCCCCCCCTCTTTCTTAAATAGATAACTATCATATCTGATATCATATCTCACAGTACAATAATATTGAATGGGTTGCATTGTTGTATTTTGTCATGTTTCTCAGGTTTTTGTCTGAATTTCTACGAACATTATTGCTAAGGATTGTCTTATTGCATTGGAGTCACACTGGGTTAAATATGTACACTTGGGTTTTAAGGGGTATTTATTATTTTCTTCTTTTTTTTTGGGTTGTATGGAAGCCCCAAACGCAATTTCATTGTTCTTGACAATGACAATAAATAAATAAATACTAAAATACTAAATATATTCTGAATGGAGGAGCAGGCGTAGGAGGAATGTTTTTCCTCAGCTCGAGTGAGCTCTGATTGAGGATTTTGTCTGCATATCTGTGTGTTTGTGGGTTGCAGAGCCATGTACGATTTTAGATGCCATCTCAGTTCTGTCCCCTCAGACTTTTGCTTAAACGTAATTAAACTCTTTGCACAGTCACTCACCTCTGTGCATCTTCACCTACTTCCAGAAGCCTCTGTGCATACACGGGCACGTGTTCCCATCTCTTCAGAGTTTTAAAAAAAATTGACTTTAATTCCTGAATTCATTTCCCCAGCTACAACCCAAAAATAAAAGTAGAATATTTTGTTGAATAATTTTATTTCACAGGGTCTTGTCCTCAAAAGAGAACTGCCTGCTTACGATGTGGCTGTGCAACGTGAGCAAAGCAACTATCAAAACACAAATAATGTTTGAATTTAACACAAGGAGAGCTTTAAAACGCAGTAACCTATCTGTGAATGCACAATTTCGCCACAGTTTGATCAGAATCAGTCAGTTGGAGCTTTCAGTGGGCTTGAACAAACCAACAGAACATGTGTGGGTCACAGATGCTGTCTGCAGACCTCAGTTTCAAGCCCACAGCCAAAGCAGCTGTCTGCGCTGGGAAGGACGCCGTTACTGAGCCAGGAACAGATGTTCCCCGTGTGGCTTGTGTGAACAGGGGGCACCGAGTGTCTTGGTGAACTTCAGGGCAAACTCAGACTCACTGTCCCTCTGGTCCACTCATGACCCAGTCAGACAGAAGCCAGCGTGGGCTGGTGTTAAAGATTGAGCGAGTGCACTGAGCAGGGCAGTCCCGCAGAAAACAAACATGCTTTAAACCTTTTCTAACAAACACACTGCATCCCTGAAGTTTTCTCAACTCCACCTGGAGGTGTGCAAAAACGCAAATGTCTGATTCAGTTTTTAAGCTGCTAGCTTCCTAGAACAAAGTCAAAAATAATAATGGTCCGGAGAATTCACAGCATGTGACTGGACCCACATCTGATGTGGACAAACTCCTGACACCATCGCTCATTTGTGACTCAGGAGGCACTGAAAATAAAGACATTTGGCCCAGTGTTTAGTAACATTTGTTACCACGCATCAGTCCAAACTGTGGAGAGCCAAATAAATACATTCATGGTCTGTTTGTGATTTTTCTATAATTTCATGTTTATTTTTATGACTTCTAAGAAGAGACAGATTTAAAAACACCGGCACAGTAAAACAACTGAACAGTTAAAATTACAGACTGTGGAATATCAATAAAAATGTCTTATTATAAATTTAAGACATTTGTCATCTTGGACATCGGAATATTTTTGGGAAGCTTCATGATGTAAGAGTTCAGAGAAAAATGTCTTTAAATGAAAGGAAGGGAAATCTTTTCATTTCCTGTCCACATTGTTTTCTTTCTTTATTATTTCTTACAAAAAACTTTGTTTTCGAGTTTTGTAATGGGAAGTCTGAAAAGTCTTTTCTTTTTTCCCTGACTGACCACTGATATTACATTTCAAAAGTAAAAAGCCCCAAACTCTTAAAATATTCTCTTTATTTAGCTGCACTCTAGACTATAGTTTTAGTTGAGATGCCTTTTTCTTATACAACTCTTCTAAGACTCGTCCAAATGAAAAACTCAAGCAGAAGTCAAAATATTCTGATGCATGCAGAGACCGATCTGCGTATTCTGCCACCTCGTGGTTCCGATGCTCTTGCAGTGGCAGATTGAGTATCTACAGGTGCTGCTGTGACAGCAGAGGGTCTGTTGGACTCCAGATGTTAGCCAGTGGTCACCAGCTAATGTTTGTCATACAGATTTTGTGTTTAAATGTCACCCAGAAACTGATCTACTGGAATGTCTTGTTTTTTTTCATCAGCACATTAAAAAACGACAACAACAAACGAGGCTTCTTGGGCTGAATCGTGTAATACGTATTTGCACACTGACCTTTTTAGTCACTAATTCAAGTGAAACAACCTGTGAAATATTCTACTGACAGCAAAAATCCCCCCCAACACAAAAAACTAAATGTGAGTGAGAGCTCCTTGAGGCAGTTTGGAGGGGAAACAGTTAAACAAACAGCAGCTGGTCAATCATCCTAACTGACACGAGGTTTCACTGGCTGCAGGCCATCAGTTAAACCCTGTCCAGGTTACACTGGTCCGAGCAACTAACAATATGCTTCACAATAAAGTCAGTTAATCGCGTTAATTGATCCACTCGGCACAGCCCCTGAAGAAAGGAAAACTCTTCATGTGTTGGAAAGAAGTTAAGAAATTGCTATTACTACTAACTTTCAGCACTTCCCTTGAATCCTGTGTAGGTCTCTAGCCTGCAACAACAGGTCGACAGGACTTTTACTGAAACTAGAATCAGGGCAGAAGTTTCAAGGTAACATTTCTTAGAACATGAAAATCTGTCTAAAAATCTGGTTTAATTTAAGTTGAAGAACTAAATCTGAAGGTTATGCATATTTTGGAAATTAAGCTGTGCTGCTCTTCCTTTTTCCTCAAACGAACGTCTTAATCATCTCTAAAGACTTTCTTGTATTAGACACAACGCGTGCAACACTTGACGTCTCACCTCTGGAATGGGATCTGAAAGCAGAGTGTAGAGCTTCTCGTGGGCGCTGTCGCGAACCCCACACCAACGCGCCGGGTCAAAGTTCTGCCAGATGCGTCCCAGGCAAATAGCCACCCACTGGCGGAGCAAGGGATGGGGGTCTGACAGCTGCTCCAGGCAGTTTGCTATCAGGTTGCCCTGCAGACAGGCCTCCTGGAGGGGAGAGAAGGAGCGATGCAGAATGAGCGATGAGTGCATGAGATGCACAGATGTGAAGCTTTTGGTTATAAAAGCGGGCGCACCTGCAGATGAGATTTGAGAAAGACTGACAGAACCGTGGGAGCTGAAACAACATCACTGAATTACTCTCATTTGGATTCGTCGTGAGACGCTGGACTGTGGTGGTTAACAATAACCTTCCCGCTAAATCTAATAAAATACAATATCTGCAGTCATCTCGAGCAGCGCACAGGTGTGAAGCTGGGAGCAGACTTGTAGCTCATTAGCCAGTTAATAACCACTAACCTGTAACCTCACACTGTGTGATGGACAAAAAGATGATGAGCTCTGTGGCAGCATGACTTTTTCCTTTCAACCCATTTGGGCTTTAAAAAAAATCATCTGTGAACAAAAGGTAATTTGTTACCTAGCCTGTCTGTGTGTAGTTCAAATGTTCAACAGTACAAGATAAAACTACCCAACCTACAGTGCACGTTCAAACCCTTCATCTCCACAAATGATTCATTGTTATAATACCCAGGACTCTGACGGCGTACTAGACTTTATTCTAAAGCACACGTGGAACATGGAAACGTGTCCGTCACTGTTTTTCACAGTTCAGTTTTAGCGACACTGTTTCTAAGCGTACTTTCTTCTCAACCTTGAAGCCTCGTGACTCTTTGCATCACAGTGCACGGCCTTTTTATCACGTATGATTCATTCCTACCACATCGATGACTCTTATATGTAAAAGTGGGACAATGCTCCTTAGCACTCTCAAACAAGCAGGATTATACGGTGGTACTAATTCATTAACTACCCCACTGGATCTGATCACAGTGTTACAATGTCCGGCAGTAGTAAGAACAGGAATTAAATAGTTTGCTGCCTACAAATGGAATTAATTACAAAAGCCTGTGAAGTTACATTGGAAAGTTTTAAAAAGTATATTTATGAGTAGATTTATTCACATGTATAATATAGTGTTGTATAATGTATATGTGGTACTGTTAGACAGGTCTTTCTTTAAAAAGACATCCAGCACTCAGAAAGGATTTAATACTAATATTGCCACTATTATTATTATTATTAGTAGTAGTAGTATTACATTACATGATTTTTAGATTAATTGAAGATTCTAAATTGCCATTAGCTCCAGGTGTTAGTGATTGTGGTCGCCCATCTGTCACTGTTAGTCATGTGATGGACTGGTTCCCCGTCCAGGAAGCCCCACCCCTGCTGAGACCTGCAGGATCCAGCCTCACTGCAACCCTGAAACGGTGAGTGGTCACAGTAGAGTAAAAGGAGGACAGCAATCTTTTGGATCTAGGAAAAAAGTTGGTTGTTCATTTTTTTTGCTTGAATTTTTGGTCTGCATATTTTTTTGCTGCATAACTGCAAATAGCTGACCAACCAGCTGCCTGCATATGATGCGTTTATGGGAGTTCTGTAAATTACAAAGAAATTACAAAGAAGCCAAATATACCAAATATAACTTCAAAGTACAGTCTGACTTCTCTGTGCAGTTTAAAAGACCCGTGTGATTATGCAAAGATCTAGTAAATGTGTCACTTCTCAAGTTTTCTTGAAAATTCAACCTCTCTTACACACACGAACCGCAATAAACGAGAGGGGGAGAAAATCTTCTTTCGTCTCCAACAAATTGAGGCATCATAACAGCGCATCATTTGTCAGCAGCTACACAGCGTAACCCTCCCCACCCCTAATGTTTCTCATCGTTCTCTCGGCTCTGATGGATCCTCCCAGCTGAACCCAGAGAGCTGGAATATTAAGACACCATGGCTCGGTGACATGTTCGCAACAGCGAAACTGCAGTAATGAGCGCTGTTGTTGAAAGGAAGAGGAATAAATAATGGAGATGTGGCGCAGGCAGAGAGTCTCAGTGTAATGCTGAGGATCATCTATTATTTACACAGACCTGTGAGAGAGGTAGGCGTGCTAAGGACACAGGGATACCGGAGAAGAATGGCTGTTTCTGAGCTTGAGAGCACATACAGCTTTTATGATTTGTCACATTTATATACTGTAATGTCGAGACAGGGAGGAGTAGAGGAGAAATGAATGAGTCAAATAACATTCACAACTAGACAGAAAAATAACCACAGAGACCAGGAGCAGGAGCAAAACGGAATTATGGTGGAATATTTCTTTGTGGAATAGAGTGTCAAGAAGTGCGTGCGTGCGTGTCGACTCCATGAAATGACGAGCTACATCCCTACATCGCACCCCTGGACGTTTGATTAGCGTCAGACACAAAAGGCTTCTGGGATTGAACACCGGACGCCAGCAGCAGGCCGAAGTGACACCTGCGGTGATAAAGTGTCACCGCAGAGGTGGCTGTGGGACGGAAACGGAGATTGCAGAGGTGACTGTGGGTGACAAAACTGTCACATAACCAATATCTCCCAGAAATACACAATAGACGAGAGAGTGATCTTTCAAAGTGACGGCTGGCCCCGAAAGAAGGCGCCGTTCTGTTGAGGGAAGTGAATGAATATGTTCGCCTATTTGGATTTCTAGCAAGCAAACAGACAGCGACGTGTTCAGACATCCTCCTACCTGCCCTGTGGTATAGTTGTTCACTATAACAGCTAAAATGAAGACAGCCATGGTCCGATGCTCAGCCTGAAACAGGGAAAAGGACAGAATTAAGTTTTTACGTCACTTCCACTCTACGTTTCTCGTTTATCTTAAACTAATTTGTTGTGAAGCAGTAAGATAAAGTGGACCTATTATACTTTAATATGCGAGTGGAAAATCTTCATATTAAACAGGGACAAAATTTTAGACAGCAAGGTGAGCAAAATATTCAGGATTCAGACTGCTCAGATTTTTGTGCACCTGGTCGACATTAACTTTCATGGTTTCCTTTTAGAGGCCAGAGATACAGCTCCAAGCAAAGCAACTTCACTGACATTCTCTGCTTGACCGCTTCAATTTATAGGGCTTGACCAGGGTCAAGTTCAATATCAGGTTTCAAGTTAAAGAAGGATAAGAGTCATCACGTGTTCCTCTCATGCCACTACACAGAGGACTGAGTTGACTAAAGATGAAGTTTGGAGATGAGGAACAAACATTTGTCATTAAGAGCTAACTGATTAGCAGTTAGCAAATTATTTTGCCATCAAACATGGATCACGTGACTCTTTCCGGGTCACTTTGCTCTGTGTTTTTGCATATCGATATCAAAACAGTAACTTTTTAGATAACTTATAGAAAAAACACAATGAAAAACGTGTCTGATCGTTAGCGCATCGGAACCGTTTCCTAATTTTATAATTGAACTCAGTAAATAAATGTCAATTTCTATAATAACGCAATGTCATGAAAACTCTGAAAAAAGGGAAATGGCGAGAAGTCACAATAAAAAGATGAAACTAATATTATATTGATGGAATTTTCGCTTGTATTAATAACTTATTCCTAAAGACAACAGGCATATTTTTAGTGTTACTACAGACTATTATTGTTTCTTAAGAGGTGGATCCTTCATTTAGGCAGAAAATTTACTAGAGAGACTGAAGAGTTTAAACACTGTTTTCAGAACAAGAACATTAAAGGAGTGAAGTACAGCAGCTGGTTGAGAAATTACATGAAAGGAGTAACACCAGATAAAAAAATAACAGAAGTCCACTTCAAGACTCCCAGCTGGAATATTTAAACAGGATTTTGCTTTCTTGATGACGATGGCGGATACTCACAGGCATGTAATTGTCAGCCAACACTGACAGGAAGTACTTGTGCCCATTGTCTTTCACCAGGTCAGCTTGACATGACTGTGGAAACAGAAAGAAGGAGAAGATGGTGGAGACTTCACAGCAGATATATTATGGGGTATGTTTGTTTCTTTCAAGCAGAGCCTCAAAACTTTGCATGAATACTGATTATAAATGTTATTATTGCAGGAGCGTACGGCCCCGAGCAGGGACTAAAATATGAAACATGGCAGAATTGAGATGTAAATCCTAGATTACTCCTAATTATTTCATCAGCGCCAGAAAGCTCTTCCAATGCCACAAGCTGCTTCTGTACTTCAGGGTTTATCATGTTTTTCGTCTGTAACATGAAACAAAGTGACGAGCAGTGAAGCTCGAGATCAAAGTCTGCGTCTGATTCAAACATCTTCAAAAAGTGTCGGAGGAGTTAAATCAGATAAATTATTGTAGGAAACAAGGAAAAAGTTAATTCAAGTAAATGAACCTTTTTCAGTCTATGAAAATAAATATAATAATATAGAATAAACTGGACTTTGAAGTGTGAGAGTGTGATTTTACGTACGCTGTCCACAGCGAGGATTTTAGCCCAGATGAAAACCAGCAGCGGCCGCAGCTCTCTGGCTGAGCTCTGAAGCAGCTTTAACACGTAGGGGAAGATCCCCACGGACAAGGCCTGAAACACAGAACAGGCAAACACGGAGCGCTGGTGTTTATAAAGCTGTATTGATGTTACCGTTATGGGTCAAGCTTTGCTGTTGAACCTGACCGTCCAAGTGTGAAGGCCGAGACGCACCTGTGGTTTACAAAAGTCAAGGCGAACACCAGAATGAAAAGTAGCCGAGCACAAGCTGGGAGCCCGAAAGACTTGTTGAAAATACAACCTGGCTTTGGACTTATTTCACCTTCCAGCTAAAAGAACGAGAGATCCTCTTTTCGAGGAGCGTGCTAACAATTTGGCTATTATACAATATCCAATTAAATAAACTATCCAACAGCAAAAACACCATACTTTGGGATTTTAATCTTAAACTTATATTGATCTGAATTACAAATGCTAAATTCTAAAAAGATTTTCACTGGAGGTTTTACAGATGCAGCAGCGTCCTGTTCATAATAAGATAATAATCTGGTGTTATACGTGTAACTAAACAAAGCATACAGCTGATGATTTTACATTCAGTCTTCAGATGTATCTGCTTTCTCCTCAGTGACGGGCAGCAGCACCTGACTTTAATCCACTAAAAACACTAATATCCTATTTAAAATATAAATAAATTAACAAAAAAGAAGACAAACTGCTAGCAGCATGCTAACTAGTACAGCCAGGTCCACTGCCCATTTCAAAATGCAAGAAATCTAAACAATAACCTAATATTCAGCTGTCATAGTGTTTTTAAAACCTAAAAAAATTGCATAACAGATATTTTGCACATCCTGACACAAGTCTTAGATTCTTCATTTTTTTCTGTCTTGGATACGTTTACAAAAGTGAATATTGTCGAGCTTTGCAAACCTCTAAATCAGTGAAAACAAACTCAGTTTCATATTTCCTTTTAATAAAGAGATAATGATGTAAGCTATGAGAGGCATGTGTTTAAAGGACACGTGGCGCTCCCTGCCTCCAGTGCTGAGCACAGGATGGAGGGTTGCGATTGTTATTTTTTTAAACATTCATAGCAAAAACGCACCAGACTGACGGCCCAGGGTCCCAAATCCAGAAACCGTCCGAGCAGGTCCAGAGCACGCAGCCGGTGCACCTGACTCAGGAGGACCTGAAAGAGAGCAGAGGTCAAAGGTGGATGCTGCCGCCTCTGAACTGAGAGGAAGTCTAAGATTAAAGTAGCAGGAGGAGGAAGAACAAGAGCAGAAATGTCGTAGAGGTGCAGTAAAACAGGTGGCTCTCCCACCAGTACTGCTAACACACTGGCACCAGATTTCATGAGTGGGCGGCAGGGTGCGTCCTCTTGGCTGCCATGTTATTTGAGATCTTACTGCGATACTGGTACGGGTAAATACCTGATTGGGCTTTTTTTACCCTGCAGAGAAATTTTGGCAGCCACTTAAGCCCCAAAGGAAAATCCCCTACCCTTTTGAATGATGTAATTGGCATTCTTTTGTTGTTAATTGGGGTTTCATTTGAATTGTTTTTTGTTTTGTTTGTTTTTTACCAAAGAGACAAAAATAACAGGAACATGCACAGATTTCTGTCCAATGAACTCATTGCCGCTGTTGTATGCTGCGATCATGCTTACTGCCGCGTGCAGTCAGCCCCACAGGCCGATTCTGAGCCAAGAAAAACCCAAAGCAGCAGAGATGCCAAACGGGATCACGATGTAACGGTTTTGGCCAAGTAGAAGTATTTTAAGGACGCAAATGTTAAGCGCTCAAATTGTATGCGTGTATGTTTGGTTGGACTAACATTATGTGCAGTGTGCCACAAAGCCTGTGTGAAGGCTGGACACTGGTCCATCCCCATGTGACCACCCTGCAGTGTGTGTGGGAGCAAGCATATGGAGGAACCCAGGAATACACACACACACATACATTAAGAAATTTCCAGGGAATCATAATGTATTAATGACTTCCTCCGTGCCTTCGACCCGCAGGGTGTGACCACAGAAACAGATCCGGGAAAGACCGGACCAGGGATGCCTTCAACTCTGAGGAAGTGTGTGGGAACAAGGAAGTGTGTGACGCAGGCGCGTGCTCTGCAGGAAGGAAAAAAGCCACCTGGCAAAAATACTAAAGAAATCCTCCTGATCTCGGTTTAAAGGAAAAAAAAAATCTCATTCCTCATCCAGTCCCCACCCCTTTCCCAATTCTCTATATATTTTTAGATGCATAGTCAGTGTAAAAATGGTCATAGCATGGTGACATCACCCACTAATTAGTGAAGTCTCATAATGAAGCCAGGAACTGAGCAATTTCCCCACCGCCATCTCTTTGGACCCGGACGCGACGAATGAGCAGTTGCTCTGACAGTGAAGTCACGGACACAACACACCCTTGACTATCCTTCCTTAATGACTGTAACAATAACCATAATTCAAAAACGAACTTAATCTTTTCTTCAATGTAACCTAAAACTACTGATTGAGCCCAATAAAGTCATCAGGGCAGTTTCCACAGAGGGCAGAGAGAAAAGAATCCAAGGGCCGTTTTCTGTACGGTGCTAGACAACTGCAAGTCTTTGCACACCCAGGAGTCGCCCCTGCCAGCAGGTTTAAGACACTCAGAAGCTACAGCCATCTTTAACATTGTTTACAATTAGGCCATGCTTTTGAGGTGCTCAACTTTGGAACAGCCTTCCTTAATGCATCAGTTTGGCCAAATCATTAGTACTTTTTATAGGTCTATGGATGGAAGTTTGTTATTGATTATTGCAATTAATTTACCGATCTAGTATTTAGATTTGATATCTGTCCAATTAGGACTTGAAGAGCTGGATCAGGTTTAGAGATGGCACGATACCACTTTTTTATGTCCGATACCGATACCATAAATTTGGATATCTGCCGATACCGATATGAATCCGATATGAATCCGATATAGTGTTTTTTAATCAACAAAACTGTTTTTTAAAATATCTTGCTGCATTTTGCAAGTCTGCAAGTTCATACTCAAGTTTAAAACAACAACTACACTAAAGCTATTCTGTTATACCTGTATACAAAAAAAATATTTCATAGTTCAGCAATACTGATCAATCTAATAAACTTAAACCTGCACCATCCTCCCTATTCTGGTATTTTAAAGAGTACTTAGCATAAATATTAAGAAACCTAACTAATAGGGTTCCAACTCCAAGCAACAACAAAAATAAATAAATAAAAAATAGGGAACCACCCCTCACGCTCCACCTCATGATGCTTAATCGACGTAATCAACCTTAATTTGATGAAGTGTGAAAAAAATGCACAGAAATCAATTATTTTTCAAGAAATATTAAATAGATTCAACATCTTTCTTCAACAAAATTGCAGACTGCACAGATGGTACCTTCCCAAAGGAAAAAGTACTATAGCTTACTAGGGTATATATATTAGACGTAATAGTTACTATATACAGTAATTGACTTCTATTCATTTTACATCAAATTAAAACTTTGGGTGTCAAATAATTATTTATTAAAAGCTCGACATTTTAAATGAGAATAAGAAAGAAAAGTATGTCTTTGTGCCCCCTTTTCCCTGTTCATGCCCTATCGGCCCCCCTGGCTAAACTTTGCTAGATCCGCCCCTGCACAGTTACCAGCGTCAGCTACGTAGAAAAAGATCCTGGTGTAGAAAGTAATATTAAATAAATTCTAACAACAGCTTATCAAGCTTAAACGTGCTGCTGTTGTTCAGCCGCTGGTTTCCTCTTTCTGGTGCAAAGTGGGCCAAAAACAAACAAGAGAGACGGACTCGCGACAGAAAAGCCGATCAGCTGATCATTAAGCAGTTTCACGATTGAAGTAGCAGCAGGAGAGCGAGAGGCAGTCGCTTGTTAAGCTTAACGCAGGAATGCTTTACATTCAGAGATGGACTTACACACTTGCTTTACTTCTCTCGGGGATAACTTTGTCGGAGATGAAATGCCGGGTTGCTAGCGAAGCTCCAAATGCTATCCAGACCACTGACAGGTCCCGCATGCCACAGCCGCTCTATCACGTGATGCATACTGCTCCGACGTGCTAACGTTCTGAGGTGAGTTACGGCGTGTTGCAAGTTTTGTGAGGTGCTTTCGTGATATTTAATGGATCGGATTAAATTTTTTATTTTTCTCTGATATCCGATCCAGTAATTTAGGTCAGTATCAGACCGATACCGATACGTAATATCGGATCGGTCCATCTCTAATCAGGTTACAATGGAACAATTCAGTTTAGCTTGCTTCGTCAGGACTCCAGTTGCTAAGAGGATAGCTAACATAGTATGCAGGAAGCTAACAGCAAGGGTTCAATAGTTAGGAGGTACTTTCCACCTGAAATACTTTCAGCCATGAGGTTTTCCCCCTTTGTTCTCACTCTGGTTATGTTCAGTGTAAAAGTTGGTGGAAACTCTTTGTCACACTTAAAATAACATTATGTTGAGGTCAACTCAGTCAAATTAACATTATGTTGTTTTAGCTCCACTCAGTGTGTGAGGGGTTGCACTCACAGCGAGACCAACAGTAGGGAAAGGAGAAACAAGCGTAACTAGAAACAGCAGCAGCAAACAATCAAGTACGTTCAGATCATTTATCTGATAGCTGATGTTACGTTACGGAAAAACAAGGTGGTCCGAATCTCTTCCTCACTGTGAGGGCGTTGTATCGGAAGTGAAAAAAGTTGGAAAGGAATTTATAGAGTGCTACACAAATAAAATTGTTATTATGATTCCACACAGCCCTAATCATAAGCTCATTTTATGCAAATAAATATCTGAGCAATTCTCTAAACATGCACACACATTAAAGTGCGTGTGCATGTTTACTGGAGCGGCTCATGTGTGCAACAACATGCTTCCCATCCCCTTCGGTGCAGTGAGTAAGCGCTTCCTCTCATGACGCTGTATGTATGAACGTCGACGCACGTTGCGTCACGTTATGATGCACCTGCAGGTATGAATCACTTGGGTGATACATAGAGAAGAAGATTAAAAAAAATAACACGTGTTTGAGTGTGTTGTTGTTACTATAGCGTCACAACTTGGAAACTCCAATAATCCGTCCAGGATGAAGGACTGCTTCCTGGGCTCTGTTGTTCTCCCTTTGCTCATTTCATTAAAGAGCGTTATTGATGGTTTCCTGCCCGTTGCTCATCTTTTTTGTCACTCTTTGCACTTTTCAAATTGAGTCAGATTATATTTTGGCCTTTGACTGTAAATCCTGTAAGAATTCACCCGACTCTTTAGCTTCATTCTTATGCAACTGCATACTTAAATAGGTAGAAAACCTGTTTATGTGCCCATCAATTACATCACGGAGCAGGAAGTAGCCCTCACACTAAATGACATTACCCTTATGGTGTACAGCTGCAATATGTTGTGTAATCTCAAAGGCTGCTGCTCCTTTCCTCTTATATCCACATCAACAACACACACACACGCTGTACCCGGTGCTCGCCGATCAGTCTGCCTTTTCCTCAGCTTTTAACGGCTCCCGACAGAACTGCTGTATGGACGTGCTGCTGCTGGGAGCGCGCTGAGTCAGCAGAAAATTACCATTCAACACGGACAGCTACTATGCTGTGATATAGCACTACTATGTACTGTGATATAATACAACTGTACAACCCCGCGGGGTGATGGTGGTGGTGGAGGTGGGAAGAGGAAAATGAAGCATATGACCGCAGTTACTCAGCAGCTGATGCACTCTACGAGGACGTGCCCAGATTTCACTCTTGGACCTTTCACTCTCTCCAGAGTGTGGTGGTTTACACGTTCGCCTAACGAGATCCCGGGTTTGATCCTGGGAGGAGACACTGATGCCTCGTTGGATTGTGCCAATCAAAAACTCGGCGCTACCCGCTGTAGCGACCCCTCGTGAAATAAGAGAGGAGCTGCAAGCCGCTTCTACAAAGTTCAGCGCTACAGAAAACACAACATTCATGTCGCAGGTTTTCTTGCAGGCTTGTAAAAAAATAATAATTGGTCTGAAAATAATGAGCTCAATTTGCACGAGGGACGACCTGAAGGTAGGAGTATGTTGTGTAATAAATTAAAAGAGACCTGTTAGCACTGTGACATTTGCAAAACAAAGACTCATACTGATACAGAATTATTATTGCATGTTGAAAGTATAATTGCATTTCATTTCATTTTCTTGTCTTTTTCAAGCATTTTTATCTTCATCTTTTACTTTAGTGTCTCTCTTTTGGTTTGCGATCTCCGTTCCACGTTTTGCATATGAAAGCTGGATTTTTATATCCTTTCCTATAGTTTTCTCGTTATATTTGACTGGTTTATCTGCAATGGCGAGGTGGAGAAAATTAGCGTCTTGCTTTTATGAATTATTATCTACATTTAAATGGAAATGTAGGCACAGAAAGCAGCGCCTCCTTAGCTCGCTTAGTTATTTCAGTGGCCCGAGTTCAGTTCTGTCCCCGGCCATTTGTTAGACATTTTACCCCACCCCCCGTTTGTCCTCAGCAGTTCCAGTCTCATAAAGCTGTGGGTGTGTGTCGAGGTGTGTGTGTGTGCGTCTGTACCTGCAGTACAATTGGGAGCTGCTCAGGTGGGTTTCTGTTCTCTACGCCCATCGTCAACCACACCTGAAACGCTGTCAGCTGCTCTGCGAAGAAAGGACTGTGCTGTGGACACAAGAAGCAATGAAATATTTATCACCATTTCAAATCATTTATTCTGCTTCAGCTTTCTCTCTCTTTCAAATGGACACACACACACACACACACACGCTCATAATGAGGTAGTCCTGCAGTTACAAGCCCATCATTTCATAAAAACATGAACATAAGCTCAGGAGTGACACCGCACTGCAGTAACAACATAAATCCTGATCTGTCATGATCACCTTCCCCTCTCCTCTCTCTGCTGTCATGGCACATTGTCTGATTGATTGGCTGCTGGCCGCAGAGTTTTCGATCACGCAGAGTGTTTGAATTGCGACAGCCTCGTGTAGACCGCTGATGGATGTTGGGAGGGGAAAATATCAGCGCTTCGCTGTTGGATGGTTACATTAATTTGAGCATAATCAAAGCTTAATAACCCTACACACTCAGATACTGACACAATTGTGAAAAGTAGCGCTGCTTACTTAAAGATGACACCTGTGATGTAACTAAAGTAACTACTTTTTTTCATTTGTTACTGTTGAGACTTTTGACAGACACAGCCATACAGTACTGTGTGTAACAAATGTGTGATACTGTATACCAATGAGCGAACGTGGGTGAAGCTGTCAAAATTAATTAAAAATTAACGTCACAGGCATGTAGTTAAATAACTAGCTGGGTTGTTGCAAGACAAGAAATACAACAAAATGCTGGCTCATCAAATCCCAATAAATTCATACACAACATCATTTTGTCCTGAATTTGGTCTCTGCTTCCTGCTTTGGACCAACATCTTTACACTGACATAAACTTATTACATTTTTAAAAACTGAACACTGATTTTAAATGTGTTGCCTTGATAAAGTAGTTACTGTGATGAATGACACAATTTTCCTTTTTTAGCTGCAAATTACATAAAAGATATTTTAGAAAGATTTATAAAATGCCATGAAATATCAAAAATACATAAAGAAATAAAGTTATTACATAAAGTAACAAAGATGTGGGGCACGAGTGGCATTTTTGGTTCCATATGAAATAAAATATGACTGTTGGGGTGTTTTACAGGTGCTAGAGAGGAGTTAATTAACATGAGCAGAGACTCAATCTACCATAAATAACATTCTCCTTTTTTTTTTCTTTACTCAGCTGTGACAAAGCCCAACAAAGAGAGCTAAAGGAGTCAAAGCACATCAGAGAGGAATTAAAGGCTCCTGAAAGACGGAGCAGGCAGATCTGCTTTAGGAGTCCTCAGAGGCTCAATTATAGTGTTGGTAAGTGTTTTTAGCCCAAGTGCAAGAGAAAGTAGGAGGAGGAGTGAGTGTGGAAAACTGCTCCTGGGGGAGCGATGCTCACCTCCCAGGGCCAGGTGGAGAGAAGGTGGAGTTCCCATATAAGAGCCCTAACATGGGAAAAGCTGCTGTGTGTTCTCCATCGTTGTTGCAGAGTCTAGTAACCGTTGGTCGGCTCATTCTTGTTCCCACAGCATTATAAGCAATGATGCTGCAGGATTTTTTACTTTTATGTAAAAGACTGTTATTAATTATAACAATACTAAAAACAGTGTCCTTTCCAGAAGCTCCAGCTGCTAACTTACTGGACGAGCTCCTTAATTTGCAACTATCAGGCAAAGCTGTAATGTCTCGGATCTATAACAAACTGTGCAGTGTAACCCCAGCCCGCGGTGTGGGCCTCAAGTCCACATGAGAGAAGGAGTTGGGTATATCTATGTCAGATGACGTCTGGGACCTTTCTCTGGTAAACTCTACATCACTCTGCGCCCGTCATTCCCTGTTACAATTCAAAGTAGTCCACAGGGCCCGCTTATCTAAATCCAAACTAGCTAAGCTTGATCCCACTTTAGACCCTCGCTGTAACAGGTGCGGGTCTGATGATGCCAATCTAACCCACATGTTTTGGACCCGCCCTGCCCTGGCAAATTTTTGGGAGGTGGTTTCCTGCACTTTGAACAAGGCTACTGGCCTGAAACTAGCTGTCAACCCCTACTTGCTCTCTTTGGTACAGCGGGAGAGGATGATAAGTACATTCACGGAGCAAAGCGCAGGGTGCTGTCCTTTGGTTCCCTCTTGGCTAGAAGTGCCATTTTGATGAGGTGGAAAGCTGCTGCCCCGCCCTACTATGGTCGGTGGCTTGCTGATCTCATGTCGTGTCTCAGTCTGGAAAAGATCCACTGCTCCATCCAGAACCAAAAGGGCACATTTGATAAAATTTGGGGTCTCTTTCTGGAAAACTAAACTTCAACTCAATGGATGTTCCAGCTGACTAATGGATCTTCTCCTAAACCCAACCAAGTAGTTTTGTCACATGAGCCTAACAAAGACATTTTGTTGCCAGAACCTAATCAAATCGCTTTGTTGTTTAAACCGAAGTAATTTTGTTTCATAGTCCTGACAAATTCAGTTGTTTAAACCTTCTAAAACACGTTTGTTCCTTTAACCTAACCAAGTAGCTCTGCTGCCAAAACCCAATAAAAGACTTTAGTTGCTTAAACCAATCAAAGCTACAAGATCACAACAATGAAACTGGCCACCTGCAAAGGCCCTGAAAAACATCACTTATGATGTTGTAGGGAAAATACACCAAGACAGTGTTACAGATACGCTGTTGACTCACACAGATACAAAAAACAAAACAAAAAAAGTGTTACGATGACCCATATTTGTTAAGTCATCATCAGCTCAATCAGCTTTTTTGAAGAGCGCTTCCATTACACTCAGCATCTCCATCACGGCCCCCTGCCTCGTCAGTAAATATAACGATAAACAGTCGAGCGGCTGAAAGTGCAGGGCCAGTGCTTTCTGAAACTATTTTTTTATTTGACGCTCATACTTGAGTTATTAGACTTGACATTTTACAATGTAATCCGCCGGGGATGAGTGTGTGCGAGTGTGCTTGAGAGATTAATAGAGATGCTGTATATGCGGGTGGTGGCGAACTTGCAGTGCAAACAAGAATAGTTTGTTGTTTACAGGTGTCAGTGCTGGACACATTCAAGATGAAAGACATCCATCAATGCTAGAGGTCCCCTAGCCTCCAAGCTTCATGCATTTAATGCCAAAAAACATAACAACATGATGCATCAGAGGCATCAGTGGCTCTGTGCTTATTTGTCTCTCTCACACACACACACACACACACTTACTCTGAAGGCGGTGCCCTCCTCGATGATGGTGGGCAGCTGAGAGAGGCATATGTCCACGGCCAGGTCCCACGCTTGCCTGTAGAGAGGAAACACACACACACACCGCATGTAAGTGACATCATATGTCATGAGGAAGATCCTTAAATAAAACTTATTTTCAGGACTTTCCAGGAAGAATAACAAAAAATAAATAAATGAATAAATAAAAAAAAAAACTGCCAATCACATTTGGTAGTGTGGGATGGCCAAAGGAAGATCGCATTAAACTGTGGCACCGTTTGCTACCTTTACGAGTTAGAAGCTGCATATATCAAACAGCTAAGACTCAAAATTCTTTCCATACCAGGCATGAACTGAGACCCTGAATCCAAGAATTTAGATCCAGTGATATTTTCTAAAGAACAATGTGTGCTAGCGATGTATTACAGGGTAAGGACTCTGTGACACTTCACCTTATATCCTATATACCAGAACTCCATATGAGTCCAGGCCAACTGTCGTAATACCTTCATACGATGTTGTCCACAGTGACCCTGGTAACAAACAGACTAATTTTATCCATATAATTTCCAGAGTCTTGGAAAATAATTTGTATGTATCCTTCACCTTAATGCAGGAGCAACAGTAAATTTGGTGCGGTGGTATTTTTGTGGTGGTTCTCCAGTCTTGGTGACTGTACGCTACACATGTTTTAAACCATAAGCAACATGGCTCATTTCACACAGCTCATTATTATTGGGCTTCAGGACACTGTGTAAACTGGAAACGCCCCCAAAAACAAACCATGGATGTTCAGAGTGGCGGCCAATTTCCAAAAATTTCCAAAATAGTTCTTTACATAACAGAAATAGTCTCGATGTCGATTCTCTGGCCTTTAATTTATTCCATTTTTAACCAAAATACATGTAAATATTAGGGGTGCAACGATACACAAAATTCACGGTTCGGTTCGGTTCGATACTTTGGTGTCACGGTTCGATATTTTTTCGATACAAAAAAAATGTTCATGCCTTTTTAATTTGTCATTTATTACAATTATAAATATATATTTTAACTCAAAAGTACAGTTTTTAAATTTAACCCTAACCCTTGTGCGTGTTTTTTATTTTGACAGCGAATGCGCACCTGCGGACCACTTATGTGCAGCCCTGGTTATTTAGCTCGTCATATTGCAGCCACAGAAATTATTTTGTCCATGAAACCATAAAGCTGCACTTTCTTTTTGCCTTATAGTCTGATTTGTCATAACTTCTCCGTTTTGTGGTAAGCTTTTCTTTGGCTGTCACTTCTTCACCCTGACCTGTCTTATTTGGCTCAGCAGAACTAAAATATATATCCTGCTGCTTTTACACACGCACTCACATAAGCTCAGCGATTCTCTGCGAGATCAACCTCTCACATGTTTAAGCTGCGGGAGATTTCACTTGTCATGTTTGCATAGTAAGCTAAAGATTAATAAGATGATGTCAGAGGAATTGGTGCACAAATTATCATCACTCACAGATCAGTGCTGTCGCTCTCTATACACAGTTCGCGGGATTGCAAAGTGAAAGCAAAAAAACAAGCGCAAATTCAAACGCGATTTCAATATGTCACATATTGTCAGTGGCTCACCGATGCCAATGACATAATAACCCAGCTACATTTCCGAAAGAATGCAAAAGCATTGACATATATTTTTCCTACAATAGCCCGACGGGCAGGGCAGAGATAGATTTTGGTAGCCCGACTGGAAAAATCGCTAGCTCCAGGACGTCGGGCTAGCGATATTGCGAGCCCTGTATCTGATTGAGGAATCACTCATCTTTGGAAAAGAGAGTTTATTACAGAGAAATGTCTCTTTCCAAAATAAAAGTTATACTATCCACTTCTTCTGGGCTATATTCTCAGCAGCATAAGGAGAATCATGTGCTAACGGCTGTCTAAATGACTCGGCTAAAGTTAGTAGCATGCTTGCTTTTTTTTGTCTGCTTCCACTTGTCTTTGCACTAGGATGATGTCGGCGTAAATGTGCAGTCATATTCGTTGTGTTCCCACTAGTGCTTTCAGGTTAATCTCGTTGAAATGACCTTAACGCCACAACACGGCAAATCTCCGTTAACGAGCTACCGTCGATCGCCCCGTGCATGGGGCTAGACGGCCAACACGTTAACGAGCTAACTGCGCTAACACACTAGTTCACACCCATGTAATTGAGCATTGCGTGGCACATCCAACATACTGTTTTGCTTTAGTCCATGACTCGCTTACCTTCAGGGTCATACATCACATGAAAACCAAAATAATTCCAAACGCCAGATCTGAATGAGAGTGGGGGAGGTGCCCTGCGCTCTTCCTTCTGACTATGCTGTCTGTGTTGAGCACTCAGTGAATCTGCGTTAGACTACTCCGCCTAGGCTGCACTGTCGAGCCTAGGCGGAGTAGTCGAACGCAGATTCACTGAGCGCTCAACACAGACAGCATCGTCAGAAGGAAAGTTGATAAAATAAATTACAAATTTTGTATTGTTCGATACATATGCGTACTGAACCGAAAGCACTGTATGAACGGTTCAATATCGATACGAATATCGTTGCACCCCTAGTAAATATTACATTTTATTGCTAAAGACTTGGCAGGGATTTCACTATTTACTGTTTTTTAACCTCTTGGTATTCTCCAGATTAACCTGAGTCTTGTCCAGGGTTGGAGGTAAGCTTAGGGTTGGGTTTTGTTTTAGCACCATCCTCAAAAGGTAAACTCTCAGATCTACTGATTCTCATGTAGCCCCAAGCAGAATCAACAAAAGCAGGTCATAAACCAGACCTGGGCCATTTTTTCCATCCTGCCACTAACACTCATTTTGCTCAGCTCACGTTTTCTCCCTCGCACTCCTCATCATGCACACGGGCTTCTTTAAATTCGCAGCCTGAGGTCCTGAGGAAGGCAGTGAGGAGCCTTTAATCCCGTTGGAAACACAAGCTCTCCTCTCATGGCCATCATTTCTAATTCATGGGGTTATGCAACTCACATTAAACCTTATCACAGCTTCTCTTTTCTCTCTTTCTGCCCGTCTCTCTTCTCCCTTCACTTTCCAGCTCCTTATTGCAGACAATTGAACTCTGGGCCTCGATGGGGCTTTTTCCCCTCAGTTAACAGGAGGCGGGGGTTGAGTCATGTTCCCAGTCGATACGCAGCAACGTAATGTGATGCTGAACCACTGATGCTGAGTTCACTCTGTCTGAGACTCCTGCTTTAATGGCCTTTCCCATTATCTCAATGTGATATAATAGAGTTGCACTCTTGGTCAACAGCACATTGTTAAAGACATAATGGACCCACTGATGAATGTGTAACATGCAAACATGCAATACAGCATGTAGAAAGCATTTGTGGCTATTCCAGCTTCTGTCAGCTGCTGCAAAAACAGAAGCGTATATCTATTCAGGAGCCGGTGTAGTCGCCTTCCAGTGAAAATATTACCCGTGCAAACACACACTACTGCTCTATTAAGAACAGATGCTGCTCGTTTTACAGTGTTGGTGCCATATGAGGCCTAATTTTTGACGTACTAGCCCTGATTATATTCATGCACTGTTTCAACTAAGACTTCTGTTTACATGAATATCTTACATTGCAGTTAGCAAACAAATGATTCCTCTAGATGCACAAGTCAGAGTGCTGTATTGTGTTATTTTGTTTTTATCCAACTCATTTTTAAAGACAAACGTGGAACAACACCTTGCTAACCAACCCAATCGGGTTTAATCCTCGTGCTTATTTAGACGCTACGCTGAAGTTGCTACAGTAGCTTTAGACTAGCTGGGCAACTTATTTCTAGAAGTGTGATGAGGCTGGCTTAAAAAGTGAGCCAGCCTCCATAGACACACATATGAAGTTGTCGAAGTTTAAAGCAATAAAACATTATGCACTCCACACTGTATATAAATGCCACTTGTTTTGCACATATTCAACTCTGTATATTTTATATATTTTATTATTATTATTATTATTTTTTTTTACTATTTAATTTGTAAAAATGTGTATACACACACACACACACACACACACACACACACACAAGAAAATATTTAGTATACACATCCAGAAATGCATACACTATTATATATTGTACATATATTTATTAGTTTCAGGTTGGCCATTCTTGTATTTTGCTCATTTGTGTTGTTGTGTTTGCACATCTCTGTTGCTTGTGGGGCTCGCACACAAGAATTTCACTCGCATGTGCTGTGCCAGTGTGCCTGCACATGTGATGTGACAATAAAAGTGATTTGATTTTGATTTGATAAAAAGCCTTTTTATAGTCTGATACAAAGAAAGGGTTTGGTCTCAGTGGGCAGCTTATCCCCTTTTTTAATAACTCATATCCAGCCTTGACTGACAGTCGTCCTGACATAAGGAGTCGACCGGTGTCGGCTGGGCCTCATCGTCGCTCATCACTGAATTAGACCTCTGCTCTGTTTTGTGCTGCTGATGCTTTTTGGAGCATTTTTAATTGAATTACTTCTACTGACCACCCAAGCAGGTTGTGCAGACTAACATGTAATATGAAGTCATGTGAAGGGAGGGACAAAAACCACACTGGAGATGTGATATCACAGGCACAGGCCAGTGCAACAACAGAGGAGGGAATGAGCTTACTTTAGTTAGCCATAAAGTGAGTAGATGGTGTGCAGCTACTGAAGAAAGAAGATTCAACAAACTAGAAAGTGAGTCAGTGACCTTCATTATACCCGAGTTGGACTGTTTGCAGTATTATAGTATGTGTATCCTTAACACTTTCAATTTCATGCTTATCATCAACACTGGCACTCCTATGACTCCATCTAGATTCAGTGCAAACTGCAATTTTTTCAGGGTCACATCATACTGTGACTGCACTGCTGCTAAGAAGTTCCCCACTTAGTGGAAACCGCTTCTTTCTCCACTGTAACTTAAAACTATATATTACTTGTAGTGCTGTTACTTAATGTAATGATCCGTTTGCCATACAGCAACTTTAAAACTCGTTTTAAAATGCTTCTTTAAATGTGATCATATTTGCTTCTAAAGGCCTCTAAAAGACAGGCGTTATCATTCTGTTCCCTGTTGGCTAGGAGGGCAATCCTACGGAGGTGGCGGGATGCTGCCCCTCCCAACAGTGGTTATATGACCTCATGTCATGTCTAAAACTGGGAAAAAAAAAAAAAAAAAAAAATCAGACATTTACTCCAGAACTCTACTGGGAAAAATCAAAGCATGTGGGGTCCTTTCCTTCATGCATTTCAAAATCTATAAGAATTTTTCAGCAAACTCTCTTATGTCAGGTGTGGAAATACAGTGTACAGGGCAGTGACCTGGGTGGGATTATTTTGCAGGGATTAAGTTATGTTTCTCTCTTTTCTTCTTCTTTTATTTCACAGCCTTAAATGTACGGGCTGATTACCCCGAATGTACAGACCATCTGTAATCCCTTTCTTCTCTTTTTGTCCATATGTATAAAAAAAAAACTCTTAATAAAAAGACATTGTTTAAAAAAATGTGGCCATGTGTGACTGCTACTGATGTTGTTATACGAGCTGCTTTCCTTAGTTTCGGAGAACAATTATTGTTGGTTTTAGATACAGTTTGTTTCTTGATATGGTACAAAAAGTAAAACTTCTACAAGTACAGGAGGGAAGACGCTGCTGGAGCATCCTTCAGAGTTATGGTAATCATTAATAGATCCATTGGCGCTGACAGAGCTGCGAGAGCCTTATTTTTGGACATATGATGTTAATATTATAAAAAAAATCGCTCTGAATTAAACGTGTTTTCTCGGTTTCATAACGTCAAGTACTGGGATTACAATCTGTGTGCACACATTGCCAACAAATCTCCATCCCTGCTGGTGTTTATGTAACCCAATGGTGTGGAAACCAGCAGATAGAGCAGTGCTATCAGCGAGGACACACTCACGGGGAGGAGGCTGCTGCACTGTTTAGGATGACAGCATTAACTTGGATGATGTCTGCGAATCCGAATGAGTAACTCATCACACCAAAGCCCGTCTGTGTGCGATGAGGGGACAGAGCAGGGGACCAGTTGGCGCTGACTAAGCTCTTTTTGTGTGTGCGAGTGCGTTGCCTGCAGAGAGTGGTGCAGCAACGCGCAAACAGGAGCGCAGATATAAAGCAGACACACACCCACGCACACTCCCACACTAAAACTGCCCACGAGGGAGCAATCAACCTGGGGTTTATCTGCTCTCTCCCATCTCCTCCATCTGAATAACAATTGCTGTTGGTGTTCAGGCACCAACATCGATCAACGAGCACCCAAACTGCTTAATTCCTTCTCTATGTTTCCCTTCCTTTCCCATCTATGTTCATCCAAACTTTTATTTTTCCACCAGCCTTATATCTCCAGCACGTCCCTTTTTCATTGTCCATTCGGTTTAGTTTTCTGCACTCTTAAAGCGCCTCTCTGCTGTTAATCTGTCGTGCTTAATACTGCATGTGCTGCTGTGAAACAAAGTGATACTCTTCATTTCTTTGGCGGTAAACTGTAATGTACCCACAATCTAAAAAAAAAAGTGGGTAGGCATGAGAATGAAAGGCTACTGCTTCAGTAAAGAGCAGTATTCTTTACAATAAGTGATGCCAGGCTGTTACACAACAAGTCACTCCTCGAGGCAATGAGAGTGAGAGATTTTTTTCCCAAACACAAGCCAGATAATGAGTGGGAGAGATGGAGGGAGGCATTTATAGAAGACCAAGAGGAGAAACAATAGATAGTGGGAGAAGTGTTGGTGTAAGTAAAGCAAGATAGACGATGGGATAATGTTCCTAGCAATGCCTAAAAGACTTTAAAAGCTCGTCTCTGTGTTTACAAGTGTAGTTACGAGAACACATGACTAATAAATCAGTAAAATGATGCAGAAACTTGTCAGTCCCAAACTGTGTGAGTATAAGTAAAACCTTTAAACTCTTATTTTGTGTTATTAAATAATTCAAAAAGGTTTTTTGTTTTTCCCCCGGTTTATTTTTGTGGTGTGGCTGCTTTTAAACTAAATCTGCCATGGCTGACACAGATAAAGACGTCCCACAAAGTCTTTTAACATCCCCCAGAGGACAAGTGCTTTTTCGTTGCTTTCAGTCAAAAGGTGGACGCATTTGGCTGCAGGTTAATGTGAGTGGGTGGGAAAAGAAACGGCAGCACTTTTACTCTAAATCCAACCTGTCTCATCTCTGCACTGCATTTATGTTGACTACAAAATAGATCTGAGGCACAGAAGGGTTTCAGCAGTGACGCTCCTACCAAGTAAAATGACAGAGATGAGAAATGACCATGCAGAGTCATCTGTTCTTTGTTTTAAATGACGCTCGTCCGCACAGTCACCACATCAGGCTACAGCAACAAGGTTCTGTAGTGCGCAGACAAAGTGAGCATGAGAAGAGCAAACACTCTTCTCATGCCACGAAACAAAAGAGGAAAATAACTGCAGTTCCTCAAATGACCACTTGAGGCCGACACTCAGTTTTACAGCAGATACATGCTAACATGCTTACAGCATGTTACAAACAACAGTTCTGGCCTCCATGTGTAAACAACCCAGTCAGGACAAACACACAGGTGGCCAATTGCCCGTTTTGATTTAATTCCTCACAATTTTAATTCATAATAAAGGCCAGGCCTGCTGTTAAAGAAGGGAATGTTCAGCACTTGGGTGGACTAAAAGACACCCAAACAGGTTTTGTTTGGATTGCAGATGCAACGTGCATCTTGTGATAGCTGATAACTCCCTCAGCTTCACCCATCGACCCAGTTTAAAAACTGAGGCTTAAGTTTTAAGCGTTTAGACATAAGTTTTAGTGTTCGACCGTCCTGATGCAAAGATAAAGAATTTTCTATTTAAAAACACACACATTTGCCGAGGAGAAGAAAAGAGGAAGGCTACAGAGAACATTCATGGATGTAGTGAAGGAGGACAGATGGTGTGACAGAAGAACATGGTCGGGAATAAGGATGAGATGGAGGCAGGCAGGCCGCTGTGCGACCCCCTCGCGTGAGCAGCAAAAAGACTTCATATGCAAAGGTGTATTTGTGAATCATAAAGATATACATAGAGTATACAAGTACTTTTCCATATCAGAACACACTTTCCTGCTTTGTTACTGGTATTACAGGTATACTGTGAAAATTACCAGTCAATCAACATAAACACAGACTTTGCCCCGCCCCTGGTGAAGGCAGCTGTGTGCCTCTGCCATGTGGGAGAGAGCAGCACATGGAGCCAAACTGGAAACTGTCAACATGCAAAGATAAATGAGAAACAAGATTCGTGGAAACTAAACTTAGTATAAATGAAGAGCGTGCATATGCTCCAGAGAAGCAGCAAATAAAGACACCTACGTGTTTTGGCTTACACTTCAACATTATATTTAGAGGTTGTGAGAGTAAATAAGGCACTTTTAATATGTTGTAGTAACTGTAGTTACACAGATGGGTCTACATTTTTACGCAGACCCTGACGCACCCTGTCCTGTTTTTGCTTATAGACTAGAGTGACAGCAACGCTCTTGGTCACACTGCTGCACATACAGATGCTCAGCTACTGTGCACCTTCTCCTGCTTCTGTTTTCAGACAGAGCACAGAGCTGTTTCTGCGACACGGGTAAAACAGGCTGCAGTGCATCCGGTAGTAAAACAAACACTGTCATGCGTGAGCACGATCAGCTCTGGTGTCACGCTCTCAGGTCGCTTCTTCTGACTGGATTACTCTTGAAAACATCTACTGAATGCACAAAGATGAAGTTGAATGAGAGCTCCATAAACTCTCTACAAGTGCAGTTAAACTCCCAGAAATATCTCACTGCATTCAAAGTGTTTATCCTAATTGCTTTGGTAAAATGAGGAATTGCAAAACCAAACTAAATGGTCAGAAAGACTCAAAGTAATTCCTGATGGAAAACAGTTTCAGACATTTAACATTTAACAATCAAACCCATAACTTTAGAACAATTGAGCCCTGAGGCAGATTTTTCCTTTTGTGCATAAGATGCCAGACTCATGGCATTTTTTAATATCCCCACACTAACAATCATTAAACAGGCACACATAAAAAAGGCAACACTGTCTGCTCTCTAATCATAACGTGTGTTTGTTAGAAAGTCTGTTCAAACTCCAACTGCAGTGCGCCTGAACAAACAGCAAAGCCTCAAGGATGACTCTCCCTCGTACTCTTGCCTTCTGCTTTGCAAAGCTGTGGACATCTGTGTTACCGGTGTGCGTGAAAGAGAGCCCCAAGCTCCGTTTGTGTGCGTCTTACCACATGGCGTGCATGTATGTAGGGGGCAGGCGGGGGCTGCTGACTGGTGTGCAGTTGTATGACCTCATTATCCTCTCTGCTAACAGAAAATTGCGAAACAAGCTGGCCACCAGCAGGTCCTGACGAAACAACTTCTGGAACAAATCTGCAGAAAGAGAAAGGGAACATCAAATGATTTAAGTGAACACAGAGATAAGTTTGCATGTGGGAGGAAACGGGGGCCTGAAAGACTCGATAAACAAAAAGAAGCTTAACTAGAGCGAGGCGACTACTTTAGAGAAAAATGGGCTACTTTGTTTGTATGCTTAGAGAATATAAAGGGCAGGAAAATGCAGATTTAAGCCGTGTCGCAGTCACGTTTTCGTCAACTCATTAGTGTATTCACCAATTCACTGTAATGGGGCCAGGCCAATCCCATGGCAATCTCTTAGCTTATGATTATGATTACTTCGCTTGTGTGTTGGGGATATTTTACGAGACACTGTCTGACAGCTTCTGTGCCCACTGCTAGTGTTGGGCTGTTTAAACACTGAAGTGTCATTGTGTGTGTGTGTGTGTGTGTGTGTGTGTGTGTGTGTGTGTGTGTGTGTGTGTGTGTGTGTGTGTGTGAGAGAGATATTTGGATTAGGTGTGCAGTGCCTTCATTACAGGGATTCTTTCTGATGCGAGATGCTTCATTAACAGCAGAGCCCCGAGGGTTTAAAAGGCTTCTGCAGCCATCAGCCTTGTCACATTGCTATTCTAGCTGGGATACAGTTTGTCTCATGAGAGTCTGAGCCCTCCTCTGTGTGGATGTGTGTTGCATTCAACAGACAGGTGGCCAATGAGGGAATCTGCGTGCGATGCATGCAAACTGTAACAACATGTAGAAAAAAAGGAAATTGTGTGCGTTTTTATCTGGGGAGGCTGAGCTTGAGGGTAACGGCTAATGGCAGCGCTGTGTGTTGTAAGCAGGAGTTTTGCTACGTGTGTGTGTGTGTGTGTGTGTGTGTGTGTGTGTGTGTGTGTGTGTGTGTGTATACGGGTTTTTATGTCTGCCAAATTATGTTTAAATGATGTCCCCAATTACTCTGCTAGACGCTCCAAACACAATTAATCTCAATTTGAGCAGCCAACCTGCACGTACTGCACTTTTGGCATTTTATAGAAAACAGCTTCACTATTTTCTACCACTGGGGACGTTCTCAAAGTTTTAGCACTGCTGATGCGTCACTACTGCGCAGTTTTTATTAGGTGCCCTAATTTGAGCTCCCTGAGAACTGAAACACATGGGGTCATTTCATTTTTCATCACTGCCCAAACATGTTCAACTAAAGATTGCAGCGCGCCTCATGTTCCTCATGTTCCTGCATGTTTGCTTCTCTAATCATTTTAGAAGAAATTAAACTCTTACCTTCTTTTTCATAATTTATTGTGATATAAATATGTTATAAGGCTTCATTGCCCCTAAATAGAGAAATACAACAATGGTTTGATTTATGTTCATTTTCAAAAATGGATATTGACATTGACGGAAATATGCCAGATTTGATTTAATTGGCTGATTTTCATCTTCTGGCAACTTAAACCATATGCATTAAAATGAAAAGAAAAAAGCACCAGGGCACATACAGCAGCCCGTAAGTGCATAAGTGATGGAACAATGACATAATGTGCAAAACAAACATTAAATAGAAGCAAATAAGCAGAACTTCCAGCCACTCATCCAGATTTATCCATTTCATTTCTGGATTAGAACTGACTTGTATTTTAGCTTAAACTAACTGTTATTGTGGGTTGTTAAGCAAGAGTATCTGTTCAATCTGTTTATTGTATTAGTTCATATATTTTGGTTTTGGTAATCCCTGCTATAAAGTTCTGTGACTGAAAAAAAGAAAAACAAACAAAAACTAAACCAAGGTCAAGGAAGTCACCTTGGACACCACTACAGTCACTTCACTGCTTCTGCTAATTGCTGGAAAATGTCAACGCTTTACCTTTAATTTCTTTTTGGAGAAGAGGATGAAGTCAGAGGGGGCGCAATCTGGTGAGTGGGATGGGCAGTGAGCAAGGACTATGATGACATGGCCAAAAGCAAATTCTGGCTTTTTCATGTGCTCTGTGACGGCACCCTGGCACAAGTACGTTATGGAAATTATGAGTATTTATACCCTCTTAAAGAAAGAGCTGTTCGTGAAATGAGGCTGACCAGATCTGAAGGAGAACGAGTTGCACCAGGCATGGTCATCCGATTTATAGCTTCGAAACTCACACAGAGTACCATAAACCTGCTCCTACACCAGCTCTAAATGTCAGGAAACGCATTGCGTCTCTGCTACAAGCAGCTCGGCTTCCCATGTAGAGCCAAAACATCCAGAATCACCATCAGACAGCAGTCACTGGACTCAAAGTCTCCACTGGGATTAACCCTGGTTTAGGTTTCCCTATTTAATTAGACCTCAGCAGACAGGCGGGTTAACCCCAGAAAAATCCATTACTGTGCACAGTTTAGCTGGTTTGCAGCAGATGCTGTCGCTCAGAAACCTCGGCTCATTTTTGCCGTATCTAGCAAAACACTGGCAACCATCAGTGGCACTCTTCAGCCACACTGACTTCTCAGCCTCTCGCATTCACAAGATTTTCATAAAACCTGACCTGGACTGAAACACTAAGTTTGATGTCCACAGAGAAATCACAGATGTGCACCTCTAAAGCTCGCTGAGGTTTTTTAGCTGATGGTTTATTTTTTAGTGTGCTTTCCAGGCTGTGATATTTTCCCAGTGTCTTTCATTCCCAACATTTGTTTTGGAAGTTGAGATGAGTTTAATTTGGGATGCACTCACTTTCCATCATAAGAAAACTATTTCTAACCCAACTAATGTCTTTCTTAAGATCTTTTAAGGTACATTATTTTGGTGAGAACAGCTTGCTCACGACTGTTAAACAAAACTGTGTGCCTGCGTGTGAGCGCCTCACCTCTGGGCAGAACATTCCAGGCGATCGTGTCGGTGATGGCTGTGAAGATCCAGTTGAGCTCTCCGAGGGGAGTGCGTCTGTCATTGAGCCTGCCAGGGATCCTGCAACACACACAACACAACACAGATGGCTGTGTCAGCCGCGCTCACTGTATGTCACATAGTTTACTCAGAGGACAAAGTGGCAACTGCTCAGTACTATCATCACAACACATCTGAAGAAATTTACATTTGCACTTAGGTGCTTACTCAGAGGCCGAAAAGAAATGGGAGGCAGGATATGTGTGCACTCATACACTTGTGTGCAGAACACATACTGTAACCCTGTGAGCACAAGACCCGAGACACAGAGCGACATCAAAGATACATGCACTGTTTAGCTCAGATCATATGTGAGAGCCACGTGCAAAAGGCTTCAGGTTGCAGTCGTCGCGTAATAAACTCCAAGTGGACTTTTTAATCAAGTTAATCACAAAACAATTTGTGCGTGCATCTGTCATTGTCAACAGTAATTAAGATTTGTGTTCCACTGCAGCAGCTCGGGGCGGCTACATATGTTTGTAGGAATGACCACCTAATCAGATCCCTCAGCTTTTCTGGCATGAGAGCAACCTCAACTCTCTCAAAGTGGAGCGAGCGTGTGGGCAACTGGTGTAACCCCATGTCCCATGAATAAAGTCACCATATCCCTCTAAGAACTGGGTGCTTTGTTATTCTTCTTTCTTTTCCGCACAAAAAAAAGAACAAAGAAGAAATTTGACAACCATCAGAACAGGTTTTTGGTTTTTCCAAGGGTGGCCCTGGTATGCTGTAAAGGCAGATATCGCCCTCACTAACCAATGCTGCACACCCAATCAATTTGACCCCGAAATATGACAGAAACCACTCGGCTGTCTTGATGCATGCTCAATCATCCAGGTAAGTAAATCCCAAAAAGCTTGATTCTGGTCACCTGGATGAGTGACGAAACGTTTCCCCCCAAATAAAAACGTTATGTCAGGTGAACAGAATCAACCTTTTGGGAAACCACTCAGTTCAGAAAACAAAGCAGGAGTTCATCAAATTTTCGATGGTTGGTGGCTAAGAGTAGGAGAGTGGACTGGAAGAGCACCCAGAAGTACTTTCCAATAACAAGGTACTCTTTTCTCCTCTGCAACCTTGGTGATGTTGTGTAAATCCACCAATTATTACTGCAATTTGTAAGCTGACGACTTGCAAAGGATCAGCCGCCAAAATGACCAGCAACACATACCTCTGACATAATCAATACCCGGGCAACTCATCTGACCCGTGACTATTTGTTATCACCACTGGAGAAGATGATAAAAAATATCGACGACTTTATATACCTCTGTTATTAAAACCATTTTAACCTTTTCGTTTTTCATCGTTGGTTTAAATCAAAAAGGCCGGAAGGACATTGTTAACCTTTATCTCTAAAAATCAATCATAGACAGCTGCTTCACTGCTTAGTACTGAATACGTTTACTAAAAGGCTCGTGTCATTATCAGTGGTGCTTCACTAAAATCCTCATCTCACGCTAAAATCAACGTGTAAAACAAACAGCTGAAAGTTCCTGGAAGTCTGGTACAAGAGTGGATTGGAGAGGATTTCAGTCAGTGGTGATGGAGATCTTATCAGACGTAGGAAATACGAACACAGCCTTTGATACACCATGTAATACCATCTGGGAAGTGTCTGATTTGCAATGTATTTTAACACGTGGCCACTGCAGTAAAAGCATACCTGGATATAAGATCACACAGCAGAACACCATCAATAATAGATTTTCCTCTCGAGAGTCTGGACCTCAACATTATTGAAGCAGTGTGGCATCATCTTAACAGAGTGGAACAAAACGCAGCCAACACACAAAGAAAAGCTTTGGTTGCACTTCAAAAAGCTTGGATGAATGTTCCTGAATGTTCCTACTTCTGGGAATTTCTTGGTCATACCAAATACTGACTTTCAAGATTTTTAGAATTGCACAAACTTCCATTCATTTTTGCATGTTTCGCTGACTACTGTACATATTTCACATTTTCCTTGCAAAACAACAATGGGTTGGCTCATGACTTATGCGCCATACAGTAAAAGTGCCAGATTTTAATCAGGTTCATCAATCTAGCACAGATTATCTTCAGACCAAACCTCATGAAAATGACCGAGTGGAGTTTTCTCAGGGCTTAAAATTGCTCACCAGGAAATCCGACTATAATGTAATTTCTATGAATCACATCTCGCTACAGAAATCCAGCATTTGGCTCCTGTCTGACATTATTGCATTATTCACACAGCTGTGCGTTTGCGCCACAGTGACTTGACATGTGTAAACCCATGAACTGTACATCATACTTAAAGACTGTTATTCCATGACCAGCACCGTGGAAATGAGAGCTTGAGAATGTGCTGCTGAAAGAGAACAAGACGCCCCGACAGTAATCGCCGTAGCAAAACCAAGAAAATTACCTTTACAACACCTACCCGTCTGCCTTTTAATGAGCACTATTAAAAGCAATGAGGGAAACTAGGAGAATGGGCAAACATTAGCTGCCTCAGAGGCATTACAGTTAGTGTGAGCCATTTGAGCCCGAATAAAGAAATATATTTTAAATTAATGACAAATGTACAGGAAAGATAAATGCAGGAAAACACTGTTAAGAGCCTGCACGACCTCGATCACTGCAGCAAACAAAGCTGAAAACCTGTTTGAGTATGGATATGATTTAAAACATCAAACGTTCAGATTTGTTCCTATAAAGATTACTCTTTCAACAACACTCAACTGAACTGAAGGGACTGATTGCTTGAACTTTGACATTTTGGAAATGTAATCATTATTATCGTAAACATTCATATAGAATTTGGTCGTAATTATCATATGAATTCTTCAGTTATGCTAAAAATGTGTTAAAAAATAGACGTGCAAACCTTTTGGGGGAAGAAATTGCAATATTTCTGAATTATTATCGGTGATTTTGGTTTGTTAGACCAAAATGGTTAAAAGGTACATGTTGCTTCATATCTAGAAAATCAGGACTGTATTTACCATGGTTAGAAGATGATTAATTGTTTATGATGTTTTCTGCAATAATAAATATAAAGAAAGACAACAAAAACAAATGCAGGCCAACAAGTTCGAGAACAGCTGCTCTCCATCCTTTCTGAGTGAAGTTTTCAAACCAACATGAAAATGAACTTTTCCTGTGTGAGACAACTCTGACGATGAACTTGCTATGAGGACACAAAAACTATGTTATCCTGAGATAATGAGATAATAAACTTGCAAGATCAAAACATAACTGTAAACCAGAAGTGGTTTTGGCTTCTTTAATAATGTATAAAATGAGAGGGAAACAAGTTTTGGTGAATAAATAATGGAGGCTCGGTAATGATTGGCTCAGAAATCGGTTACAGTAATTGCACAACACTGACATCCAGAAGTGCGCTCGCCCAATTTGATCACGTTGTGTCATCACCGACAGTCACTCCCTAACGTTATTGTTTCCAGCCTGATTTTATAATCGTTAGTTGGTGCACTACAGCACTGTCAAGAACCAAGATGTCTCTACACAGAACCATTACCGGTCAAAAAATGACAACATATATAACACACAGCCACCTCAGTGGTAAACACTTGATTCCATTCACTATAAAGCATCAGCAATAAAGTCCCGCAGTAGCATTTTAAGCTATTTAGAATCGCCAACAAAGTACTTTTTAATACACAGAGCGTGTGAACTTTTTCTGACCTAAACCTCCCCTCTCTTCCTCTAAGTGACAGATAATGGAAGCTGTGAAGCTCCTGGCAGGTACAAGCCAACTGTATAACCATGAGGGCCGGCCAGCTCCTGAGCACTTTGAGTGCTTGCCAAAGATGTTTGGCAAGTCAGCAGTAAGGATGAACACTCAGCAGTTCATATCCTTGCTTAGTATCCAATATAATATATTTGGGGACAGAAAAAGACATTGCACTGGTGGACGGATGAACAGATAGATGGATAGCTCACTGAACGGCCTGGAAAAATGCCCTCTGAGGCTTTGAGGCTTGTGTCATCGATCAAAACCTGTCATTTCTTCACATTTTCTGGTGTTTTGCTGTACTACGGTATTTTGTATATCATTTTTATACTGATGCGCTTGTTTTATGTGAGAACGCACATGGATCTTATCAGGCTGTACTGTGAATGAGCATCATTAATCAGTGATATAGTTTGTTTGTTGAGGCACTTGATGAAACATCAAAGTTTGCGCTAGTCATACTGATGAACTCATCTGCTTTCCAAACCACCAGAGGCTTGAAGACGAGAGGTCAGACACACATGAAACAAACTGAAATGTCGAAGTTAAAAAAGAGAAAATCATGAAAGGCTGAATTGTGACTAAGGCTGCGCAGATCACAACAAACCTCCCTGCAAAGCTGCCTATAAGCTCCAGTGGGTATTCCAAGACTAGCAAACAGTATAACGTCTGAAATATAAGCCAAAAAAGATTTAAAAAATGTATTTACTTATATTTAAAGGGGTAAAAGGGGGGATGAAAACCATCTCTTGGTCTTTCTCTTTAAACCATAGTTCTCTGGTATCATTGGGCAGAATAAGGCCCAATGACAGATTTTGTTTTTATTACCACTGATGCACCAAACGCCCAACACCAATCCATCCTCAGCATGTCTGAAAACAAGCTTCTGGATGTGAGCAGGGTCATAAAATCCTCTGTAAAAGGAATAAGCTGTTGATCTTATCTAAAGAGAAAAGGCACGCACCCCGAGGGCAGCTGCCATGTAGCTCCTCTCTGATATCTCTGTGCAGCGAGTGCACCAAGTATTCCCTTACGGGATCAATTAATGTATTTTAAAGGCTGAGGTGCCATTTTCAGCGATATGATTTCTTCAATATTGGAGTCTAACTTCAGGGACTCCCCAGTGAGTGCCACACAGACGGTGTCAGACGCTCGGAGGGGTTGGGGGGGCTGGCTCTGCACACCGGGGGGAGTCTCGCTGTGAATATGGATCAACCTACGACAGTTATGTGACCCCCACGTGAGATAAAAGAGAACTGATGAGCGATGAAAGACGCCGTAGCATGAGACATACCGAGCG